ACAAGACGCTCTTGGGCAGTCCCGGTCGATCGCAGAAGTGTACCGCTCCCACCAGTCTTTCTACCCCGAACCACATCTCCTACCATGAAAATGGAAGCTACAGACGCTGCTTCGGCAGACCTGGCTGACTGCAGCTTGGTCTCTGTGGATTCGGAGATACTCAAGCTACGACGGGCAAGCTCCAGGGTATGGTCAGATTTGCGAGGAGCCTTCAAGGGGATTGGGAAAAGTAAGGATTATGATAACGAGGAGCAAGCGGCGAGACTAATATCAGTAGCAGGTTCGCATAGCTCGACTGCCTTCGAATGCCGACCAGAGGATGCTCAGTCGGTGCTTGTCAAACGAGACCATCGAATCCGAGATGCGTCGCCCACTAACAAAGAAAAGGCCATGACGCCAGCCGAACTCGTGAAGCGCCTGCGGCTGGATACGTGGAGCATTACACCAAACACAACAGGATTTCTTGGGAGTGCTCCGTCAAGACACCGACGTCGACGTAGTTCGGCGCAAGCCCCCAATAACACGCACGCCGCCATGGGAGCCGATGCGCACACCCCGTTGGCGAATACTACGGCCGAACAAGTCCCAGCGGATACCAGCGCATCTCGCAAGGTATCGATGGAGTCACTTACATCAAATTCGAGCAAAGACGGCCTCAAACGGCGCAAAACTCGCCGGTTTCTTCGTGCCAAGTCGAACCCGGAGACTCTAACCACTATCAAGGAATCAAACCAGGACACATTCACGCCTACCATTCTAACGACGGAGAAAGCGGCCGCGGTCAAAATCAGTATGGAAACATACTACAATGAGTTGCTAACCATGCCAAATGCGCGACTGCATCGGCGGCATATCTTAGAAGGGCAGCTCTTCTACCATCCGCAAATGTCATTGGCGGAGAAGGACGCAATTCGGCGGGCATTCTTCCATCAAGAGTCTTGCTACCTTCGGCAGTGTCGCACTCTCAAAGGTCAAAGCCAAAAGCGACGGCTTTGCAAGAACAATGCCTTCTCCGGGCAAAACTTCGAGCCGGTTCAGATTTTGGGCAAGGGCAGCTTTGGGGTGGTGCGACTGGTTCGCGAGAAAAAGACAGACCCTCACATGCCCTCGCAAGTCTTTGCTATGAAAGTGATTCGCAAGTCTGAAATGCTTTCTAGCAGCCAAGAGGGTCATTTGCGCGCAGAGCGCGATTTTCTTGTGGCAGCGGAGGGGTCAAACTGGTAGGTTCCGCTGTTGGCTGTTGGCTGGTATTGATGAAGCTGACTTTGCCAGGGTTGTGCCACTTGTGGCAAGCTTCCAAGATTTTACCAATCTCTACCTTGTGATGGAGTATATGCCTGGCGGAGACTTTCTCGGAATGCTCATGCGGGAGAATGTGCTGCACGAAACGATAGCTCGTTTTTACATTGCCGAGATGATCTTGGGCGTTGAAGAAACGCATCGGCTTCAGTTTATCCACCGAGACATAAAGCCAGATAATTTTCTGATATCGGCCTCTGGACATTTGAAGATTTCTGACTTTGGTCTTGCCTTTGACGGCCACTGGTCGCACGATGCGGCCTTTTACAGTTGGCATCGTCATTCTCTATTTCAGCACTGTCGGCTGTCAACCGACGACAAGTACGTCAAGGATGATAGTGGAACGGGAGACAGTAATCGCACCAAGAACCTCGAACCGAATGAGATGACAAAAGGGTGCAAGACTGCATACGGCAATTTGACTCGTTTCAATCCCAGAAATAGCACCAGAGGTCGCGCAACGGCATACTCGGTCGTGGGAACAAGCCAATACATGGCGCCCGAGGTGATTGCGGGCGCAGGCTACGATGGAAGATGCGACTAGTGGAGCATTGGAATTATCCTGTTTGAGTGTCTTTATGGCTTTACGCCTTTTAGAGCAGGCAAGGGCCGGAAAGAAACGAAGCAGAATATTACTGTAAGTGGTGTGTCGTGAGCACGAGCTGGAGCTAACAGTGCGCCAGAAACACAAGGAGATATTTTGTTTCCCGTCGCGACCGGTTGTCAGTGATCGATGCAAAGACTTACTCTTCTGGCTGATTCACGAGAAAGAGAAGAGAATATGCTCAAAGCGATATCAGCATAAAGACCGATGCCCGCCTGGGCCGAACGGATTGACGGACGTATTTGGCCGACACGTGTTTGCGGACGATGCCGAGGATATCAAAGATCACCGGTGGTTCAAGCATTTCCCTTGGGACCAAGTACCAAACATGACGCCACCGTTTGTTCCGAACATATCCAGCCCCGAAGACACGCACTATTTCGAGGATTCGGAAGCTCCTGACGACTGGTCCGAGTCGAATCAAGGCACCTGCCTGGGCCCTGGCGAAGTACACGAAATCCTGAGAGAATTTCGGCAGTATGTACAGCAAGTGGCGGTTAGACTAGTGGCGCAGCCGCACAACTCATCCAGCCTGCGAATGATTGACTCTGAGCTGGAAAACTCACCAGACTTGTCAGAGGGAGAGAAACTGATGCTCAAGCGCTTCATTCGAATGTACGGACGACGGCAGCGCAAACGGCCGCGGGATGTACTTCTGCGAGATGGCAAGATCAGGGACGCGGTCATGGAGGTGAGAAAATCGTCGGCGTTTGTGGGATATTCATGGAGGCGAATGCCGCCCTGCGGATACATGATGACTGAGTTGCAGCAATAAGATGTCTCTTGTCAGTTGTTACTGATCCGCCACACCCTCACACTAGCTTGGGTTGGGCAAATGTCACGTCCAAAAAAAAGTTTTGTTTTTTCTTTCAGCGCAGATAGAATGTTTTCGTCCAAAAGAGTTATTCCTATTATACATTAATGCTGGGAAATGGTGTGGAGAGATCTGACTGGAGCTGTCGCTGCTTCAGCCGAACGCCGCGTCGTCACGGGAAAGGGAGAAGGGAGATGCTTGGAAGCTAGCCTTGGGACTTTAGTGGTGAGGTCCAGGAACTTTTCAATATTCACACTAGCTTCTCGTCTTGCAGTCCCATGAAAAGAAGATCCTGTTCATGGGATGATGAATGCCTACCCATGGAACTGCGACCACAGGTCCTGCAAACCGCCCGATGGCTACCCATCCACGAGGCCCTTGATAAAAGTACAGACAATGTCTCTAGCCAAGAAGATTGATTGTTCATCATGAGCCTGCGGGAGGTGTACAAAAGTCGCCTTTCCCCGTTTCGCCGCCCATGCCTCGTGGAGAAGCGGCTCGGCCAGCGACGAGTACAGCCGAAACTCGCAGAAATACAAGCCCGCATCCTCAGACACGCAAGCGACCGTGTCCTAACAGCTGATTAGAAAAGAGGGCAAGTGTAGTAGAAATCACCCAATCTCGCTCAAAAAACCAATACGCACTGGGAAGCAAGCCTTTACTTGTCGACACCCGGCCTCGACGTTGAGCGCCGTGTGCAGCTCGGCCGGCAGACCCAGGCGCTCCAGCTCCGCGGCGTCGACCAGCTGCCCGTCGTCGCCGGGCAGCGCGTACCCCGCGCGCCGCGCCAGCGTCTCGAAGCGAAACTGCGCATCGTCCCAGCCCAGCGCAATCATGCCGAGATGCACAATGAAGTCGATGCTGACCGCAGAAGAAGACGGAGGAGGAGGATGGTAAAAGGAGGGATCCCCGCCCCAGATATCGCGCGAGACCTGCCGCACGTCCGCGTACGTGTCTCTCGTGTCCCGATGGTACTTGAGGATCTGCACGGTGCGGCCGGACGCGGTCTGCAGGGAATCGGGGAGGGCGTCGCGGACGGTCCGCGATGTGTTGAAGTCGTACTCGAGGAAGGGCTAAAGATGGTCAGGAATAGGTGCAAGCTAGGAGATGGAAGGAATATGCCCACTGCGTTTCCGGTTACGGCTACTTTGACGGTGGTTGACGACGACATTGCAGAGAAGGCCTACCAACAGCGGGGTTTGGACGGAGGAGGTCAAGGTGGCGGTCGAAGGTGCGCGCAAGGCTGTGGATGGGGTGCGTCGAGATTGACTGAGGGAGACTTGGTCAACGCTAGAGAACTGCTGCAGCATGCGAATGACTTTTATTACATGCAACACGTCAGATTGGGTAGGTTGTCGACTGCAGCAAAGCGCCTCCTTTGTTCTGTCTGCGCAGTGCTCCACGACCAACAGGTAACGGTATTCCATCCGATAAACCAGAATCAACTCGATTTTTTTTCTTCCAGCGTGAGCTTCTTCTTTCTCCGTGCAACTGACATTCCTCCCTGGTCTCTTCTCACGCGGGCGACCATGTTCAGGCCAGAGACGATCACCCAGCTACGTAGGCTGCCCCCCTTCCTGCGTCGCACAGCTTGTCCGTTGCGCCCGTCTCTCGCGTGTCCCCTCGCCCTCACGCAAAGCCAGTCTACCAGCAAGAGCGCCGGGCCCTTGCCAGCTATGGATATCCCGCTGCTGCCACTTGGCGATGGGAACAAGATCCCCCTGGTAAGTGAGCAACGACCCATGCCCAACACATGTCCCAAACTGGTAACAGGCGCCTAGCTTGCCTTTGGCACAGGGACCGCGTGGTTCAAAGAAGGCGATGCCTCGTTCGACCATGATCTCGCAGAAATGGTCAAGACGGCCCTGCAAAAGGGCTACCGTCATCTGGACTGTGCCGAAATGTACGGCACGGAGGAGGAAGTCGGCGTGGCGATCCAGGCGGCCGGCGTGCCGCGCGAAAAACTCTTCATCACCAACAAAGTAGCCCAGAGCATAGATGATATCCACGCCGCCGTCGAGAGAAGCCTTGCGAGGATGAAGCTCGACTATTTTGACCTGCAAGTGCCTACCTTGACCGGCTGCGGCCTCGGTGTACTAATGGCGGCCAGGTATCTGATCCACGTCCCGTTCTTCGCCAAGTCCGACGACGACCTGCAGCGAGCCTGGAAATCGATGGAGGAGATCAAGAAAGCCGGCAAGGCCCGGTCCATCGGCGTCAGCAACTACTTGCGCGCTGATGTCGAGGCGACGTTGCGGGGAGCGTCCGACCCGCCCGTGCTCAACCAGATCGAGTATCACCCGTATCTGCAGCGCGCGAACGACTACGTGCCCTGGCTTCGCGAGAGCGGTATCCAGGTCGGCTCGTTCAAGGGCCTCACGCCCGCGTTCCGCTGCCCGGACGGCCCTTTGCGCGAACCGCTGGCCAACATGGCCACGGCGCACGGGACGACGCCGGCAGTCGTCCTCCTGGCGTGGGCTATGCAGAGCAGCGTCGTCACCGTCACGACGACGACACGGCCGGAAAGACTGGAGGAGTATGCGCGGGCGCTGGAGATTACGCTGACAGAGACGGAAATGGCGGCCATTTCGGATATTGGTCGCGGCTATCACTTTCGTACCTCGTGGCCGGAGCACTTCGCGCCGGATGATCGGTCCTAAGGGCTTTGTACGTTTTAAGGACTATAGATTCAATGTTGCAGAGCTTGACATTCATCCTGTGAGTTAGAGTCAAAGAGTGAGCCCAGCGACAATGACGTTGTCAATGTAAGGATGGCTACGGAGAAGGGAGGATCGGATTACAGTCCCTGGCGCAGACCCAATGTAACTACCTAGGTAGCGACGTAGGGCTGATCGGAGCATAGGAGAGCTGTTAAACACTGAATCTGGCCATACCTGGAGCGCCATTTGCAATTCGACGTCGTTTATTCGTGTACATGCATATTAGGTTGAGCAATGGTGGACGTGACCGAGGTCACGATGGCTCGGGACATGTCGTGAATCAAGTGGCCTTGAAAGTTCCGCGGGGTATATAGGACAGCATGAGATGCAAGCGAATCAAAAGCAACAAGCGATTGAGGCTGAATGTATCATGACGTAGAGGATGCGCATGTGAGTTCTGATGATGCAGCGCTGGCTTGCAGTAGTTTGGCTGTGTTGGGCGGTTTGCGTTGGGTGGGTGCAGGTTATCGTGCTGTGCACACGCATGAACAGCGGGCGAGCTGCCAGCTGCCAGCCACTTTTTCTTTAGCGTGGGTCTGGTGCAGCGCAGCTGGCGCCGGCCAAGGACGTGTTGTGGCAGCTGGCAACGAGACATGGACAGCTGGCAAAACGCAAACGCAAACGAAATGGCAAACGGGGGGGTGAAATGCGAATAAAAAAATACCTCTGCATGTCGTTTCAAGGATCCAGTTGCAATCATACCTCGGAAATTAACCTACCACGAGAACTCGTGTTTTCTTTTCTCCGAAGCATTGGCAGAATGTATACAAGTACCAGGCCGGCCTATATACGGCGTGGGGCGGGTCGGGCGTGGGCATGGCAAGAGAAGGATAGAATTCGGCTCACTCGGATGGCGCAAAAGTTCAGGCTCTGGGGCCAGCCAGAGTAGCTGCTTTTTTAGCAGGCTGTCAAGTTCTTTTGGCCTTGTAAGAAGAGTCTGTCCGGCTCCGACAGCCGCTCCGGGGTGGACGGGCTCTTTGCTCTTCTGGGCCTTGGTGGCCTTTTTTCTGTGCGCCACAGTGAACCCACTAATATGATGTAGGCTGGAAAAGCCAAGAAGTGATCGCGGAGGAGGGGGGGATTAACGTGTGAATTGAGGGAAATTGCTGCCAGATTGGTTGCAGGCAGAAAAGAAAGCAGGAATAAATCAATAAAAAAGATAAAACAAATCTGCATCGCACAAGGGACAAGAGCACCGACCCTGCTGAGACGTAAGTATTACCACACCGACGGACGGGCTCCACACTGGGCACTCTGCCCCGGGATCGGCCCTCATTGCGCGCCGGCGTGGATAATGCGCTGTAGTAACTACCTAAAAAAAGTACCTAAAAAAAATAAAATAGGGCCTTTTTTACTACGCCGGCGACGGAGTTGTTTCGACCGAGGCGGTTTGCGGAAATCGCAACAAGTGGTCACTAGGGGGGGCGCAAACGTGATGAAGGAACCCCAGACGGGCCAGATAACAAAAGATGATCGATCGCTATCATGATAGAAGGCGGCTACGTATCAACGCATCGCTCGCAGATAAAGAAGGGCAAGAGTTTCCTAAATATTATCGTATCTCTTCTTCGTCTCTTGTCAGGGCAGGGTACGTATCGGAGTACTGACACGTGCGCGAGTGACAAGCCCGATATAACAGCGCAGCAAACGGAAAGGCGCTGCTGGGTTCACAAAGAGACGATTTCATTCTTGTATGAGGGAGAAACAAAAAAAGTCGGAATCTCCTTTGCCACCACCCCTTACCCACTGGTCACCAGTAATACTTTGTACCGGTATGTTACACCTTTGTCCCTGCAACACAAGACAGGTTACAAGCCCAAGGCAGGCAAGCAGGCTATTCCGCACCGCCGCACACCAGCCCCGCCAACCCCCCCCCCCCCTCCCTTGCCCCCCCCGAACACCGGAACCCAGGAAATCGTGCTCCATTTTGGGTCCTTTGCTTTTTTTTCCCTTTGCGCGCGCGAGGGAAACGAAAAGACTTTGTGCCAATCGGGCAGGTGGACGGCTGACTTGCTACTGTTTACTTGGCTAGGTACCTAGGTAGGAAAATAGGCCCTTTTCTTAGCTGTGCACTTGTTGTTGTTTCCTTCGTGGCCTTTTCTTTCTCAGGCAGAAACCGGAGCACTTTCCACATCTATATAGTAGTAGCGCGACCTTTTAAACAGCCGCGTCCTGGGCCTCTCCGTTCTCCCTCCGCTTTCCCTCTCTCTCCCTCCTTTTTTTTCCTCACTTGCCTCCGATTTTTTCGCTCTCCGCTTCTGTTTTGACAGGCCTACCTACATTATACACTGCGTGACAGGAGGATCCCAACTGCAGCGCAAGGCGAGGACCCTCTCCATCTCCATACCGCAACCGGGGCCGTTTCTGGTTTCCTTTTTTTCTTTTTTTCTCGGTTTCTTTTCTTCTGGCCCGAGCTTGGTCCTCTTGTTCATATACATACAGAGTACAACGTTTCCAAAATTTGGGGCGACCCTTTTTTCTTCGGCTTACATTCACCAACACCCACCCCGCCTCACCTTCCATCTTGATCTTTTCCACCTCTGCCCCCCACCCCTTCCACTCTCCTCCTTTCTCCTTCACCTCCTCTACTTGTCTTTTCTCCTTTGCATCTCCCTTTTTATACACACAACCTTTCAAAATGGCCACCTGCGAAGTCACCCAGCTCTCCGTCGTCACCTTTCGTCCAGACCTCTCCCCGCCCTACTCGCCGCCCGCGCCGCCATCGGCCTTTCTCGACGTCGCCGCCAAGCTGCAGGCCGTGCCGGGCGCGCGCGCCTCCTATCTCGGCTACCAGCTTGAGGACTCGCGCAAATGGGTCTGGGTCGTCCGCTGGGCCACGGGCGCTGCCCTCGACGCCTTCCTCGCCTCCCCGTCGTACGCCCGCTGGCTCAACTCGCTGCGCGCCGTCGCCGACACCTACGCCAGCTCCCGCGCCTTTCTCCACGGCAGCATCGCCGCCTCCCTCAACAGCCCCTGCACCGAAGTCGTCACGGCCCTCGAGACGGACCCGGCCTTTGTCGAGGACCATCTGAAGCCCTTTTCCAGGTGCTTTGAGCGCGAGCCCATTCCGGGCTACCATGCGCTCTCGTATGGACAGTGGCTGCCCGTCGTGCATGATGGGGTCGCCCCCCCGGTTGGTCTCTCGGCCGGCATGTTGATCGGCTGGGACAGCAAAGAGGCTCATTTCGCACAGCGTGGCGAAGGAATGCGTATGTTACTTTTCCCTCTTTTCCTCCTCGTCGCCGTCCATCTCTTCTAACCTAGGCAGTTATTGATCGCTACATTCACCACATCCGCGTCGGCCGCAAATCATTAGGCCTGGTAAGCAACTCCACCCCCGGTCCTCCTCTTACACGCAGCCCAAACTAATACCCACGCAGTATCACGTCAACTTTACTCGTCTCTGACACACGGCCGAAACGACTCTTTCCTCGCACCTCTGACGAATACTTGATGATACATTAGCGTTCATTTTTCTACCTGCACTGCTCCCCTGTTGCTTTTTCCTTCCTCTTCGCCGCCGCAGATATAGGCTGGCCACGACGTCCCAAGAACGCAGCTTGGCACTTTGAATACAATCACCTTGGCATCTGCCAAACACCCGCCCCTTGCATCTTGTCTCTAGAGAAGGTTCCTCTAGGTGTAGAAATGCTGCCCTCTCTTTTCACCTCCGAAAAGTAAATTGGGGCAGTGTATCTCGGCACCTCCGATACCGGTCCGGCCCCAAACTGTAAATGGCGACGGCGATAGAGGACTATTTTTGCCCGCGTCGGGCAACTAGTTTTCTTGTCTGATGTTTCCTTTTATTTGATGCCTCCTCTCTATTCTTCATTGGTTCCTTTTTTCCAGAATAAATTCCGGCGGCAGCCACAAATCCGAGGTGGCGGCGCATTGACTCGCTTTACGATCGGTCTAGCTGCCCCGGTACCCGTACGCCGAAGATGCGCTCACAGAGTCTAAATCGGTGACGACACGGTAACAAAATCACGCACATCAGATGCTCGCATCACTTATACGCTTTCGGTGAGGGTGGCGGCGCCTTTCTTTGCCATGCAAATCGTACGAATCATCTCGTAGTTTCCACTGTGCCCTCGCCCGGTGCCGGAGCCCGAGAGAAGCATGATCAGCCCAATAGTGGCATGATTTACACAGCTGTGCATCCCATTTCCCATGACCACTACCAGCCATTTCCTTATCATTTGTCACCTGCAGTCCATTCTCCCTTGTATTTCACTTGTACTGGTACCTTTGACGAAACACGCCGATGTAAGCCGCCCACAGTGTGTTGCGCATATGCGCTCGCGGAACCAGGATCAAGTTGGCTACGTATCTTTGTCCTTTCTAGGCATCCCGACATCGAACCACCGGAAATAACCCCCCTGTTTGTACTGCAAGACAACTGCAAGATACTGCAAAGGAGCCAATTTCATCTTCTCCGCAGCGCACAACTGCCCGATCTGCACATGGCAAGCTTGGCCGCATTTCCTCTTGATAAGGCTTCCGGAATCTGATCCGCCGCATGTCCCTTTGTTTCTTTCAGAAGAACCATGCAGCAACAATGAGAAACACACAAGATATCATGGCAGTCAATGAGACATATCTCGATAACCGAATTTCTTCATCTTCATCCCCCGGCAAGCCCGCAAGCCCGGCAAGCTCCCCCGAGAATACAGGGGGCCCGCCAGCCCTCTCTGCCCGATCTCTTTCCAGTCGTCTCCACCTAAACGGCCCAGCCTAAAAAAAAAGGTTGAACCACGCCGTTTCTCGACAACGTCACTTGAAAAAGGGGGGACCAGCAGGCAAACGCAACCGCACAAGGATATACCGAACGCGATATTGAAAGTCGACTTGCCATCCAGACCCATCACTAGCGAATTCTTTTAGAACTGAGCGATTCGACCACGGCGTGCGACAAAGGAGCATGTCACGCCGATAGACTTGAATACCCCTAGCTTGACCGAAGCTCAACACCGACCCTCGTCCTCAAACGACAAACAAGACGAGCGCATCTCGCCATCCAAGCACACACCTCCCATCGTCCCGACACACACACACACATACACATACACGCCACTCAATGCCCCGCATACCCTTTTTCCGGCTCCCCACCAAGCTCCGCCGGCAGGTCCGCCGCAACCGGATGGCGACGCTCGCCATCCTCGCCGTCCTGGGGGTGCTGCTCGTGCTGCCGCTGTGGTCGCTGTGGTGCGTGTACAAGCCGCCGCGGGTGCTGCTCGGCTACCTGCGCGCGCGGTACCCGGACGTGCTGTGGGAGGAGACGACGACGCAGCGCATCATGGCGCTGTCCCTCGACGACGCGCCGTCGGCGCACACGGACGAGATCCTGGCCGTGCTGCGCGAGTTCGACGCGCGCGCCACCTTTTTCGTCATTGGCGCGCAGGTCGCCGGCCGCGAGGACACGCTCCGCCGCGTCGTCGCCGCCGGCCACGAGCTCGCCAACCACGCCATGCACGACGTCCCCAGCAGCCGCCTGCCGCTCGACCAGCTCGAGCGCGAGGTCCACGAGGTCCGCGAGAAGCTCGTCGCCGCGTACGCGGCTGAGGGCCGCATCCTCGAGAACAACTACTTCCGCCCGGGATCTGGCTTCTTCAATACAAAGATGCGCGACTTGCTCGGCAACCGCGGCTTCCGCATCACCCTCGGCAGCATATACCCGCATGACCCCCAGATTCGCAGCCCGGAACGCAACGCCAAGCACATCCTCAGCATGGCGCACCCCGGCGCCATCATCATCTGCCATGACCGCAGGGAGTGGACCGCCCCGATGCTGCGCATGGTGCTGCCCGCGCTGCAGGAACAGGGGTACAAGATTGTTACGATTACGGAACTGGTCAAGTCGGTGGAGCCGCTCGGAGGTCGGTGATGGGTGTAGGAGAAGAAAGAAAATATAGTATATTCATTATTTTGGTGAGTGTTTCATTGCTAGAAAAAGGGTTGGGGCTGGATTTTTTTATTTCTTTGGTCTTTGGCCGAGGGGCGGAGATGAAGGCATCATCATTGCATTCCTTGTTGGCAAATCATCAAAGGCTGCGGCGTGGGCATGCAGCGGGGCGTTGGACCTCTTTTCTTACAAATGTATTAGCTTTCGCTTAGATATACTCCAGCGTTTGATTAATTTCGTCTCTATTCATTCAGGGCTTGTTTCGGTTGTTTCGTTCTCGTGACCGGCGGGAGCACTGTACGCCCCCGTGTACGACACGTTCAGCCCTCTCCCGCACACCAGTGTCATGGTTCGTAGACCCCAATACACAGTTGGCCATTTCTTTGTCTTCTTCCGTTTTTGTGCTGCACTGTGGCGCGACTTGTGCTATATTCCGTGCCGTCAAAGCTCTCGCCTTTTTACCGACACATCTCCACACGTTTTGCTTGCCGGCCTGCTCAAGAAGCGCTTGGTTATTTGCAAGTTGGGTGTTTCCTAACCCGTTGCATTCACCACTCCTTTCTCTTCCTGGATACGCTTCTTTGTCATCCCTCTCTTCTTTGATTGACGACGACTGTTGGATTGTTTGCTCCCTCTACAGAGGGGTTTCCCGTGCCCCATCTACCCACTTCGACGCCGACGTGCAAGTTACGGTCCGGCCGAATTGCGATGCACGAAGCCCTCGCGCTTTTTCGTGACTCACCTTGTAGTTCGTTTTCCGTAGCATCTCGACTGACCGACCGCTCGGGCCCCATGTGTGACCTCGTATTGTTACGCACGGTGGCAATATTCCCACTACATCACGACTTGCGGTGCGGGTACCTGTCGCCGAAGGTTCTTGAAGACGCTATCTGGGTCCAGGCTTCCGTCTTGTAGAGTCTTTGTTTTGATAGCAGACATTGAGGCCAACAATCCGAGTGTGTACACTGGCCAGCCTGGCTGTCCTGGCAATCCTCGGCAGCCAGGTCACTGCCAGGCGGTGCTCATTTGTCTGCTACAATCTCAAGCCGTGTCACATCATATGACAATAACATTAAGCGCTGAATCTGTTTGATGTATAACGAAATGGGGTCACCCCGAAGACCTGGTACAGCATCTCATTTCAGCTACTAGAAAATAGGTATGGCACTCCTGTAGTGCCTTTGATCACGGGGCGGTCAGTCTCGGAATGACGCTTGAAGGCTTGTGCGACCACCTCTCCGGCTGACTTATATATCTAGCTGCCCCCTTTCAGCGTGGCGGGTGCCCTTTGGACAAGCTCGCTGCAAGCATCATCATTGAAACATCCACCGGTTCTCAATACAATATCGACAATATGCCGTGGTATTATCCGCAGATTCGCAAAGACTTCAACACCAGTACTGAGAAGTTCAGATACTGGCGGGATCATAAATATGGGCTGCGATTCACAAAGTTCGACATTGGCGAGGATGAGGTCTGGGGGTCCCTCCACGAGCGATTCAACACGGCGCCCATGACGATCATGGACCGGGAGGCGTGGCACACGGACGTCGTGGATATTCTGCTCAAGTCAGACACGGTCGACGAGTTGTACGCAGAGCTGGAGAAACGCAAAAAGCAACGGCTCGACGAGCTGACCACGGCCATGACCAGCAGGAAGCATCCCACCGGCTGGTACAGCATGCCCTCGGAGCCACTCAAGCAGCTAGCTCGCGCCGTGACCGTGTTTCAAGACACAGCGACCATGTATAGTGCTGTACTAGTAGTTGACGCCATGACCAAAGTTGAGCAGGTCGAACACGAGGTGCAAGACCGCGGTATGCTTCCCAGCGTGTCACCGTTTTTTCATTTCGCCCACCCTAATCATCAGTACAATAGAATCAAAGAAGAGAATTGCACTGAGCATCAAGGCTCGAAGAGAACGTCGGATACAACGTCGTATACAGCGTCAGAGAAGAGAGGCCCTCCAGAACCAGTCGCCGGCCGACGCAACTACTCCAGTAAAGCCCGGCCGCATGTTGACCCCGCCAGACGACGAATCGCCCGGTAGAGAGCACGATGCTGCCGGCGACGACACGAAGAAGAGAAAGCGTGAGGATGCGGATACGGACTCGGAAAGGGAGAGCGGCAGCAGCAAGAGCCGGCCGGATACCGCCACGCCGCCGACGGAAACTCGCAGTCGTGCGGCCAGCCCGGCAGCCGTCGCATCGCCGACGTCGTATTGTGGAAGCAGTGATTTTTCTGACAGAGAGGAAGAGTGGGAATATAAAGCTCAACTGCTTGGTGAGATGTCAGCAAAGTATGCGAATCAAGAATCACGTCGGTGCGGCTGTTGCCCCGACCCCACGTTGAACCCCATCGGGGACCCGGACGAGCAGCGAGTCCCTACCAGGATATGTTTCGAGGCCTGCGGTTTCCGACAGATTGATATACTGCCAGACGATTCACTCATCGAGGCACATGACAGAAGCACGCTTCCCCATCAGCAGTAATGGTCGGATACGGGAGATTTCTTAGCCAGGGGCATGTATATAAACAGATTTATTTGGATAGGCAGTGTCGGAGCCTGATTGGTTGAGGACAGGGGCTGGACCCTTTTCCTGCAAGCACGCAACCCCGTGGCGATGGAGGCTTCCTTCCACGAACAGACGTAGCAAGAACACCATCAGAAGTATCAGAACAATCAAAACCATAACAGTCGTTTCTCTATTTCCATGGACTATTCCCACGATTGATACGCATCCTACCTAATATAACACCAGGAAGTCTTCCTACCGGCAGTCAGTCCTTTTACATAGTCATTTTTATAGACTTATTTTTGCACGCATATTTTGGGCCTAGCTGTAATAGACATCATATTTTTACAACCCAGTTGCATGAATAGAGTTAGTATGTGCACTTGACCAGTCTCTCCCGTTTCTCATTGTTCTTCCTGTTTCTCGCGGTTCCTAATTCCTGCCTAGTCCCTACTACCTCGCTCTACATTGACCCAGCGTCTCCGAGCGCCTCCATGATCTGACACGCCGTGATCCGTTCTGCAGGCTGCTCGGGAAGCATCCGCTTCACGATGCCTCCCAATTTGCCGCGAAGCTCCTTTTGGGCTTTTTTGATGCACGACCTCCACTCCTGATATTCCGGGCTGTTGTCGAACATGGGCCAGCGGGGCATGGTTCTCTCCGGCAGCGGCACCTTGCGCATGAGATACAGAGCGGTGACGCCCAGCGAGTAGATCTCGCCTTCTGGGCCCCGGAACGGCTTCGTCTTCTCTGCTTCTGGGGGAATATACGGCCATGTCCCACCAGCGAGATTGTTCTCATTCACATAGGTGGCCAGTCCAAAGTCAATCAAGACTGCGCCACGCTTTCGGTCGAACAAGATGTTACCGGGCTTGATGTCGTTGTGCAGTATATTCTTGCTCGCGAGGTAGTCCAGGGCTGAGGCCATCTCCCGCACGACCCGCGTTGCGTCTTTCAGTGACAATGGGCAGTAGTAGCCGGGGTCGGTGCAGATGGCAGCAAGGTCAGGAGTGGAGTAGTACTCCATGACCATGGCGAAGAAGCGAGGGTCAGCTTCCCAGAATCGGACAATCGAAGGCTATTTTGTGGTTAGCTGCCGGGTTCCAGCGCGTTGGCGGCCGAGTTCAACTTACATGGCGGACTTCATTGAGGAAATGCACTTCCCTCTCCCAGTCGTCCGCCAGCCTCATTACTTCCCGGATATCATGCTTTTCCGCTTTGATGACCTTGACAGCCACCAGTCCAGGATACTTGGAGTGAGTGCCCTTGAAAACCACCCTTTCTCCCGCTGGTCCCAGGACAAATGTGCGGTTGGTGATCGTATGGGACTTACCCGTACCAGACACGATGGTTATCTGCGTCGAGGGTTCCATGATCATGGGGTTCTCTGGCTTCTTGTGCAGTCTCAGTTGGGATACCTAGTTGCATCGAATGTTAGCAAGGAGCGTCAAGAAAAATGAAAATGGATGAATCAAAGGGACGCACCTGTCCTCCCGGAACACCAGCTCTGCTTGGGCCAGGGCTGTCGGACCTGGCATGCTTGGTTCCGGCCGCGACAGGTGCACTCGCAATCCTGATCTCGAATCCCTGCGGCCTCAAAAGGAACTCGACGGACGCCGGTCGGGGCTCGTCTCCGTGTCGGTCCGGGTCTATCCGCCAGACTCCCGTCGAGATGGGCTGGAGGCCGTCGCGCTCCAGCTTGCAGCTGTGGGTGACCATGTCGCCACGTGCTTCCTTCTCCAGGGGCACGAGGGTCAGCCCAGCGTCGCCCTCGTTGTACGCGAGGCCGTAGTCGCTCGCGACGTCGAAGAAGACGCGGAACTTGTGCGCCAGGCTCAGCTCCAGCGCAAAGCTCGGCTGCAGGATGTTCGGCGCCTGCCGTCCCACGAGAACCGTCACTGGCGGCTCGTCGTCCACACCGCCGTGAAGCTCCATCGGCTCCAGAGTCGTGTCGTGACCTTCCCACGCCAGCGTGGCGATGCGGACGTCTGCGGGCAAGTGATCCTCCCGGAGGGTCATTAGCTGGAAGGCCTCGGACAGTGTCGTGCTCGGCTCCGGGCTCGACCTTCCTGCCTGCGGGGCGAGAACCGGTGAGGCTTGGAGCACGCACGGCGCGCTGTATGTGAGGTCTCTGCGGCGGGCTGGCAGAGAAGGGAGGCCTGGAAGTCTCTGGGTAGACTCGGTCTGCATCCGCACCCCCGCTGTAGACTCAGCAGGACGAGGGGTCGGCGCCGGTCTCCAGGCGCTGCTTCCTTCTATCTTGACATGTACCGACTGCTCTCTGTTCGAGGCGGGTACGGGCCAGGCAGAAGAAATGGACCGCGCTTCGGGGGTCGGCGCGCAGTGGGATCGCCGCCATCGCTCGAAGCTGAGGGAGTCATGGTGCAACGTGGGCGTGGCTGGGGTGAATGGTCCTGAGCACGCGACGAGGACACCACTTTGTGGGTGTCCGTCACTTTCCGTAGTAGGGACGGGGAGGCTGGAGGCTGACTCCGCTGCGCCCAAGGAACTCTGTGGTTCCGCTGCGCCGGATGAAGCCGGCCACTGGGAGGGAGATGGGCGGAATGACCCTGAGGATGGAACGACGGAGCCACTCTGCGGTTGCTCGTCGCTCAGTGTAAAGAATGCCGGAGAGCTTGACGAAGGGGAAGAAGGGGAAGAGGGAGAAGAACATCTCTGTGACTGTTGGGCAGACATTGCTTAATGGTGTCGTAAGAGAGGTTTGTCGAGTTTGAGACGTAGAATTGAGCTTGTAAGGGAGTGTTTATTTGATAAGTAGGGAAAGTACAGTACTTTATGGACGACCTTTATAATGTTTTGGTTTAGGCATCTCTCGTCAGGCTTACACAAGGAGTTGGCGGCAGCCCGGTTCGTGATGCTGCGTCTTGCGAGATGTAACCGCTCTGTGCAATGGCCTGCAGCAGAGTCCTGGTCCCACATCCTTGGTTGTGCAAGATTGGCTCACGAAAGGACTCCCCGTCGATGACCAAAATTGCAACATGGGGGCACAAGGCCATGGTAAAGAACAAAGCAAGTGTATCGGCAACCGGGCGCGGCTCCAGCATGCCGGATGGCGTGGCACAGCTGTATCAGATCCGTGCGTGCGCATGAATAGCCTCGCAGTCGTTTCCTCCTAGGAGTGACAAGGTGCAGAGTTTTTTTTTTCTTTCATCCTGCACCTGGTCCGCTTCGGCGTTGTGGTAGTCAATATTCACGTTCGTGTTGGGCATGATATTGGTTTTGAGGTCGGCCATGGGTCGTCGTACCTACGACGCACACTATGCACTCGATACTAAAAAAGGAACTGCGATGGGATTTACGCGTAATAGAGGTATGCTGAAACGAGTTGGGTATGTGAATCAACTCGATCTCGGCTCATGGTGCTCTGATGCGTCATGGTACAACAAAACTCTGCTGCGTCCCGGTGCGGCTAGACAGTGCGAGAGAGTGTCTATACGGAGTGCTGTTGCCATTCTCTCCCTGACATCAACATGGAATCTGTTGCAGAGTATATGGCTTGTCGACAAATGTTGGTTCTGTAGACGTTGGAGAGCCATCGTCGGCGCAGCCCGGGCTAGACTCACCGTGTAAGATGATTGGCTGCAGCTGGGGCGGCTGGGGAACGCTTGGGCGCCGCGGCGTCACCCATTGTGAGCTAAAAAATAATCGGAATTAGATAGTACAGTATAGACGATGTTGTATAGACCAGACCTTCTTTTATTTCTCGTTACACGTGTCACACACCCAGTGCATTCGCAGCAGGGTTGCTAGGGTGCACGCTCATTCCGCGCCAGTTATCCGAAGTAGCCGCTTGGCTCTGTCGGCCATAGTCCCGTGCTCTTGGTGGGAATGCCATCATGTAGGTTCGCTAATGCCCTCACCGACTTGCTATGCTTATTGGCTCATCGCTGACTTTGGGGGCTTTACATACGCCATCTTTCTTTTTTTTTTGGGATCGAGTATGCCTGATTATAGTGAGGAGTACGAACTAGCAAGACAGTGCTATAGCTTCGGCGCCATACCCTGGAGACAACAAACAAGTACTGGAGGCCCGGTCTCGTGATATCAGAGCCACATTCCGCCGTCTGGCTTATTACCCAGCCTATTTAAGAATTCAAATTTATGTAGAGAGTGGTAACGAAGTCCCAACTAGCTTTATACCAGCACAGGGCCGCATTCCGCTTCATCGGCGAATCCTGTGCCTCACAGCTCGAACACGATCGCGAACCTCGACATCCGATCCTGTCATTCCACTATACAGCCCTACCATTACGGTTGATATGCCCGAGTAAATTCTCCTAGAGTAATGAATAATCTGCGTATTTCAACATGGAGAATGTGGACACACCTAACAATCGTCCGCATAGCAGCCCGTACCCTTCCTGTTGTAGCAGTCCTGCTTGAACGACCGAGCGCTGCTGCCAGACGCGCAATACGACTCTGCCTGGCCGTAGCACCACTGCATTTCTCTATTCAGCTTGGTGCAATCGCGCCTGGTCCACTCCAGGTCGGATGAGATGGTCGTGTCGGCGCATTTGCATCGTTGGCCGGTCATGGCGAGCGCCATGGACGCGGAGAGGATGAGAAAAGACGCGGGTTTCATGACCAAGGAGGACCTGAGTGTAGGGGAATGATTATCTGTAGGGCGAGGAGAGTCGCGAGAGAAGAGACGCAGCATCGGACCTTCTTTATAGTAGATATGGCGTTGCGACAAATCATTGCTGTCTCACCCGAGACACTGCGTGAAAACACGGCGAGACACGGCACGGCGAGAGTAATGCTTTGCCGTCTTTCGTGCTCAGCAAGCCAGGTTCAGCTCGACATATTGAGGCGGCTACATTCTGTGGCGGCATGATATGCATAGAGTGAGGAATTTCAGCTCGCCCAAGGCAGACAAACAAACCATTATAGCTGGACAGCAACCCAGCATGCTTCAGCTGTGGCCTGGCAGCATTCACCAGTCACAAAATGGGAGGGCGTTGAGGGCATATTTGATCGTAAAATTCTACCAAGTCTGGAATGGTGCTGCAAAACAATTGCAGGATATAGTTTATGCTTCGGGGTCAGTTGATGAGAATTTACTTCCGCCGCAAGTGTCCAGCGCAGCGAATGAACCGCGCATAGCGCCAAAAAATATATCATCGTACGACTCTACCAGCCATCTAAGACATGGCCAGCTGCCAGAGCCATATATGTTTTTACGAATCCATTTGTGATTGGCGCCGTACTATAAATCGGGCCAACTCAAGCGCAGCCATTCAGGCTACATCGTCCGTGAACATGAACCCTCCCCCGCGTCCCGAATCATCAGTCAATTCTGCACGTAAAGTTTCCAGCTCCTTGCGCATTGACTCGGGACTAGCATGCTCCTTTGAATTCTCAAAGTCGAGTAGTTTCACACCTTCTTCCGTCACCAAAAAGTTGTATCGATTCACGTCCCCATGCAGCAGACCCAGCCCGTGAAGCTTCTGTACGGCGCTTTCGCAGCTGCTCAGATCGCCCACGGAAGCAGGGCGTCCCTCCAGCTTCTCCAGGATAAACCCCATGACGCGTCCATTCTCGTGCACATGGCCGAGGAAGCGCGGTGCCAGTCCGGAGCCCTCGAGCAGCTGGTAGGCTCTCGTTTCCTGCTCGATCCGGGGCAGCTCCCACTCGAAACGCGCGATTTTGGCAATGACGGTGAGCGGCGAATCGTGCTCGGCTGCAGCACGCGAACACGGTACGGCTTCCAGAGCCATGGCCGTGAGCTGCTTGGTCTTGTCTAGACTCAGGCAGGAGATGGAGACGGGATGCCATGGATTGCGGACGCCGGCCATTGCGCGGTCAGAGAGAGCATATGTCACGTCGCGGGTGGTCTTGTCGCGGGAGATGCGGGCCACGGTCCACTTCTCATCGTAGGGAAGAGGAGGGAGCGAGCCAACCGGGAATGAAAGCGTGTCTCTGTCAAAAGTGCCAGGGGAGATGATCAGATATCTGACTTGGTTTCCGATGCGTAGTCGGTATTCGCTTTCGAAAGCATCGTCATCGTCGACTTCCATAGACAGGACGACAGGTTGCATGGGTATGTGCTCAGTATGCTTACCAGACATTTTCGTTGTTTGGAACAGGTTACGATACGTATTATAGGGGAAAATGAAGATTAGATTAGGTTGTCTTCTGTTGTCACAAGGTTAGGTGCATGAAGGGAGTGGGTCCAGCCCCAGCCCTTAATATCACATAATTACCATATATACTAGCAAAAGTGGTAAGCACCTATATAAACGCTAGTACTCTATCTTACCCAAGTCTTATATATCCCCCTAGCTCTATAGAAAAGTAAAGCTTCTAAGTAGCTAGCTTCTAAAGGTAAAAACAAGTTTTATTAAGAAATAGCCTATAACTAGTAATATTATAGAGAATTAAACCTAAGACTTATAAATAAAAAAGTAATATAATATAGAGTAAACTAGACTTATAACTATTATATAATTATTATATATACTAGTAAAAGTAGTAGGTACCTATATAAATGCTGGCGCTCTATCTTGCCCCAAGTCTTATACTTGACTAGTCTGGGTTGCTCGGCGGCTTGCGTAGGCCTTACTTCGTATTGACAAGTTCGTGAATCTATTAATAGGCACCGTGAAAGTGGCCGGTATATTTATATAAACCTGAGGGTCATTGCATTCCCTTCCTTCAGCCTTGAGCTAGTCCCTTGCCTCTGCTACCTCCCTCCGCTCCTACCCCGCCGTCAAGCAATGATTTAACCCATTCATTCAGTTCCGACAACCATCATGTGCACCTCGTAGTATATCATATACATGGAGCTGCAAGAAAGAAATGGAATTCATCCAGTGCTTGCTCTCAAGGAATGGGGAAAGGACTCGACCAACTATTGTCCGAGATGTCACTCAGTAACTTAGTATGCCCTTTAATAGTGGGCATTCGCCGCCACAGGTAGCCCATTTCAACCTTCCCTTCCACTGCGAAGTGTTTGCATCTCGCACAGCGCCCAAACGTGCTCCTGCCGATATCGACTGTCTTTGTGAGTGTATTTCCAGCTGAATCTTCCTTTCCTTTGCCTGTCCCCATTTTAGGGGTGCTAGGAGTAGGAGCTTAATGCCAAAATGGCTGCCGAGGTTCTGAGCCACGACTGTGTCAGCAGAGCCGTCGACGTTGATGAGACCTTCGGGTTCCAGCTAATGCGGCGATACAGACGCGTGGCTAGGTGCCATTGTAAACTTTGACTGCCCACCAATGTCTGCCAAACTGTGAGCGCACTGAGACTTGGACAATGGTCACTGGTACGAATCCCGGATACCGCTCCGCCACCGAATACGCTTTTTGCGAAGCACAAGCCGACGCCATTTCTAAGACAGCCGCCTACCATCGCAGAGACTACGGCCTTGCAGTCATCTGGTTCTCCGCTCGTGGGCACACTCATATTCGTCCGTCAATAGCAACACCATTCCCATCAAAGACTGACAGAGGGCTTGGGTCCCTCAACAGGCTGCCCCTAGAGCTCTGGTACGATGTGCTATTCCGTCTCGATATCCGATCCCTATTCAAGCTTCGGCAGACAAGCTTAAGATCGAGAGAGTGGGTAGATTCCTTGCGCCAGTATCAGATGGTTGTGGCACATGGACTGAACCTCTTCTGCGCTCTGTTGCGAACTCGACTTGCCGACAGCGTCTCTCTGGTCGACTTCTACAATACATTGTGCACCAAGGCTTGTGCATTGTGTGGCGAATTTTCTGGTTTTGTATCCATCTTGACCTGGAAGCGCTGTTGTTTTCGGTGTCTCCAGAGAGCACCTGAACTCCAGATGCAAACTCTTGCCGCTACCCGGAAGCAACTTCACCTTACCAAGCATGAGGTAGGTCAGTTGAGGTTCTTCAAGACTCTGCCAGGCATATATTCGATGAACGAAATCACGCACAAGTCCCGAATTGCGGTTATTTGTGTTCATCAGGCTGTTTCGCTTGTTAAAAAAAATGCCCCGGCGCCATGGAAGCCAGTGGGTTCATCACGAAGCAACAAGCTGAACTTCATGGGCGCCGTTGCACTTCCATACTATGACAAAGGAACCGGCAGAGTCGAGTACGGACTATCCTGTGCCGGTTGTCAACTTGCTATCGAGAAGGATATAATCGGCGCCAGAGGCGAGCAATGGGCGTTCGAGGCACGAGACAAAGTATATTCACGAGATGGATTTTTAGAGCACTTTCGATGGTGTGAACAGGCTCAGCGTTTATGGAGATCAAGTAGCGAGGGAGGTCAACGGCCAAGTGAGCTGCCAGAAGCTGCTCGACGAGGGGGCTATTTTAATAGAAGAGAATGATGAAAATGAGCCGAGTGTATATAGCTGTTCCAGTGCATTCGACAAAATATCAGTGCTGCGCGGGAAAAACAATCAGTTAGGCCCCTACGAACGGTCTAGCAGATTCGATGGTACACTGTCCGAGATCGGATCTCCTTGGGCCGGTTCTGATTGCGCTGCTGAAGATCAACCACGGCGGATGCCACGCATGGCATCCACCCAATAATGACAAATATTAAAATAATAATAAATTTAGAATAATAACATAATAGAATATACGCGGCTTATTTAAGTAAATAAAAAATAACTACCATCTATAATTTAATAGACTTGTAGTTAAAGATGAAGTGAAGCCAACTGCTTAGGGACTTGACGCGAGACGCCTGTCAGTAGACGTAGACACCCCTTCCCCGGACCTGGAATTGCCATCTGAATCCTCCCCCATGTTAATTTGTACTCTAGAGCGAGTTGAGACTACCCGCAAAACTGACGACGTCGTCATATCCATGCTTCGAAAGGCAGATGCCCCAAGTCCCTGGTGTCGCAGGGAGGGCAAAAACACCCTTGAGGATGTGCATAAGCCGTCTGTCGATTTGCGGCAGACTACTCTGTTGGGGATATGAACCTGTTGGACACGACCTTTGGAAGAAATCTCTGTATTAATGCCCGAATGACCTATGATGGCCCAATTCAAAACGCCGCAACGCTAAATGCTCAGAAAAAGTCTCGACATCTGTCTACCCACTAGAAGCCTCGCCCCCTCCTCTTCACCACCGGCTTCTTGACCGCGCCCTGCGTCACAAACTTCTTGCCGTCGGCGCCGACCTTCTTCTTCACCGCCGCCGCGCGCTCCGTCTCGTCCTGCACGCGGCGCTCCTCGCGGCGGCGGTCCTCGGCCATTTGCGCCTCAATCTCCATCTTGCGGTTAAACTCGGTCTCGGTCACGCGCTTGGCGCGGGCCGACCAGCCCTTTTCCTTGACCGAGTAGAAGACGCCGCCCAGGTCGGCGAGCCAGTGCGGGTCCACGGCCGTCACCGTCGACACGTACACCTTGGACGTCAGCACCAGCTCGTGGTAGACGACGTAATCGGGCGGGTGCCCGGCGTAGAGCGCCGACGTCGGGTGCAGCTGCACCGGCAGGTTGGTCCGCAGGTTGACGTACTCGCCCGAGCCCTTGTACTTGGCGGCCTGGTGGTAGTAGCCGGCGCAGACGCAGCGGCGGATCATGTCCCAGTCCATGCCGCAGCTGGCGAGCGCCATCTTCTGCATGCGCGCAATGTCCAGCAGCTGCTCGCGAATCTCCTTGGCGCGCCGCAGCGACTTGGAGTGCAGAAAGTGCTTGGTGCACCACGCGTCGGAGAAGCCGTTGGACTTCCACGCCTGGTACACCTGCAGGTACGTCAGGTGGTCCGACTCGTGCACCCAGAACTTTTCGCGCTGCGTGTCGGCCTCGTCCTGGCGCTCCTTGGGGCGGTAGAAGACGTTGGGCACCGACAGCATCGACACAATGGTAATCATCTCCTCGCTGCAGCCGTGCTCCGCCGCCGTGATGAGCAGCTTGGCCAGCGACGGGTCCATCGGGTACGCGCTCATCTTGCGGCCCATCTCCGTCAGCTCGCCCAGGTTGTCGAGCGCGCCGAGCGCCCACAGGTCAAACATGGACGTCGAGATGGTGTCCTGCGGTGGCGGGTCCATAAAGTCAAACTCGAGCAGGTCCCGCACGCCGAGCGACTTGAGCATCAGCACCGTGTTGGCGAGGTTGGTGCGCTGGATCTCAGGGATCGTCTGTAGGTATAGCTCGTCCTTGAAGGCCTTTTCGGTAAAGAGCCGAAACGCCTTGCCCGGCCCGGTGCGGCCCGCGCGGCCCGACCGCTGCGACGCGTTGGCCTGCGAAATAGGCGTCACCTGCAGCGTATCCATGCCCATCTTGGGGTTGTACACCTTCATCTTGCTGTAACCCGCGTCGACGACGTACTTGATGCCGTCTACCGTCAGACTCGTCTCGGCAATGTTGGTCGCCACCACGCACTTGCGCACGCCCGCCTCGGCCCGGTCGAAAATCTTGGACTGCAGGTCGGCCGGCATCTGGCTGTAGATGGGGAGGATGCTCAACTTGGGCGGGTCGTTCAGCGCGTCGAGTCGCTTCTGTATCAGCTCGCACGTGATTTCAATGTCTTCCTGACCCGTCATGAAGACGAGAATGTCGCCGGGGTCCATAGACACGTGAATGGCGAGAACCTGCTGCACCGTCTGGTCGACGTAGTCCTCGACCGGTGAGCGGTGGAACATGACGTCGACGGGGAATGTGCGGCCGGGGATGGTAAACTCGGGGGCGTTGCCGAAAAATTCGGAAAAGCGCTTCGAGTTCATTGTGGCAGAGGTGACAATCAGCTTCAAGTCGCGCCGGCGCGACAGAATCTTTTTGAACAGACCAAACAGAATATCCGTGTTGAGAGCACGCTCGTGAGCCTCGTCCATGATGATGCACGAGTATCGGTCCAGATCGGGCTCGGTCAGAGAGTGCTGAAGAAGGATACCCTCCGTCATGTACTTGATTTCGGTATCCTTGCTCGTCACATCCTCGAAACGGATGGAATAACCAACAGTCGTTCCTAGCTCTACATCCATCTCTTCGGCTACACGCTTGGCGACACTCATCGCCGCAACACGACGCGGCTGCGTGCAAGCAATCATGCCCGTCTTGGCATAGCCATCCTCGTATAGAAACTGCGTGAGCTGTGTCGTCTTTCCCGAACCGGTTTCTCCTATCACAATGGTGACTTGGTTCTCTCGAATCACACGCAGCAATTCCTCGCGCACTGCAAAGGCCGGTAGGTATTCGCGCTGCTCTCGCAACGATTTGCTCCGGCTGAAATCGCTCGCGCCCTCGGCCTTTTTCATGTGCGTGCTAAACTTGTTCCCCTTGCGTTCAGCGCTGTCCGCATCCGCCTCTACCGGTGCAGGGAGCGCGCTGTCACCCTCATCTTCTTTGGCGCCCATAATGTTTCCGAGGGCGGTGCCCGCCAGACTCGTCGCCTGCTGGGCCTGTTTCTGTCGCTCGCGCTGCTGTCTCGCCTCCTTGACCGCCTTGCTTCCCTTGCGACTGAACACGGCCATGTCACTCTGATAGTCGCGGACGGCCGGTACCGGGTCGAGCTGTTTGGTAAAGATGGTGCGACCGTCCAGGAACGGCGGCCGCAGCTCGTGGACTAGCAGATGCACACGGGTCGCCTCTTGGTCGTCAAAGTCTGAAGCCATGTCGCGACGTTGGGCAACGCCAGATACGAGCATTCGGTTCGTTTCCCAGGCGTCGTTGTCTTTGCGCCGCTGTTCTTGTCGCGCGTCGTATCGGCTGGTCATCTTTTCGGCTCGGGCAGACTCGAGCTGAAGCGCCTCTGCGGTGGACGTCTCGTACGACGCAAACGGGTTGTGCGTCTCATCGCCAAACGCATGCGCACCAAATTCATCCTGCATGTACCAGTCTCGTTCCAGCACTTTCCAGTCCTCGTCGGCAGTCTCCTTCTCGTCTGCCTGCTTCCCAGATGGCGCTGGCGCATATCGAGACTGGGCGCGTGGTGCGGACCCACGGGAGTCATTGTCAAATCGATGGTTTGAGTGCGCGCCGTCCACACGGCGTCGTTTGGGATTATACCCATCGTATTCTCGCTCTTCTCCCATGATAAACGGCGATCGCTCCAATAGATGGCGTCGATGAGAGCTTCAAGATGTTTGTTGCGGCGGCGCGACTATGGCCGGCGAAGTTTTGCCGCGTCCACTATCGATAAGTGTCGGCCCCGCTGAAATTTTTGGAAGTCGGTGGGAGGACCCCACGTCGAGATTTAAATCTTGGGCTTCAATCTGCCAATAACATATTCAGCCAATCGCGCAAAATGTCGATGATCACAGCTGCCCAGTGGGTCCCCAGGGGATTCGCTGCGCCGTTCCCCCAAAAATACACACTTGACGAGGCCGAATATGAGAGAATAGCCGAGCTCGCCAAGCTCCAGCTCGACGACGCTGAGGACGACCTCAAGGAAGCGCAAGAGAAGGAGGGCGATGATGACGATATGGTGGGCGAGGCGCCGGCAAATCGGAAGAAGAACCGCAAGTCAAAGACCAAGTATGTGTATAGAAATCTGAGTACAAATTCCCCTGCTAATTGTCCAGCTACAACGACGACGAGGACCTGAAGAAATATAACCTGGATGACTACGACGACGAGGACGACAAGCCCACCGAAGAGGTCCAGGGCCTCAGCATGTTTGGCAACATGAAGTCTCTTTCTTACTACGAGGACAACAAGGACGATCCTTATATCACGCTCCAGAACGAAGACGACGAGGAAAAGGAAGACTTGCAGATCCTTGCTACCGACAATCTGATTCTCTCCGCCAAGGTGGAGGACGAGATGGCGCACCTCGAAGTTTACGTCTACGAAGACGCCAGCGACAACCTCTACGTGCACCACGACATCATGCTGCCCGCCATCCCTCTGGCCGTCGAGTGGATCGACATGCCGATGAGCAACAACGGCACCGAGGGCAGCGACGCCCGCGGCAACTCGGTGGCCGTCGCGACCATGGACCCGGACATTGAAATCTGGGACCTCGACACCATCGACTGCATGTACCCCAACGCGATCCTGGGCCCCAGCGCCGACGCCAACCCCAGCATCGTCAAGCCCAAGAAGAAGTCCAAGAGCAAGAAGACAAACGACAACTACCACGTCGACGCCGTCCTGGCGCTGGCCGCCAACCGCAAGCACCGCAACCTGCTGGCCTCGGCCTCGGCCGACAAGACAGTCAAGCTGTGGGATCTGCACACGGCCAAGTGCGCCAAGTCGTACTCGTACCACACCGACAAGGTCTGCTCGCTGGCCTGGCACACGGTCGAGCCCACGGTCCTGCTGAGCGGCAGCTACGACCGCACCATTGTCGCGGCCGACATGCGCGCGCCCGATGCCAAGGTCCCCCGCTGGGGCGTCGAGAGCGACGTCGAAAACGTCAAGTGGAACGTCCACGACCAAAACTACTTCTTCGTCTCGACCGAGGGCGGCGCTGTCCACTACTTTGATGTGCGCAACGCGCCCGCCAACCCGGCCACGAGCAAGTCGGTGTGGACGCTGCAGGCGCACGACGAGTCGGTGTCGTCGTTTGACATCAACCCCATCATCCCCGGCTTCATGGCCACCGGCTCGACCGACAGAACGGTCAAGCTGTGGAACATTCAAGCGAGCGGCCCATCCATGGTCGTCTCGCGCAACCTCGACGTCGGCAAGGTGTTCGCCACGACGTTTGCGCCCGACGCCGAGGTGGGCTTCCGCCTCGCCGTCGCGGGTAGCTCTGGAAGCATGCACGTCTGGGACACGAGCACAAACCCCGCCGTTCGCAAGGTGTTTGCCGAGCGTTTGCCCGAGAAGACGGGCGATGTGGAGGACCGTCTTGTTGGTGTGGACGATGACGACAGCAGTTCCAGCGAAGAGGAGGACGAGGGTGATGTGGCTGCCGAGGGTGAGGATGACGACGAGGACGATGATGAGGAAGACGAGGAAGACGAAGAAGACGAGGATATGAAAGAAGCTTAATGTCGTGATATCTACTACCTACATTTCCTTTGGGTCCGGTGTTTGGAAAATGAAAAGTGAATTAGCATCCTGAATAGACCAGGGTCATCCCCCCATTGCGCAGCTCGACAATGAAATATCCATGACCTCTCGATGGCCCGATCTTCCCGCTTTAATGTCACCGACCGTCCGAAACGTAATCTCCGGCGGCCCTGAACCCGTCCTGTCAATATGCACCCTCGCCACGCGGTGCGCGTTGCATATATACCTGCCGGGCACGCACGCATCGTCCCCGCCGCACCCCTCCCCGGCGGCCGCCCACGCGCTTTCCTCCACTAGCACCAAGCGGTCGACAATCAGCGGTTGTTGCTCGAGGCCGTCATCATCGTGCGCGTGGCGGCCGAGCGCCGCCACGAGCGAGTGACGCAGAACCGCCGCGGCCCGCCGTCGCAGGCCCGGCGCGCGGCACTTGTGCACGATGAAGTTGCAGCTCGCGTAGATGCTCGGCGTCGACAGCACCGTGTTGGTGGCGGCGGCGGCAGCGGCGGCCGCCGGCAGCGCCGCCTCGAGACACGCCACCGCAGCGGCAAAGTCGCGCGCAAACGGATCCCAGCATGTCTCGCTGGCGAGAGACGGTACGACGCGCAGCAGCACGCGGACGAGCACGCGGCGCAGGTCCAGCGCGACAATGTCCACGTCTAGGGGCGGCGCGCGGCGGCCGCTCCTCCGCAGGCGCGCCGTGTACGCCGCGTACCGGGCCTCCCACGAAGAAAAGAGCCGCGCAAAGGGCTGCCGTCGCTCGAGGGCGATGGCCATGTCGCTGTCCGAGGGCGCACACGGCAGCGCGTCGAGGATGTCGTGCACGCTGTTCCATATCATGTCGAGCTCGAGGCAGGCGCGCAGCGCCGACGTCAGCGGCCGTCGCTGCAGCGCGGCGAGGGCATCGAGCCACCGCCAGGGCGGCCGGGCGAGCGCCGCCTGCTCGTCGGCGCCACCCGCCGTCTCGAGATGGAAGTCTTGCGCCACGCGCTCCATCTTGACGTACACGTAGAGGATCTGCGCCGCCAGGGCCGCGACGGACGGCACGTCCAGACACTCCCAAAACGCCCACTGGCGGACGAGGCGGCGGCTGGTGGCGACGATGCTGGCAAAGACGCGGCGCTCGCCGATGCCCATGGCGTAGCTGGCGAGGAGGATGGTGGCGAGCAGCACGGCGGTGCGGTCCTGCGGCGAGGGAGGCCGCGCCGGCGACAGCACCGCCCGCTGTGCCGTCAGCTGCAAGATGTGCCGGACAGCGGCCGAGTACTGCCGCGTGCTCTCCTGCTCGACGAGGGCGGCGGCGCGCACCGTCAGCTGCCCGCCGGGGCTCCGCGCCCATGTCGCGCCGGCGAGGGCGTTGCTCGCGTGCCAGACGGCGGGCACGGCGCGGGCGACCTGCGGCACGTCGCGGCTCCAAAACGTGCTGTTGAACTCGTCGCCGGCGACGGCGCCGATTTCGGTGATGAAGTACCGGCCTAGTGCGCGCTCGGCGGCGGTCGGCACCACGAGCGTCGGCTGCAGCCGGCTGTCGGCCGGGGCTAGCGTCCGGGCCGTCGCCGGCACCGCGGGGAGGTGGTAGCCCTCACAGGGCCGCCAGGCGCTGATGCAGCGCTGGCAGGCGGGTCGGGCCTCGTCACACTTGATGCGACGGGTGCTGGATATGGCGCGCCGGTTAGCTGTTGCGGCAACCAAAAATTAAATGATGGGCAGGGGGGAGAGTTTCGGCGTACCGGCATGTCAGACAGCCTGTTCGGGTTCGCGGGGCGAACCGTTTCCTCCGCGGCGGGTTCTGGCCGTCAGCGGAGGAGTTGTCTTTGATCATGTGGAGGTTTTTTGCAGGTGCAAGGGTATCATAGGCCTGCTGCGCCTGTTGGGATGGCGATGGCGGCGGCACTTCACGAAACCTCAGCCCTGATAGTCAGAGAAGGATGACACATCGTATCATCGTATGGTCCTTCCACGTTGTACACGCCAAGCCGACAAAAATGCAGGGTGTTGAACCAGCGCAAGCAGCCAATTCGACGCTAGCCTCTGATTGGCCAGTGCTGGCGGAAGACCCACTTTCGCGGGTCTGATTCCAGCCAGCGAGGAAGGCAGCGTTTGAATTATCATAATCAATCATCAGGAACCAAATTGACGTTATTTATTGTTTTGTTATTATTCGGAATACACCTTGATTCCAACACAGGGATAGAAAAGAGTTGAAGCCTGCGCAACCAGCGCAGCAAGACCGCCGATTGGTTCATGGCAGGGCCTGGGCCCCTGCCTGTCACACGGTGTCACAGACGATCCTCTAGAGATTCCTTCCCGACAGAGGGCGCTCCACGTACCGCCAATTTGACGAGGCAATATATGTACCTCAAGTCCAAAATCGTCTGCTTGCAGTTCCTTGGGCAGAAAATTCGGACAAGACATCTGTTTATAAATTGGCTGCTTCATCATTGTCTCGTCATTCACCGCGGCCATAACATGTTTTTTGTCCTGTGCCACGTGGACCCTGTAGTACATCCATCCAATGATGTGTGTATCCTCGCCGCCCAGTGTTTTACAAGTGATTTGCACGGTAGGGTTTTTGATAAAATCAATAACATATTCTTATTAAGCCGGTGTTATTCTTATTCTCCCAATGACGTCGTACCTACACCGCCTTTCAGTGCTTGGGCTGTCAGCTGTACCTACTAGTACCTACTAAGTAGTCCAGCTAGCTTTATCACGACAGAGCGGAACAACCTAATTCCCTTATGCGTATACTATCAGCCCCTAAACTCAGCTCAGCACCTCACCAAACGCATTGTCGCCCTAACACTACCTCTCCACGTGCGGGTTTCCCTCCTACACCATGGATAGACTACTCGCCTACCTATGGACGCCATTTCAAAGAGCAGTGGCCGAGGCCGATAGTTCAGATGCGGACGAGATCATAGGGCAAAGTAGGTTAAGCAAGCACCTTGCGCCAGGTAAGTTGGCTCCAGCTATCCATGACGGCTGTATCTTCGACTAAACGAATGTAACCAGGCACCGTGCTCATACACGAGAGTCCAATGCGGCGGGTCGTGCTCGAACCAAACAACACGGTCGTCAAGGCAGGACGACACCTAGTTCTTGCCGAGGCAGACGCCATCAAAGTCGCTTCCGACGCCGGCCTCCCAGCGCCTCGTCTGCATAGCCTGTCCACCAACGAGCATCGCGTAGTGGAAATACGCATGGATTATATTCCAGGGCAGAGCCTAGACAAACTATGGCCAACCATGTCCACTGACGAGAAGAAGAGCGTTGCCAGTCAGCTTCGTGAAATTATCGAGCAAATGCGAGCGATGGAGCCGCCACCCAACTACATCGGCTGCTGCGGCGGCACTGGAATCAGGGAGACCACAGTCCATTCCAGAGACGAGGGGCCAGTCTGCAAAGACGAAACAGAATTCAACAATTACTTGGTATCGTCGCTCTTTAAACAAATCCCAACTGTACTACGGACCTCATTCCGCAACCACCTACGAACTGACCATCGCATTGTTTTCTCGCATGGGGACCTTACACCAAGAAATATAATGATGCAAGATGGTAAAATCTCTGGTGTTGTTGATTGGGAGGACGCCGGCTGGTATCCAGAATATTGGGAGCTTATCAAGTTCATTGAACGCCCTGCTGTAGGTGATTGGAAAGAATATGCGGAGGTCATATTCTCTACGCTTTACCCCACTGAGCTAGTCACTTATGCGGGCATGTCTAAGTGGCGATTCTAAGTGGCGATTGGGCTAGTTGTGCTGGCTGAACATGCTAAGTTGTCACCAATGATGCAAATGTTATGCAACTATAGTATATATCTGCGATGCAATCGTATAATCCAATCGTTCCACGATGTCCTAGTTAATAGCCTCCACCGGAGTCCTCCCTCGACAGTCTTCTTTCTCCTTGGGAACAATCGATCCATCCAAGTCGCACTTAGCCTTGCTCGCGCACCTGTATCGTCACACATCGCCTATCGCGACTAGGCCAAAGTCTCATCCGATGCCTCCATTGTAGTTTCAATCATGCCATCCAGCCCAGCATTGTATTGCGCTTCATCGAGATAGCCTCTTTGGAAGAGCATCAAAAGTGCCTTTTGTACCCATTGCTGGCAGTTGAACTCAGGATCGTCGTTCCTCACGGCGACGGATTCCAAAAGAGTGGCAAGCTCAGACGAACTCAATGAGAGCTTTGTGTCGCCGGCTGGGATCTTTCCGGCAAACTTGGTCGAAAACTCAGGGTCGTAATTCGTGCGCTTCTCGTATTGGAAGGATCCGGGAATGCCACAAACATGGAAGTAATAGCTGTGGGTTTCATCGTCTGGTACCAACCATAGTCCAGTATGCCTCCATTTGGAGAAGTCCATGGGTTCGCCCCTGAAAACGACGACGAAAACACTGTATTTCCGTTTGCTGGACATCGGAAGAGGAGTGCGGGTGAAAGTAGAATTGAAGACAGCGTTTCTGCTCGTGCAGCTGTAGTGATTTTGTGATGTCCTCTCTGGAAAGCTGCTGCAGTTTGAAAAGGAGACAGCCTGATTGATATTCACTCACCAGAACACGTGAACATGTTTGGGCGGCTAATAATGCCACTTCATTGGTGCTGCTGCCACACACCCCGCCTCACCTGTCATAATGTGAGAGAGGTAAAAAAAAAGGCTGATAATTCTACGCCCGGTAGAAGCCGGAGGGGGTCGAACGATGACTAAAATAAGAGGAATAATAAAAATAAGGAAAATTAAAAAGATAAAAGAAGTTAATAAATCGTAAGAATAAGGAAGAGGTTAGTGTTCCTAACCGGCGGGTTATTTTGTTCCCCCTGGTGCCTGGGCTACCTCTTTTCATGCTGTGCGGCGAGCGCCGGGGGGAGGCCGTAGAGGAGGGACGCAGAGGTGGGCGGCGGCGAGAGTATAGGGCGAAAGAAAAGGCCGTGGCTGCTTCGCACAACTACCAAAGACTAACGAGTGCTACCTCCGAGTCGAGGATATCGTCGGCGCCCGATAGGAAGCCGCTGTGGAAGGCCTTGTTTAATACACTGTGCACGGTGGTACGCGGTTACTCTGCGGCCCGGGCCGCGATCCGTTGCTGGGGCCAGTTGTGCGGGAGGTGACGGCGGGTGTGGCTATCGCGCGGATGACGGGGGCACCGTGTTAGAAGACGTGATCTAGAATATACTCCACGACTTGGCACTGAGAAGCGCTTTTTAGGCTAGTATGCTAGCCGGTTTAGAGATAAATAGTCGCGAGAGTTGAAGGTTATTCTCAGGGCGCTATTGGAAGCGGCGAACTAAGGGGAAGGATCCGCACGCCGATTCTGACGTCGGTCTATCAGCTGTTAAGATCAGGTTCTAGTAGAGCAAAAACAGTCGGAAATTTGAGTGGGTGTTCCTTAAAAGGTCAGAGATCCTTGTTCGCTGTAGAAAAGAGCACTGTATTTCCCGCATACCACAAGGCAGGTGGCCTCCGATTCATTTGCGATGGTATTGCTCTCTTCACAACCTTTTGGTTTATATTGTCAACCCGAGCCGAGACTTGAGCATCCCCGCCTACGCTCGCTGGAAGCGAAACGGACACCTGCAGAGACTTGCCGTATCCCAACCCTGGATACGAACACAATCAAATAAAAAATCGCCATTCGATCTGCACACATCACATGATGATCAAGGGGCGTCGAGTTTCAACGTGGCCCACGCTAGGCTTACAGATGACACGCAGAGGCGGGGGCGGCAGCCGGGGGCAGCCGGGGGCAGCCGGGGTCGGCCCCCGGTTGAAACAACAAGGTGTAATCGGGCGGCATGAATGGCTTCGATAGAAAACGTTTCATTTTTTTCGGCGGGAGAGAAAGAGCTAACCGGATGGAATTAGAACAGCTAAAACTGGAAATGTGAAACAGAGATAAAAAGGGTCCCTGGCGATACCATTCGCTTTGTAGGAGAGGTACCGGCGCAGTTGTTGGCAAGCGGACTCGCGGAAATAATGGGCAAGCGGACTCGCTGAAATGCATGCAATTAATGTGCCAATTGAGTTCATGCAAGGGAAAAAATAGCACCGACGTTGTTATCAGCCCAGATGGGCGACAACGAGTGCGATGCGAAAACGATAACAGAGAAGGACTTATCGTAACGGCCGGGTTGGTATAAGTGGCTGATGAGTGACAGAAATTATTTTAAGTGCTGGCACATACCCTAGGCGGATCGCTCCTGACTACCCCGTATTAATATAAAAGATGCGACGAGAGTCTCCTGTAGTGGCAGCGTGAAATGAGCAGGACGGAAAGGTTGGATTTCGGGGTTTGAGGCGCGGGGTCGCGAACCAGGGTGTCAGATGGCGCCAGTGTTGGCTGGCTTTTGATTGCTGTCAGAAGAAGAACAAAGTGAAGCCTACGCTGGTCGTGTCTATTCAACTACCTTGCCGTGTGCGATATTTGGCCGCGAGATAAGACTATTCAAGGGCAGCAAAGCAGTGTACGGGACTCTCGTGGATACGGTTCACCTCGATGTAAGCCAAATGGGTTCCTGTTTATTTGATACTAAGTATGGTTCATAAGGAGGGTGGAGATGAAGGGTAGACTGTGTTGCTGCAGATGCAAACGGAATCAAGGGCGTGGAGGGTTTGAACGGATTAATGCAGGCAATATTGACGGGGTCGATGTTGGCGCTTGACTCGCCGATATTTCCGCTATTGAGGCCGGCCGGGCGAGGGACCTGTGTGGAGCAATACGTCTAGGAGAGCATGTTGGGGACCCCTTGAATCGTTTCCCAGCTGCCAGATTGGGAGCAAACTGGCTGGGAGGCCTTGGCATAAAGACTTGGAGTTGTACCAGTAGTTACTGAGCCCAGAATGCGGCTGACTCGTTTGCATAATAAATCGATACATATGTCTGTACAGACAGCGTAATGGGACCACCTGCGCTACCGAGACAGCGGCGCCCGCTCAATGATTTTTGCAAGGTCTTCGATGGAAAGAGGGGCAAACAAGAAATCGGGGCGATGAGAGGGACTGAGCGTTGAGCGGGCACGGGAGAGACTCAACTCAGACGAGGGATAGAGTTTTGAGAATTGGAGATGGATACTTGTGACTTGTGTGAGGGACTTTGAGGGGAGGGAGTGATGAGGTGGTAGATGGTGCGCTGGGCGTGCTGGGCAGGGCCGCCGGTCCAAAGTACCTCTATAGTGGGATTCGTACATCAAAGGTACAAGCCACCCCCAGCTCGTGGACTAGCTCGGTGCCTGAAACCCGGGATGGGCAGGGGGTTGTTTGGGCGCGCGCATGCAGGGCCAGCCAGGGCACCATTGGACGACGGCAAGTCGAGGAGGAGGCATCCAAACCCAATGTGCGAAGCAGTGTGCCAATGTGCGTCCGTCGTGGCACAGAAACGGCCAAGAAGGAGGATGTGCGGGAAAAGGGGGCAGGGCCACGCGTAGGCGTCCGGGAACAGAGTTTGATGGGCGCGGGATCCTGCTGACGAGACGGAAACAACTCTGCCAAAACTAGAACAGAGATGTACAGTGTGCGAGCGCCGAGCGCAAAGTGATGAACAAAAAGTGAAGGCATTTTTTTTTGTCACATGAAACAGAGGCAACTGAGTACATATTTTTTGGCGGACCTTTTACCAAACAGGGCGTCGCTGACCCTGGCGAAATCGAAGAAATGCCGTCAGCTGTTTTTAATTGATTTTCCAGGCTACATGTGAGAAGGAGCGCAAAGACCACCGCTGCGGCCCTCCCCCAGATATCGAGGGGGGCTCCCCAGAAGCCTGTGTCGGGCTCGGACGAGGGCGAGACATGTCGCTACAATTTACTGGAGCGGCAGTCTTGCTCGCTCCACGAAGAAGAACTGGTTAGAAAGTCTAGACTTTTTGTACCCAGAGTTTAAAAAAAAAAAAAGGCCGCGCAACAAACAAAAACAGAGATGGAGGAGTTTTGGTCCTGCAGGCACCGGTTTACGCCACTGGCTGTTGAACCAGGGGCAAGGCCACCTCAACTGGTAGCGCCCAACCGGTGCAGCACCATTGGGCGGGCGTCGACCATGATTGGCCGATCGCCAAGCCGAAGAAGCAGAAAATATGGAGCCGGAGCTTCTTCCAGGGATGCGAATCGTGAGCCCTGGCGCTAGACTTCGCTGGGCGGCGCTCATTGGCCGTCTTGCGGTCCAAAGGGTGGACTTTACAGCGGGGCAGCCAGGTCTAGCGAAAGGTACCGCTGTACCAACGTGCCCTGTGGCGTTGCGGCCGGTACCCCTCTGCGGCGCACTTCGCTCTGCGTGAGGCTTGTACCTGCACAAGTCAGTCAGGTGTGTGTCCGCGCGCGCGACCGACGAGCCAAATGTTGGACAAATCAGGTGTGTGTGTACCAGTTCGCAGGCTGCCAAACTGCTTCTTCTCGTCGTTTCTTTCTTAGTGCCGTTTTTTTTTCTCCTGGTGGGCTTGGTTTTGATGGATCTTACGTGGTCCTGCATCTTGTCCTCCCACACCTTCTTCTTCTTACCGGCCCCCCCCCTTCGTTTGCCGACTCGCCTTTTTTTTCCCCTTCCCTTCTTCATATTCTTTGCAAGAATACACAATCCTTTTTTCTTCACTGCTTTTTTTGCACACGCTGGTTTCGTCCCACGTCCGTTTCTCTCCTTTGACGACGTGCAAGCCCTTTCTCTCCTTCTTAGTCTGCGACTAAACGTTACGCTACACGCTATTACACTGCACTACATACCAACGCCTACAGGAAACACCACCGCAAACTATTCGCGACACCGACTTTTGTTTGCGCCCTCGCCTGTATTCGCGTCCACGCACTCCTTCTCAATATTCGCCCATTGTTGCGACTCGCTTTGAACTCACTCCTTGATTCAAACCCTCATCCTTTATCATCATCTCTGGTCAAGTTTTTCGACAAACGGCCTCGAATAACAAACGCACAACGCTAGCGTGCCACCTGCCAGGTACACAAGGTACACACAGCAGCCTCCGGACTTACGACTACCACAGCTACCACAGCCAAAAAGGGCATCCCCGAAAAAAAGGCCGCAACCCACGTACCCACTACGCTACGCCGTTTTTCGCTTCCGGTACAGTTACCGACTCTGACAAGGAAAAAAAAGACTTTCGGAGCGCCCATTTCGTTTCGGTAGGACCACTTCCGAATCACTTGGAATTTCATTGTTCCTGTCCTATTTTTGTGTGCCATTGAGGACTCAGGATTCACTGCAAAGCCACCCGTTTCCTCTGCCGAATCCTGCTCGGTCCTTTTCCCCGCACAGCACTTGACCGCCGCACCTGCTCAGCGCTACGGATATTCTGTACAGCCCCGCTAGACATCCAGCCAGTCACCTTCCACCTTGGGAAGCATCAACCTCGACACACCTGCCGCAAATCCTGTGCTGCATCCCACCAATCCCATCAGTGCTGCCTAGGATCTCTCGCGTTCCGCACCATTCGCCGCTTTGCAACGTTCCTCGCCAAGCCACAGTCTTTTGTCTTCTCTGCCTTTGCAGAATATTGCCATCTCAACTCTTGGTCACCCGGTTCAACATACCACGCGCACACCAGCGCTAACGCAACGGCACAACAAACCGCCTCCACCACCGGCTGCCACCTGCGCCGTCGCCTCCACTTGCAACTTGCCAACTAGTTGTCATTCCCTCATTGGTCTCATTCTGGTTGTATAATACCACCTAATCGCCCACCGCTGTCTACCGGCCACGATCTTGTTGTTATTGCACAATTTTTCCGTCACAAAGCTTTCGCCATGTCTCTCTCGCGAGCCTTTACCACCTCCCGCCGCAAGCTCGGCCTCGATACCGACTCAACTCACGGCTTTATGAAGCGTAGCAACACCACCAAAACACCCGATATTCGCCTCAAGATTTCTGGTCCTGTCGAACTCATCCACACCACAAACATCCTGACCTACAGCGCGCCCGATCTGCCTCGCCGTTTCCGCAGCGACTCGGACTCGACCTCGTCCAAGGCTGCCGACTCGGACACGGAAACCTTCACAACCGCAGACTCGACACCCCCAACCAGCCCTGATGTATCTCCCGCCGAGCGCGACTGCGCTTCCCCCACACCGGAGCCGAACCACTTGTCCTGTTACTTCCAGACCACTGGCCAACCGATCACACCAGACCCTGCGGCCCCTGCCATCCCTAGGCGGTCACCCTCGCATACTAAAAAGGCCAGCTACGAGGCCCTCGCCCGAAAGCGCTCCGTCTCTCGCCAGTCGCGCGACTCGGACATGTCGGCCTCTTCACGTCCCGGTCTGACGTTTTCTCGCTCATCGTCGACGTCTACGCGTGCCTCGTCTGGCTCGTCCACTTTTGCGCAAAAGTCGGGCGCTGTTACCCCGCCTGTCAACGCCAGCAAGGAGATGCATCCTTTCGGCCAGGAACTTGCTCAGGTAAGCGAGCTTGCCGAGGAGTATGGCGCCGGCGACAAACTTGCGCCCATTGACGAGGAAGAGGAGCTCTACCTCAGCTCCCGCGGCCTCGCCAAGTTCAACGCCGACGACTACCTGGGCCTTGTCCATAGCCTTAGCAGCTCGTTCTTCACCGAGCATCCTGCGGCGCCGGCCCCTCTCTGGATCTAGGCCGCTGTCGAAAAGGACAGGCTTGACAATTTCATTGCATCTTTGGCTGTACATATTCAACCACATACCGCGGGGTACGTATTTGCTTGGCAAATGCACATCTGAACGCTCTCTATTTTTTTATTTTGCGCAACTACAAGGGACATATGGGACAAGGGATTCAACAACTACGACAAGGTCAGCGATTGAGCGACGCCATGACGGGCTATAGGCTCGTCTGTTTTGAGGCAGTCCTTGGTGATTTATGGTGATGGCGTTTATAGACACAGGGTCCACCGGCGGCCACGGAACAAACTTGACACATGTTTTGACGATTTTTTTTATTTGTATGGTTACTACCGACACGAGCTTAGTTGATCTTTGCTCATTGCCACGACGGCATTCAATCTACCTTGCTTCTTTGCTACTTGGGGTCTTTCTTACTCTATGTGATGTGCCATTTCCCCGAGAAGATTTCTCATGAAATAATTAGCGCATGCATGCCGGTTCTGCATCAGCCGCCGCCATGTCTCAGACTTGCACCCGTCGGCCTTTTAGCGCATGCCAGTTGCCAGTCTGCAAAGCAAATGACTGCTCTCACTACAGATTTATACTAGGTATAGTCGTGCAGTTCTGGCGGTCATGAGAGGGGCTGGCTTCTAAGGAACCGCCCCCTGCCCGATCAAGTGTCAGGTAATAAATACCCAACTATATCCATGTGGCCGGCCGCCACCGGTATGGCAACCTATACGCCAAAAGCAAGAAACCACTCTCAACTGCACATAGGTTACCACCCACTTGCTGTTTCGACAGTGGCGCTTTGTTAAGGAGCATGATATCCCTCCCCCGCACCACGAGCAGCCACGTTGTCGCACATTCCTTTAACTTCGTCGTCACAAGATGGGGACTGGATCGCAACCTTCCTCTTTCGGCCGGTCTGGTCTTGGTAAAGTCGCAGATGGGCGGGGATGGAATTAAAAAAAAAACCCCTGCTAGCGCGGGGGGGCTTGTCTGTGTGGTTGACGGGCGCTAAGATGTGAAATCGATGATGGGGGAACTACAACAGACGATGCATTTCTGGATACCAAGTGTGAGATGCTAAAGGGGATGTTTTACTGAGCTACAAATACGGGGGAGCTAAAATTTAAATTACAGAAAATTGGCACGAATCGGGCATCTTTCCTAGCACTCACCACTCTCGATAGCGAAGCTCCGTCGCGAACCTCGCAAGTTGTGGTGTGAAAACCAGTCTGGGGTCGTTTTCTTTTTTTTCTTCTTTTAAATAGACGCTCTATTAATTGTACCACATGTCTTGTAGCATTCCCCATTCCCACTTCCTCCGCCGCATCCAAGCTTTGTAGCGATGTTGTTGCGCGCCTCGATGGAGCGCCTGGTGCGGCTGTCTGGAGCGCGGACTGGGCCCGCCCTGCACCGGGACCCCAAGATACGGGCTTCGTCGACGTGTCAGCGCGGCAGATGCTCATCCCGTGCGGTATCGTCGGGCCCGCTGACGCACGGCAGCAGGCGCTCGGACAGCTCTTCCTGTCGACGTACACCGAGGACCCCGTCTGGCGGGGCGCGCAGCTGATTGCGGGCACGGTCAAGGACTATCTCGACCCGGCGATTCACGGGTACGTTGTTTTTCCACGTGGTGTGCGGGACGCAAGCCGTGAGTAAGGGTTTTGGATTAGGTACCTGCTGCAGTATCCCATGGAAATGCGAGCGTGGCTGCAATGTATCGCTCGTTGGCTTTCTGCGCAAGACCTAGTCTACAATCCGGCGTAGACCCGACAACTGGTAGCAGTCCACGTACTCGGGAGGTTACACTCGCAAGTACCCGCAGCCATGTCGACTTTGGGGCTTGGCGATATAAGCTTCCCGCTGTGCAGATTGGCAACGCAACACGGCGATAGCTGATCGGAGACATTTACCTGCATGGCGACTTCGTCAAAGAAACGCTCGCGGCCTCCGCTCATACATCTCTTGCTGAGAAACAAGCGCACATGGTCCACTCTCTGCCCAGACCGACTGGTGACTGCGTCATTTCAGCTGCGTTTGAGTGCTTGCGATCCAACCTCAATGTGGCCAGCATATGTCCCTCGGTGCAAGTCGAGCGCATGCAGGCCGCTTTGGGCACAGCGGGCCGGGGCTTGCGTCCATGTTTGCGCAGACGATGCGCTTCGTCGCGGCGTACTACCCTCACTACACCTCCGGGAGGCGGTCGCGCAGATGCTGACGCCGGACCTGCAGGCCGTGTTGATGCTGCTGCAGATGATACGGGAAGCATTCGACGGGCCCATGGAGTTCTTTCGCGATGGATGTCATGTTGATAGTGACCTCCTCCTGTCGTTGAAGGCCTTGTTGACTGTACCACGCGACCGGGACTCTGGTAGCAGATTGCGCTGCATCAGTGCGCGAGTCAAAAGATCACTGATGAGCTGATAACATGGTACCTTGAATGGTTGCTTCTGTTGGACCTGACCGCGATTAACGTAGTACACTCTCGTTTGAAGAAGCCTAGTACTTTTGCTGCTTGGCTTTCGGTTTCAGCATCCTCCGTTTACTGTGTCTCGAGTCTCTAGAGCCTCGTCATCGCGAGGCTGCTGGGATTCTCCGCCCGGTGTTGCGCACCCCATGCCATGACTGGTTCGCTGCCGCCGCGGCTCCTTTCTTATTTGACCACTTCCTTCCAAATTCCATTCTGTTGTTCCCAATAGTGCCTGCAGGCCGCTCACGGCTCGTTGATATAGCGATCGTGGACAATGTCTGGCTCGCGGCAGCCGGTCGGCACTCCTCATGAAGAAATATTGAGATAACCCCCTAGTGTCGCCCCGCGGCTCCCTCTCAGCACAATCAGGAATGATCGGCAAAATATAGGAAACCACCAGAATGCGCTGCGCAAGACATGATTGGGTGATGTGGAAGCTAAACCTGCACTTCGCTGCACTTCGGCGGGGAAACCAGGCTTCAAGCAACCAGGCGGCCCAACTATCGCCCGACAACTGCATCTTCTCGTCCTTCTAGCCCCTGATGCCGTGTAGCTTTTCTCATTCTTTGCTGTGTGCCCCTCCGTCACACCTAGGAACTAAACTCAATCGTTGCTGTTCAGAGAAGCGATATTGGTGTCACCTGCCACCAACCAGCGTCACGAGTGTAACACCACCACCCCCTCGTGCGAAAATGGAAAGAGCGCAAGCGCGGCTTCTCACCTTCGTGCCCATTGTCGTGGCCACTGTCTATCTGGTCTTGGCAGTAAGGGCTGAATCTTCACGACAGCAGGCTCAAATAGAGGGCCATCCCGCCGATGACTCAAAGGTTTGGCTTTGTCTTCTGGTCAACGGATAAAGCTGCATATTAATGCCCTCTAGGACCAGACCCGGAAGCGTCTTACAATAGTATACCCTGAGCAGACGGGCGACGCTGTCGACGATGCCGAGATTGAGTACGTTATTAAACCTATTTGTAAAGGAATGTTGATCTAACCATGGCAGCATCATTGCCGTGCATGGCCTCGGGTCAAACGCTGACTGGTCTTGGGTATATCAGGACGGCGATAAGCACGTCAACTGGCTTCGCGACCCTAATATGTTACCGGCAAAGATACCCAAGGCAAGAATCGTAGTGTATCGCTATGATTCAACTTGGCATTCAAATGCACCTAGGACGCGCCTCCAGCTATGCGGCGAGGGGCTCGTACATAGCCTACACTCGTTTCGCTCCAAGTGCCCAAAACGACCCTTAATTTTTGTCGGTCACAGTCTAGGGGGAAATGTCATTTTACAGGTTCGCTGACCCCGCCATTTCTCAAGTTCAGCGCGTCGGCTAAGCTCTGCCCTAAAGGCCATCCTTCATGCCAACGACAACAGCAGATACACGGCACTACTGAAGTCGACCGCTGGTGTCGTATTCTTAGGCACACCCTTTCGAGGCTCCAAGTGGCAACCTCTCGCCAATGCTCTCGCGCTTCTGATGGGACCAGCAGGCTCACACCGCGGAATCACGAGAGAACTGGCGTTTGACGCACCGGTGCTAGGTGACAGACTGCAACGTTTCTGCAGCCTACTTGACAATGACAAACTGCCGATAAAGATCGCGTGCTTTTTCGAGCTCCATGAAACAGACTATGGGCGCAGGCTAGGAATTGCCGGAGTAGTTAAGGGAATGGTATGTAAACACTTCAGGTGCTGCTCGATATCTTGCACCGTACTTAGCGCCCTAGGTCGTCGAAGAGGCGTCTGCTTGCATCTCAGGTCATGACAGGTATCCACTCGAAAAAGACCACCTGAAGATAAACAAGTACTATGGCCCAACTGATCCTGCCTTCGAAACGGTATCCGATGTCATCTCCGAAATGTGCCGAACCGCAAAAGCTATTCCCACAGAGGAGGGCCCTGCTCCCGCCAACGTCAGGAAATGCCTCCAGGAATTGAAAGTAAGAAACCCAGAGGACATTCTCTCTGATATCAAAAGGCAAAAGGGCGAAAGGGTGGGCCATACCTGCGAGTGGATTCTGGAACGAACTGAATTCTCTGTCTGGCTCTCAAAAGAGGAATCACAGCTTCTTCGCCTTATTGGCCCCCCCGGTGTAGGGAAGACGATGATAGCGACTTTTCTCGTCGAGTGGCTCGAAATGAAGATTGGCAAGTGTCCTAGAACGCTCTTCGCTTACTTTTTTTGTGACGATAAAGACGAAGAACGGAGTACGCCAACCGCTGTACTTCGAAGCCTCATCTGGCAGTTATTACTCCAGAGAAACGATCTCTACCGGCACGTGTGGCCAAATGCCGAGGAAAAGGGGCAAACCCAGGAGTTTCCCAGAATTTTCAACGACTTCTCTGCTCTATGGCGGATATTCCGATGCATGCTCCGGCATCCCGGTGTGGACGAGACCTTTATCCTCGTGGATGCCCTCGACGAATGCAAGAGCTCAACTCGTCAGGATTTACTTTCCTCACTAGCAGCTTTTTTCCAGCGAGACTCAGATAAAGGACCGGGAAAAACTAAGCTGCTGATCACATGCAGGCCTGACATTGATGACATCGAGGATGAGCTGAGAAGCCTTGGTGTGCCTCTTAGGGTGGACTCCACAGACATTGACAAGGACCTGTCCGAATACATTGCCGCGAAAGTTGATGAACTTTCTAAAAAGAAGGGATATACATCGAAATGCAAAGAAACAGTAAGCAACGCATTGACACTGCAAGTTGGTGGTACCTTTCTATGGGTATCTCTCATGGTCGCTGAGTTAAGGAGGCCGGAGGTACGCATGCTGGATCTGAATTCCATGCTCAAGCGTTTGCCTCGGGGACTTTACAACACATATGCGGCTATATTGGACCGCGTTAAACTTTGCAATCGGAGTCATGCCCAATTCATTCTGCACTGCATGGTCGCGGCCCGGCGTCCGTTGAAGAAAGAGGAGATCAAAGCAGCCTTTGCAACCTGGAAGACTGGATCGATACAGCGTGGTGAAGATTTGTCAGTTTATGACGACATTCTAACCGTCTGCAGCTCAATTCTCTGGGTGGAATCTGGGGATGACCCAACCCTCAACTTCTGCCACCAATCCGTGAAAGACTTCTTGCTCGACGAGCACGCTCAAGTCCGTGCGTGGTATCATACAACAGAAGAGGAAGCGAATGCTTGCCTTTTCAGGGTCTGCTGGGCCTATTTGACTACCGAGGAGTTCAATCACGGTAGTTTACTTGTTCGTCGCGAGGGGGGAAGCGGCGGACGATTGCGTATCGCAAGCGCTCAGGAGCTCCGTGATCACTTTCCACAGCACTTATTCCTGCAGTATGCCTCGAAAGAATGGGAGAACCATGCATTTGCTAATTCGGCAATCCTATTACGGGAGCTGGCAATCGAAGCCGCAGGAGCACCAACATTACGAGATGCGTTGTTACTACGAGCAGCTAAAAAGGGAAACGAGGCTGTCGTGCGGCTGCTACTTCAACATGGGGCAGCCATGGCAACAGATATGGACAACATGACCCCCATGCACTATGCCGTATCGATAACCAGCAAAGAAATGGCTCAATGTTTTCTCGACGCGAAGGTACATGTTGATATTTCGGTGAAGAGACGGGCTTGGCAGCGACTGGACGGAGTGACTGATGGATCACAAGATGCGCCAGATCAAGATGAGAGGCAAAGAGGACTCACTGCTTTACATTATTCCGCTCTGAAAGGATTCCCTCGGATGACTAAGTTCCTTCTCCAGCAAAAGGCCAATCCTAACGCTGCGTCAGAGTTTGGGGAGACACCTCTTCATCTTGCTCTAAAACGAGACCTGGCTGGTCATAAGTGGCCGGCGTGTTCAGATCCGTGGACTTTTTGGTACACGCGGGAATACTGCCTTAGGATCAAGCCCCCTGTTCCGAAAGATGAGAATGATAGCGAATATTGCACAAAGCTAGCTGCCCTTGAGAAGCAAAGGGTCGACGTTCTCACCTTGCTTTTAGGCAACACACGAACGGACGTCAACGCTCGAGATGACAATGGTGCGACCGCCTTGCATAGCGTGAGGTATGGGATTAGTACATCTTCTGAAGTTGTCGAAAAGCTGATTCAAAGGGGGGCGGACATCTCTGCCCGTAATAGACTCGGCCAGACACCCCTTCACCTAGCCTGCTTGGGAGGAGACGCGCCCTCCATCGACACTTTGGTGGTTCACGGCGCGGCTGTTGACGCAACTGACTATGAAGGTGTCAACTGCGTGCATTATGCTTCTCGGAGTCGAAATGCCAGTTCAATACTGACCGCTGCTCCAACCAATTACATATGCACTCTCCCACTGATTCTGTCGCGGGATCTCAATGGGCGCAATGCTTTGCATCATCTGTTCCTTGGAAGATGTCCTGTGGAAGAGGCACCCTGGCAACGTCTCCTCGAGCTAGGAGTCCAGTGCAACGAATTGGATAATGACGGAATGTCGCCACTAGCTTGCTATCTCAGCGCTCAGTGGCATACCGACGAAGCCATCAAAGTACTAACTCTGCTTCTTGGCAGTGGTTTTGATGCCAAGTTCAAGACTCGCACAGGTGGACTGAATTTGGCTCACTTACATGCCAAGTCGACTTGTTGCGTGCAGGTCGAGATTCTTAAAATATTGGCTATATTTGAGGTAGATCTCCGAGCTACGGATGATGAGGCTCGATCAATACTGCATCACTGCGCCCGCAGTGGTTCACTTACGACGGAGGCCTTTGAATATCTTCGCAGCGAGGTAGGCCTGACAGTAATGATGAAGGATGCACATGGCAAAACTGCGCTGGAGTATGCGACAGCAGGGGCAAAGGAGCCGCTTCATGCCATTTCTGTTCGTGGAAGCCTATGTTCGTATACCAAAGCAGTACTGCTTGATAGTATGTAAACAAGCTTTACTTTCAGCAGCCGGACACTTGGCCAAAGTGCTCTATAAATGGCTCTGTCTATGATTTCGCATACTGGTTCTCTCTAGCTATGTGCTATGAAACATTTGCAACCGCTTTCCTTGCGGCTATTATACTATCGTCCCCGCATTCTGTGAGCTCCGAGGAGATGAAAGAACAATAGACGTGGCAAGAGTTTTGGTTGTGGTAGGACGCACGTACAAGACAGGACTCGCAAGCCCAGATGATAGAGTCGTCATGTAACACCGCACTGGATGTACAGTGACAAGAATAGAGGGAAAATGCTGCTGCCTTGCCATCCTCTTATCAGCGTGAGACCCCAAAGCCTCCAATAAGACCATAGAAAGACTCTGGAAACAATCTGCCCGATCCAGGCCAGCCTTCTTTTTTTGCCGGGACAGTAACTTGCATGAGTCTCGGCCAGCAGTCGAGTAGCAAAAAGGCGAGACGGGTGATGCAGTCACTTGCGTGCCACGTAGGCCGCCTTTGGTCAGCGACGACGGAGGTAAAGTTCCTGCGGTGAATGTATCGAAAAAGATGTCTGGGACGGCACTTTACAAAGTGCCGGGGATGGGTGGAATTAGGCAGAAGCACGCAGTGACTGCCGCGGCTTTGTTGGTTCGCGGCCGACTGCGGCGGGAGTACGAGAGAAACGTGCTTCCCTCCGCCACAGGTAGTAAACTTGTGCAAATCGGCCCATCTTCGTTTGCATCTCGCTCTTCGACCTACTGCTTCTCATGCACCCTTCTTTTCGTCGGTTTCTCCCATGTGGCCCCTTCTTCACTCAAATGGCACGAGGCGACTCGCACGCATGTGGGTTTTCATCGGAGAGTTGGTCGTTGCCTGTGCCTGGTCGACCGCGTGGTACAAGCCAGAAGACAACAAACACGCAAGGCATCTTGCATCCTCATTTACTGGCGTCACTTGTTCCTCCATACCGTAACCTGCCAACGCGAGCCGCAAACCCGACATTCTGACCCCCCTCATACGCAGTGGGCTCGACACATACAGCAAGAATGGTAATAGAGGGAGGCCCCGTGCCTCCGTGCCTACAGAAGTACACGTTCATCAACGGAGGATCGACAGGGTGGGTGTTTGGCTTGACCGACGACATCGTGCTCAAGTATGCCCGGCCCGGCCGCATGGACAGCTTCCTCGCCGAGAACGCCATCTACGACAAGCTCGAGCGCAGCGATCGGCCGGCCAGTCTCATGCAGAGCCTCCTCCGCCGGCCCGGCTTCAACTTTATGCCGCGCATGGTGCAGTCCCTCGACGAGCGTCTGCACGCCAACCAGGGCCGCCTCGAGCCCGTCGCCACCGTTGGCCGGTGGGCCGCCGAGGTGTCCGAGGCCATGGCCTGGCTGGCGCGCCATGGGCTGGTGCACGGCGACCTGCGGCCGCCCAACATGCTGCTCGACGCGCGCGACCACCTCGTGCTCGCCGACTTCAACCTCGTCGCGCGCATCGGCGATGTCCACGGCGGCGCCAGCTGGCCATGGGCGCACCGCCGCGTGTGCACACCGACGACGTGCAAGGACCCGTCCGGCTGCCCTGCCCGGTACGGCCACCACGGCGCCGCCACGGAGCAGTTTTCGCTGGGCTCCGTGCTGTACAACCTGGTCAAGGGGGTTGAGCTCGGCGGGTCCGAGGCGGAGCATATGGTGAAGGGCCACCTCGTGATGCCTGTCATGGGCGATGCGCCTCTGGGGCGGTTTGTGCAGAGGTGCTGGAACGGGGAGTTTGCGGAGCTCGCGGAGCTCGCGCGCGAGGCGAAGCGGCTCGAGGGCGCCGAGGATGCCGGAAAGGGCACAGGGCTGGGCACAGCGGATATGCGCGCGGCGAGGGCGCGCTGCGAGAGATTCTTGGAGGAGGAGCTGGCGGAGATTGTGCCGCACGAGGAGTCTGAGGCGGCGCAGGGCTTGATGGGGACCTGCGAGCCGAGCTGAGAGCGGCCAGACGGCCGGAAGAAGCATACATCACTGGACATGAGAACAGAATACCATATGTAGTTGGATATAGACTGTACTTGCATCATCTCTGGCAGAATTATCGTCATGGACACTTTGTGGTCAGTGGTGTTGGCTTGGTGAAAAAACGTCGACGCCCGCAGTCCGTCCCTGTACACTATTCCGTGCAAAAATCTTGTTGTTTTAATGCCGTATGGTAAACTCTGCCTCGTCGGCAACGACGTCGCGCGCTTCTTGGGTCAGCTTGACGATGGTGGCGCCTCTGGGGCCCTGATCGACGTCCTTGATGAGCTTATCGACAGCACCATCTTCGCCTTGGGCTTCGCCTTGGACCTGGACGAGTATTATCATCAGCATATCATGGCTGTTGCATGAGGGCCTTGCGGCCTTGCACTTGCCTTGTTGTCGGGCGTGTTCCGGCACCAGCCCGTGAGGCCATACGCCTGTGCCCTTTTACGCGTAAAGTAGCTAGCATACTGTGTCAGCAAATGTTTCTAATTTGTCGTTTTTTGGAAAAATTGGCGAAAGTAAGACCTGTCATGACGTACCGGAAACCAACTCCTGTTGCGCGATACGGTTAGTTCACTGTGAGCAAGCCTGGCAGTTGTTACGTACCCTGGACGGTGCCGCCGTGGGCAACAAAGTAGACCTGCGCAAGCATCAGCACGGTATACAAGCAGGTGAATTGAGGTGAACTCCTTACCCTTTTCGTCATCACGGCCAGAATTATCTATGCAGTTTTGACAGATTTCTCAGCTCGTCGGCGTGTGTCTGTCATGTAATGCAGGTTTCTGAATGAGGGGTGGCGACGCCAGCCCTGCATCGATCGGACCCGCAAAACACACCCACCCTCATCTTTTCCTCTTTCCACCTCATCCCCCATCACCATCCTCCATCTCCCACAGCAGCCATGGACGTGGACGAGCCCGATATCCGGTTCAAAGCCAAGAAGCGCACCAAGACGCTGCGCCACCGCGACCGCAGCACCTCCCCCGCGACGCCCGCCGCCGCCAGCAGGACACACGACGCGCCTGCCACACCTCCCGCCGACGAGCGGCGCCCCTCGGACGCGTCCGCCTCCGCCGTGCAGGCCGCGCTGAAGCTGCGACATGCCGCGCGCGCCAAGAGCCGTTTCCGGGGGGGCGTCGCCTTTGGCCGGGACGAGGAGCACGCGGACGGCAGCGCGGACGACGGCGGCAGCGAGACGACGACGAGCCTGGTGCTGCGCGAACCTCCCCAGGGCCTGCCGGACCGGTTCATGCACCAGACGGGCTTCATCTCCGACGCCCAGGACAAACACATGTACGTGCTGTTTTTTTTCCTTTTTCCACACCGTTGAGGGGGAGGGCAAGGACAAGACAGCTAATCATGCAGGATGGCCTATGTAGAGTCGCGCCTCTCCACACGCGCCGGCCTCGCTGAGCCCGCCGCCGCCGCCGCAGACGACAACACCAGGAAAAGTACACCACAGCAGCAGCCACTGGACGGGACGTGGCGGGCCCGCGGCGCCCCGGGCACCATGCAGACAGGCACGTCGACGACGAGCTTCACCCGGCTCGTCGAGGTGCAGGTGCCCGTCGGCGCAGACACCAGCAGCAGCCGCGGGCGGAAACGCGGGGCGGCGCCCGACGCCGGAGCCAAGCCAGCGGCGCCTGCGCGCCGACGGCGCAACCGGCGCGGCAGCGACGACATGAAGCGGGACGCCATGGTTGAAGCCTTTCTGTCGGAAAACAAACGTACGTCCTCCCCCCTCCTCAAAAAAGGAGTTAGAGAAAAAACCCCCAGCTAACAAGTAATTCCGCAGTCGACGTCTACGACGTCCCCGCCCCAACCACAGCCACCACTGACCCCAGCCGGTCCGCCGACGACGTGCTCGCCGACGACTTTCGGCAGCAGTACCTGGACGAGGTGGCCGCGCGCCGGCTGCGTCGCCGGCCGGCCGTCAACCAGCCGCGCGGCCTGTCGCAGAAGCAGCAGGCGCACCAGCTGGCCGTCGCGGCGGGCGAGGTGCTCAAGGGACCCAAGCTGGGCGGCAGCCGCAACGCGAGGGCCGCGGTGCGGGACGCGCTGCTGCAGCAGCAGGAGCTGGGCAAGAAGAGGGCGTGATGTTGGTGAGCGGTATCTGGGCTCTATTTGGTCTATTGGTGAGCGGTACTCACCTTGGCACGTTTTGTTATAATTGTGCCAAATGGATGGCGTTATTTTGGGCTTTTAGCACACACGGATTTATCAATACTGTTGGTCTTTAATCACACGATTTCTTCACGAGGCAATCATCAAGCAATCAAAGAAAGTAGTGCAATCTTATTCATCGTTGCGCGCTAGCGACAGACTGTCTGTTGTTACGTTTTGCAGCCGACATGAAAAGTTCAAAAAGGTTCAAGCGGATAAAGCCGCCAATGAAGGGATCCAAACCAAGGGGTCTACAGGGCAGGACGAGAAAAAAAAACGCCAACTCGGGAAAATCAAACCGTCCAGTATTACGGTATCCAAGGAAAGAAGAAGAAAAAAAGTAGCCCAAGGATCAATACGCAAAAGCCAATATGCCGGATATAGCCCAAACCGGGTAATTGAGCCAAATCCTGAGAGAGAAAACCCAAGAGAGAAGCTCCCAGAGCAAAGCCCCAGATAATAAAGCGAAACCCCAAAATAAAATCATGTAGAAAAAAGACCGAATTCGAGCCAGCCAGAGGACTAGACTCGTCAGACAGCCATAAGGAAGAAAAAAAAACCGAGATGAGAACGACAGTGTATAGTCACAACATGGGGGGGAGACAGAAGAAATCACACGTGTAATGACGCCAGCACTAGGCTCGTGTCGAAGGGTAAAATGCTCTGTCCGTGAGCCCAGTGGAACGAGGAATCCAAGAGCAGGGACTGGCCCCAAAAGAAGAAGAGTGTATCGTTGTATCGTGGTTCCGAATGCGCCGGTGGAATGTTGTAGTAGCCGTGTCCTGTACGTCTAAGAGCAAAAAGAGAGAACCGAGTAGAAAGAGGCGGTAGAGAGAGGTTGTTGGGAGAGGCGGTAGAAGGAGCGGTAGAAAGAGGCGAAAGAGAGAGGTGGTTGGGAGAGGCGGTAGAAGGAGCGGTAGAAAGAGGCGAAAGAGGCGGGAGAAGCGGGAGAAGCGGGAGAAGCGGGAGAAGCGAAATCATATAGTCTACTTCATCAAAGGAATGTCCTGGAGAATGTCATCGCAGCATCAAAACAGAGGTAGGCGTTCATCGAATCTCGAGCTGAAAAGGCTTGAACCGACCGCCGATGGTGGCGCAGCGGGGGCACTTCCTCCTTGCTCCGTGCTCGGCCATGAGGATCTCGACACAGGGGGCGCACAAGCCAGATATGCACTCGGTGCAGGCGTACGAGTTCTTGAGGAGTGAGATGCCCTGACAGGCGGCACAGTATATTTGAATGTTGTGAGCCGAGTAGATGGGCGACGAGTCGGAGAGGCCGCCGGTGCCCATGTGAAAGTTTTCGCCGCTCTCAACGCTCGGAAAAGGGTCGATATGATCCTTGTGAGAGGGCGGGGTCAGGGCTTGCTGCAGAGGTGAAGCCTGGTAGTTGTTTTGGTGCAGGTTTTGCTGGGTAAAGGGCGGCATGGAAGAGCGGTGGATGGAGACGGGCGACTGGGGCATGGGAGTGCGGTCGTCGTCAAGGTCGCCGTTGGCCGAGGTGGCGGCATCAATGAGGTCCTCCCAACGCTTGCCAAAGTCGGCCGTGGGCTCGACAGACAGGGCCTTGCGGTCGCCGGTCCTGGTGCGGTCGTCGTTTTGGATGCGTCTCAGCCAATCAGCCGCGGTGGCGGCGCCGCGGGAGGGCCTTCTGGTGTGCCCATCTCTGCGTTTAGAAATGGACTGCTTGCGTGGGCGGGTAGGACCGGTAGGACGCTGCAACGGCGGTAGGGTTGAAGAGCGGCCGGGGGGTGAGCCGGAAAAGAGCGAGGGGAGGAGGTGGCGGTTGGTGAAGGGGTCGCTGGTGACATCATGGTTCAGCTGGTGGAGCGGCGGGAGCTCAATGGATGTTTGAGGAATGCGACGGCCATCCACGTCGGAATGGTAGCCCTGAGGGTAAAAATATTAGTATGGATGCAGGATTGATGCAGGATTGGCAAAATTGGGGCGAAATTAATGTATTGGCATGCAATAGTCAATTGCTGATGAATGATGGCATGCAATAGCCAAATTGTTGCTGATGCTGGGGTGCTGGGGTGCTATCGATATGGCGCGGGGCAGCTGAGGTGGGTGGGCAGGAGCTGTAGCTTGGAGCTCTGTGATGCAAACTTACTCCGTCTGTGTCGATTTCCCGCTCCGACTTGACGCCGTGAAGCTCGGCAAGGACAGCAGCAGCAGCTGTCAAGGTTCCGGATCCGAACATGCGGTTTGGTGCGCTAGAATATTCGTCCGAGTGTCTGGGGGTTACCGGGCCTGAGGAATTATGTCGGTAGTCATTTTGGCGCGGACGATACCCTGTAATTATTAGTCCTGGTTGTTTGCTGCGTGTTTCTCAACGTCTTGATTGGTCCTTCTGGATGGAAACGGAGCAATAAAAATGAAAGATGGAATACGCACCTTGTGCAGACGCAGTCGGACTCGAGTCGACGGGGGGGCGTTCGGAGGGCGGCGTGCTGACCATGAGCATGAAGCTCTCTTCGGTGGCGGGCAGCTTGGAGATGTAGTGCTCTGGGTGAGCTCGACGGATATGCTCCTGCATAGAGCGATAGCGTTTTTCCTGCGGAGAAGACGATTAGGTGGATGAAGAGTGAAGAGGTTCAACATGAGCAGCGATTATTGTGGCGATTGAATGAAGCAATGTGGCGACAAGTCACAGTGGTGGCAGAGCGGACAGTGGGAAATAGGAAATAGGAAACGGGAGGCCGGGACTCACGCCAATGCATCTTTTGCGGCAGTTGGAGCCATCCTGATTGCTTAGAGGACATATGACCTCATTGTTGGCATCAGTGATGGAAAAGGACGAAGTGAGAGATGAGCGAGGCGGCATCTTGACCCCACCAAGCGCAGCTCTGTGAGGCGCGGTGACGGGGCGTGGGAGTGTTGATTCTGTTGCAAGAGCTCGGAGAAGCTCCAGGCGTGGCGGACGAAGCCGAGGACGAGCAGCTGGAAGGGAAGCAGCTGCGAGGGCTTGGGTCGTGGCGAGAGCTCAATGGAGAGTGTAATGTGCTGTATCAAGGCATGCGCTGGATAAGAGTGGTGGTGTCGTGGGCAAAGTCGTCGTGGGCAAGGGAAGACTATTTGAGAGCCAAGACTATCGATGCGGAAGAAATGTTGAGTTTGCGTAGGAACGAAGCGTTTGTTTAATAATGAAGCGAATCGAGGCGTAGAGTTTGTTAGCGGCCGCAGTAGTGGTGGCGGTGGTGGTGGTAAGTGATGCGGGCGACTTGCAAAGAGGCTGCAAGCGAGCAAAAAAATAGGTAGTCTCGGGGTGGTGATGTAGATTAGCAAAGCCGGGGGAGCCAGAGCTTAGCAATCGATGTTGGTACGGAAGAGTAAAAAAAGAGAAGTGGGAGAGAGAGGGTGAGAGAAGAGCTATGCGAAGTTACGGGCGAGTTTTTGGTGTGGGTGGGTTGGGCCCGGGACCAAGAGAGGGAAGCGCGAGCTGGACGGCAGCTCCGAGGAAGCTGTTTGAGGTGGTGGTGGTGGTAGTGGTGGTGAAGGCGGTGATGGCGAGGAAGGGATGAATTGAGGTGCCAGAGTCTGGTGATGGCCAGGGGTTTCAGCTCGTCTCTTGAGCAGAAGACGAGGATGGTGACGAGAGAATACGAAAGGGAAGACAAGAAGAACCGGCCAAGCTGAATTGGCCTGTTTGTCACTGGCTACGAGGCGAGCAAAGCTTGGGCGAAAAAGAAATGATGATTAAAAATTAAATAATTACGAATCGTTAGCTGGCTCAAGTAGGCAGGCCACGGGTTTCCCAAGTACCGGGTGTCGAATGGGTACTTTGGCACTGACAGGAAAGCCAAAGAGGAAGCTGCCCCAGCCGACCTCCGGCGCACCCCGGCCGTGGGGCAAACTGCAAGTACCTCGACGACGCAAGTACCTCGACGACAGCAGCTACCTTTCTTCTATCTAGTACCAGTCAGTACTTCAGCCAGGCGGAGTCGAACAAATGCGTGACCTAGAGCCCGGCGGGGGGAGGGAAGCTGCCGTCATGACAGCATCGTTTACTATTTATACTTTTCAGCACTCGTTCTCTCTTCTTCTCTTGCCTCTTTCTTTTCCTTGTTCTTGCAATGATTCGGCGCGCCGTGAGCTTTAAAACTGTACGCTTGACCTCGAACAGGGGTGGGTTTGCAAACTAGGTAGCTACAGGTAGGTAAGTCTAGCTGTCCTTGGAGGCGTCCCCCGGCGCCGCCCCCCAGTTCCCCAAAGCAAACCTATCTGGAGCAAATAGAGTAAGCAAGCTGCTAGAAGCTTTCTGTGGAAGAAGGCGGGCGGGCGAGCTTCTGGGGCGCGTGGCGTCTCAAGTTGCGTCCCCCTGTGATATAATAAACCAGACTTGCGCATGAATCTAATCTATGCCTTGAGAAAGCTGGTAGCTTGACCTTCGGTATACCCTTTTGATCTGTATTCTATCGTTATATATCTTTTTATTTTTGAAATTATCTCATCCCGTCAAGGGTTCTGCTTCCTGCTTCTCTTGATGCTTGCCCAGACCCCCCCCCCTCCTCCACATACAAGTCGAGCTACTTGACTATCTGCGAGTAACCTTTTCCCTGCTTTTTTTTAAGTGGCGCCCCAAGGGTCCAAGGTACCTTTCTCCGCATCGGTACATTGGTTACTCAAAGCTCGTCACTGACCCCCATGCAAAGAGAAAAGGGAAAAAAAAATTCACTCGGCACACATTTTCCTTTTCAACGGTCGAGAAAATAAATTTGAACAAGGCAACTTAGACTACTAAAGAAAGGCGTGGGAAATTGTCAAGACGAGCCTTGTCCCACCAGGCTGGCAGCTGACTCGATGTGCTGTTCGGGGTGGCCGGTGCGCAGCCGACGAGTCAAGCTGTTGCCGACGGTAATCTTCACTTCTTCAGCAAGCACCGAAATAACTACCTTCTCTGCAGCGCAGCAGCTCTGCTTTGCTTCTGGTGGGGGTTGCCGCTGGAAAAGCTATGGTGGGGTCCTCCGACTCGGAGCTCGTCCATCTTCATCAATTCATAATAAATTAGTAGCACATAATAATACCCTTGCCTATCAGTTCCGAGGAACTGATGCAGTCCCTTCTTTTTTTTTTGCCTTGCAGCTTATCCTTATCAGCTCCGCGCAGCCACTCAGCATTCACCCAACTGTCACTGGTCAAACTCCCCGCTACCATCCCCCACCCCCCTCGTACCCTCGTCTCGCCATGACTTGCATTTCCCCCAGCGCACGCAGTAGTAGAATTTGTACACGGACTTTCCATCTGTGCAATGACCATGTCGCAGATCCAATCTCTGATTTTTTTGAGGAATCGAGTTATTCGTACCGAGTGCGGATAACACATGCCAAAGACTAAACTCACTTGCGCAGGCTGTGCCACGTTCTAGTCCCGGGTCCTACTGTGGCGGCTTTCCGCTTTGGGATTGGCGGGGGCGTCCGTCAGTCCCAAGTGGCACGAATAGTCAAAACGGTTGCCATTCGGATATTTTTTCGCCTAGCCTCCAAAGTTTGAATATATTATTTTTTATTCATGTCCTTGAAATCAACTCGAGGACACGTCTCTCTCGCGCTGTAGCTTCAATCTTCCGCGTCCTGCTCCCCGACTACCCACCCACCCGGGGCCTTTTGTGGTTCCTGGCCATGGCGCAGCTGCCATCTTGATGCCTAACATAGATCTGTACTGCCATTTTACAAGTCAAAATACGGATGAAATATTGCTCGATAAAAAACCAAACTTGTTCAATTTTGATGATATGCCTGTATAGAAATATTGCTTGATAAAACCCAAACTTATTCAATCTTGATAATAATGCCTGTAGAAGAACTGTTTTTGCTGCCACTCGCGCCAATGCAAGGATACCGACTTGGCCACGTACATATAGACCCCAAACACGTAGCTTGATAACCTACAGCCAGTAGACCCTCCGAAAGCCAAAATCAGAATACGCAAGCCCGCATGTGCTTGCATTGCGGGATTCCGCGACCGACCATGCATGGACGCCCGCGGTCCCGATGCGGAGAACCCCCTTTGGCAGCTGGCTCATCGGAAACTGCGCGTCCGCGCCGCCGAGGCCAAGGCGTTCGCAGACGGCCCGTCGCGACGTGCGGCCGGGGCTGGCCATCATCATACCGCCCATAGGCGTGGCCACGTACAGGCAGGGGCGGATCTCGATGCCCGCTTCGGCCCAGAACCAGGCCTGGATGGCGCGGTGCTCGGGAAACGACAGCAGAGTGAAGCACACGTCGCGTTCGCGTCGCTCGCGCGGGTCGGCACTGGGCGAGATGCCCCAGCGCGGCACGACAAAGTCGCCGCGGGGCCGCACCACGCCCGCCGTGCAAATGTAGGTGCGCAGACGCCGGGGCTGGCGGGACTGCGGGTTGGTGAGGGCGAGGATGCGCTGGTACGCTTCGATGGACTGCATGCCAGGCTCCACGAGCCAGGGGAACCGCCTGGTGGAATTGCGGCCTGCGGGAAACGGCACCTGGAGGCGGTTGTTGTACTCGGCTTCGCTGTGGAAGTAGGGGATGTCGCGGTTCCAGGGGTGGAAGATGTTGGAGGGTGCGAGGCGAAAGTTGTCGACCGACATGATGACGGATGAGTGGAGGTAGAGTGAAAAGTTTGTCTTGAGTTGTCGGGAGTTGAAAAGTGGCGAGATGAGAGCTGCAAGATGCGAGCCTTAGATGAAGAGTTGCAAGAGAAGGTTGCAAGAGAGGATTGCAAGAGAAGGTTGCAAGAGAAGATTGTCAGTGAAGAGTTGTGAGTAAAGAGTTGTGAGTAAAGAGTTGTGAGTAAAGAGTTGTGAGTAAAGAGATGTGAGTAAAGAGTTGTGAGTGAAGAGTTGTGAGTGAAGAATTGTAAGAGTAGAAGTATCTTGAGTGTTCAAGGATGAGATGAATCTTTTTTGGGTTGTTCCAAGAATCCATCTGGGAAATGACACTTTATATGTTGTGCTAAACACAGAGAAGAAGAGAATAACATTTTCAACTCACGACAACCTTTGCTAGCTGACAGCACCAGTCGCAGCGAAAACTCAACTCACAACTATCCATACAAACTCTGCATTTTCAAACTTTTCTAAAGTAACCCACACACAGATACAAGCTTTGCATTTCCAAACTGTTCTCAAAAGCAAAGGAACAGGCCTAGTACGACTGGGCAGGCCGCAAACCCAGCGCCGATGCCAACCCAAAATCTTCTCATGGCCGATACCCCGACGACGCAGACCCTCGCCGCGCGCTGTCGACATCGTCGAGGCGTTTGCGACAGTCGCCCATGCGGTTCCTGCGCTCCGCGTTCCAGCCCTCCGGGTACAGCCCGCGGCACCAGCCCCAGTACTTGTAGGCAGCGTCCCACTGGCCGAGTCCCTCGTGCGCGCGGGCGACGATGAGGTAGGCGTTGGCCCAGTCCCGCGCGCGCTGCCCGTCGCCCGCCGTCTTCTCGGCGTCGAAGATTTCCAGCGCCGCCATGCCCAGCTCCCGCACGTGCTGGAAGTCGGGCCCGTCCTGCCACAGCTCGTGCTGCGCCTGCCAGAGCATGTCGCGCGCGCGCCGGCGGGCGTGGGGAATCATGGGACGGGGATTTTTTTCTGGTGGAAAGGGGTTTCTTGATCGAATATGGTGTAGCCAAGGGGACGAAGGTTTCTTTTTCATTTTGGGGAAAAAAGTATCGGGCTGTGCTGTTGTTGAGATGGCTTCTCTGTGTGCTCAAGTGTGGGTGGTAGTAAAGGCTGTTTTATATGGTTGAGGGGCGGACTTTCTTTGGGAAAGTCGCATGTGACGTCTCAGGCAGCGACCGCAAAAGGATGGGAGTCACCCTTTCAATAAAGACGCAATGGAACTTGAAAGGGCGTTTTGTCGCATCTACTGCCCATCACAGGGTCGCTGTACAACCAGCCTGAATCACACAGCCCATCCATTGCAGTCCAGCCTGCTTGACCCGCCAGTCAGTACCATTTCTGTCAGCCTGGACTTCCATGTCAAGCTTATAGACCAAAAATACAAAGTAAAAGTAAAAACCAAACATCTTGGTCCATTTGGTCCAGCCTGCTTAACCCGCCAGTCAGTACCATTTCTGTCAGCCTGGACTTCGATGTCAAGCTTACAGACAAACAGTGTAAAAAAAAATACAAAGTAAAAGTAAAAACCAAACATCTTGGACTTCCATGTCAAGCTCACAGACAAACAGTGTAAAAAAAAATACAAAGTAAAGTAAAAACCAAACATCTTGGTCCATTTGGTCCAGAAAGTAAAGAATGCAAGTGTAAAACATACTTACCAATGTCCCATGTCGCGCGCGGAAAGTGAAAATAGTTGCATGTCACAAGGACAAAAGTTTAAAGCCGGACTGAGTCGCAAAGTGAGTTTTTAAAGTCTGAAGCAAAAAAGGCGACGTGGCTTCACCATTGCGTACCAGTTCTGAGAAATTTCGTAGAGCAAAAGAAAAGAATCGACGTGTGCAGGATTCGAACCTACGCGGGCGAACCCATGCGATTTCCCAATTCGTTCTAGTCGCACACCTTGGGCCACTCGGTCAACACGCCTTATCTGATTCGTTGAACGGAGACGAGCTTTTTGAATACTATTAAGGTCTGCAGGGTAAAATGCAGCTTCAACTTCACAATATGCCGTCTTTCCACAATCAACACCGCAATAGAACAGCTTCAAATTCTGTACTTGAATATCGAAAAAAGCCCACACATTCTAAAAATATTGATTTACAATGATTAAACCATTATAGCTTGCCACAGAGCCGCTTCAATGCCTTCCTCAGCGCCCTCCTCAATGCCATGCCAAGATCTGCTTCTACTTCAATGCCTTCAACGTACAACGTCCATCGCCAATTCACATTAAAACACGTTTAATGTATAGCACAAAGCTATCTTAGAGCATAGCCCTTTCCAACTTGGTGTCGCGAAAACCGCTTCTGCGTAGCACCGACGCGCATAACTCAGCGATGCGGTGCGGCACCTTTATTTACACATCTATTGTGAGAGCCATGGCGAGTAACCCTGATTCCTTCGTAAGAATCATTCACCGCCTGTTCCTGACTCCTTTCTTCCTCCTGCGTCCATTCTCGGCCACGCGCAAAGCCTCCATACCGAACGGAGAAGCCGCGCTCCTGCGCAGCCCAAACACCGCCATGTCCAAGCCTGCACGCTCCCAACTCATTCGAACGCGGCGTCACTTCAGAGCTCATCCGCACCAATGGCCATCAGCCGCAGAAACCCACGCCTAGCCGCTTCATTCAGCCGCCAATCCCGGCCGACCGCCGGGTCGCCCCCGACCGTCTGGTACGCCTTGCTCGCCTGGCCAATGTTGTCAAACAGCAGGTTGTAGTCGCCGCCGCCCCACTGCCGCCACGACGCGGCGGCCTGCTCCCAACGCACGCCGTGATGCAGCTCTACGAGGGCGGCGCTGTAGGGGAGGTCCTCGCTGAGCCCGCCGACGCGCTTGACATGGGCCTCGGTCGTGGCGTAGTCGGCTGGCGTCTTGTCGAGCGCGAGGACGACCTCGGCCAAGATGTCCGCGGCGGCTTTCGGTTCGCACCGCGCAGCGGTAGAGGGTGGGAGTGAAGATCCGGCATCTGACTGCACTGTTAGTCTGGCGGCGGGCGGCTGCTGGCGTGGTCCAGAATCTCTGACCTTGGACAACTGCGGCGACTGATGCCTGATTTATTTCGTCCATTTTCTCGAAACTGCCAAACAAGATTCAACTGAGCAAAGCTATTGTGTATTGTTCTTGCTTGTAGATATTTCCACAATTCGTCTTCTCTTCCTTTGTGACGTACCGCACGACTCGTTACACACAGTCAACGGCAGGAGCGTTGCCGCCGAGTCTGGTGCCCCGGTATTGCACAAGCGGCACCTCCCGGAGGTGCGTGCTGCTTCCCTTTCTTTGTTTCCAGGACGCATATACCCAACTCTGGACCGAAACGAAATCCGCGCGGCACTTTGTCCTCCCATGACGACTGCCACGCCGCGCGGGTAGAATCGCGCCCTGCCGGCCCGGCCATAGTGGAGGTTGATCCAGGACTGTAGGACGTTGATTCCCGTTCCGAACTCCTACTTAGTACACTCCCATAGATTGTGATGATAGTGCAAGCGGTAAAGAGGCTGCTGTAATGTCACAGGTGGCGGCGCAGATGTGGTCAAGTTTTGAACAACTTCGCCAACAATACTGACCATCTGCCACTGTGAGTGAACCTGCGCTAAAAAATGCTGACCTTTTGACAAAGGGAGATTCAAACTTCGGTCAACAACAAAGAAAACATTACGCGACAGAGTACTTCTTGGTTTCACTTTCAACCAGCTCGCCAGCGTTTCGGTCTCCTCAGTCGCTTAAAAACATCTTACCCCCAAGCAACAATGTAGTTGTCTGCTCGAACCGAGTGATACACTGGAATTTGGTGATGTGTACCGTTTTGCTCATGACACTTTCGATTGAAATGACTTTTTGTAAATAAGCGTGCACCGCCCACGGGACGACAGAAGCCCCCATAGTCTTCTTCAATCTAAATAGAGTTCACGTATTAGATCGTAAAAGTACTCTCTCTTCTTAAATCCATCTCACTGAAAGCTGAAAATAGCGCGCGGTAAGGACGGACGTGAAAGACGAGTGACAAGGGGCTTATACAAGCGCTTCCGGGCGTGAGGGCGTTCAATAAACCGAGATGGTAGATACAACGATTAGAGAAATTCCGTGTGAGACGTGAGTCAGATGGTTTACTCCCCATGGGCTTGTATTTATCCCGGCTCATCCCGGCCTGTTTCTTTCCCAAACCATTTCTCCTCATCTTCCTTCCTTTTACCCACAGTACGGTAGAGCTCTCTGCTCGTCTTTCTGCAGAGATGAAACCACACTCGCATTCGGCTTGCCATTCGGTCCGTATATTCTGATCTAGAAATTAAAACGATGTACTCACCTACGATACTGATAGCACTCTCGCGACGCAAGCTCTCTGTCAGGTTTGACGGTCATCGACGCCGATGATCCACCACCACTGCTTAGTGTCTATGGCTATAGAGAAGAGGGGGGAAACCACTCTTCGATCTTGTACGTCTTGTTGTGCTTGCTCCTCCTGTTTCTTGGCCCTTGACATACTGAGCTCACGTATCAGGTTCTTCGATGTCGATGCCAAAGATCCAACAGATATTCTGTACAGCCGACTCAAATCATGCCATGCCCCGCCACTTTACTCCGACCAAGTCATGCAGTTTCGCGCCGCAGTGGCTCAGTTTGGCCATGGGCTTGGCCATGAGAAGCGCAGAAGTCGACTCCGCCCAATGATTGGCACGGGGCCTTTGAAAACTGGTACTTATCCATTGCTAGGATGCGCTGAATCCCAGACCTGGTGTAACCTTTACATTCCCGATAACAATTGCTTGTTTGCAGTCTACCAAGACGATTATGGAGCATCTTCCGGTAAAATGATTATGAAGTTGCCCTCAATTGCCAAGGTTACCTGTCTTTTTCAGGCCAAGAAGAGTCGCATCATCGTTGCGGGGAATAGAACGACTCAGATGAAAAAATGGAACAACTTGGTGCGTGCTCACATGGTGAACATAGAGATCCTGTTTATTTGCGCGAGTCTCGACTGGGGGGAGTTGCTGGATGGCATTGAACAAGGTGCCGAGGAGCTCTTCACGATGGTGAGTGTCATTTCTCTGAGTATTTGTCATGCACCGTGCTATATTGCAGGCTCACAAGATGATAGATGTCCTGCTATAAGCCCCCGAGGGTCGTCCAGTCGATCGTCAACCAAGACCATATTGACATCTGGAGGAGCTTGTGTGTTCTCCAAGTCTGTCTGCAAGACTGTATCGATCTCATAAAGAGCAACCACTCTACCATAGAGATTTGTAATAAGGAGCCAAATTTTCCGAAATCGAGCAGCGACTACCTGGAGGAGTTGCGCTTAGTCCTAGAAAGGGCTGGCGCAATAAAACTTGCCCTTGAAAGAGACACTGAAGTTGTTAGTTCAGTTCCTGATTTTTTGCCCCTCGGCTCTGATACGGGTATCCTATGCGTTGATGCATACTGATTCGATCACCTCTTTTTCTAGGTTTGGCGCCGACATCTGGTAGCGCGGGGGCTGCAAAGGGGCGTAGAAGGTGGCCAGCATGTACATGCTCAGCATCAACTTCGTTAGCCATCAAGGAATCAGGGCTTTTTTTTTTCTTTTTGCAAATTTGGTCTTGTATTCATCTAGTTCTATTTTTGTGGCTTTCATTAGTCTCTAAGTTGCTGTTGCACACTTAATATGTTGACCAACTTGAACACCAACTCTGTGATGTGTGTCGGGTAACAAGCTTTGCAACTTGCAGATCATGCTCTACCAATTTTATCCTCACAGAGCTGGGATAGCGAAAAGAAATAGAAGGCCATGTCTTTAGCGCCAGCGGCGGTCATGACAAGCTTCGGTCCCGAAAAGTAACAACATTTCGAGGTGGGCACTTGGTACTGCCTGAGCCCGATGTTGCCCGTGGCGGCTTGGACTAGTTGAGTTTGTTGCAGGTCCCTTTGTTGCTTCTTCCGAGATAGCGATGGAGTTTGCGGACAGCGCCAGGCAGGGCCTGAACGAGACTCATGTGGCCTCAATACCACTTCAAGCGTGCGTTCATAGAGGGAAACTCAACATCAAGCATTGGTCGACATCAGTTGCGTACTTTGTGCCCCGTGATACGTATCACCCAAAACCGAAATCTTGCGCTTCCCACACGTTTAGTCTAGAGAAATGTACTTCCGTTTGAAGGATAATAATCAAAACATAACTCCCAAAATTTTGATTTGCTTTCACCAGGGTTAGCTGCAGTCTCTCTCCAGGGTCGTGTCGTGGGTCGGTTTATCCCAAACAAAGAGAGAATTGAATTAAGACATGCCAAGCGCGACCGCGGCCCGCGCCCAGTGGCTGGAAAAGAGATTGTGGTGATTCCATCAGCCGGCGGCGCCGCCAAGTCATCAATAATGGGACAGCCAGTTCTCTATTTTCGTTTTAACAAGAACAAATCGCTCATTCGCTACAATTTCCCATTGTTAACTCAAACAACAACAAATGTCGACTCGGTTGCTGCAGCGTCTGGGCAGAGGCGGTGCTTCTGTTTTCCGACCGCGAGTGCCAAGTAAACGCGTGCCTTTCCGCGCCGCTGCTATCCGAAGGCAGGCCCCCTTTCACCACTTGCCTGTCATGCACCGAGAGGCTCCGCTTGTTGCAGCTGTGCAGGAGGAATGGTGGGATGAGGAGACGGAAATTCACTTCCACAGCATCGGGATACTCGCCGAGCAAGTCCACGCGGCCATCTGGCAGAGTATTCTACAAAGGGATAATGAGAAGCTTAGAGAAGCCATCGCTGCTATCCCACAAGACGAGAGGCGGCTGACGCTCTGGTTCTATCTTGCCATCGAGGCTCGAAACGAAGCCGCCGCTGCGCTTCTCCTCAGCGCCGGAGCAGATCTGGCGCAGATAGATTGCTACCTTGGTGGAGTGGTCGAGGCTCCGTACCGTGCTATACACAAGCACATGCTAGAGCTGGTCGGGAGGATGTGGGAGGCCACGGCGTACTTCCCTGATCCAAGACCCGGTGGTGGCAGAATGCCTCGAAACAGGTGGCTTGCCGTAGCTGCTGAATGTGGACACGCCGACATGGTTGACGACATGCTGCGATGGAACACCGACTGGGACCACGACTGCGCTCTGTCGTGGGCAGCGTACAATTGGCACTACGAGACCATCAAGACCTTGACAAAGGGGCATTCGTACTCACAAACCGCTGTACAGAATGCGCTGAGCCATGCGTGCGACGTGGATCGCGAAGATGACTTTGAGATTGGGTGCTGCGACAAGAGCACGGAAGCAAGACGTCGAGAGCTGGCACAGGTGATACGTTGGCTTGTGGATGCAGGGGCCGAGCCAGACAAGACCGAGTCGGCGTCAAATGGATGGCCTATAGTGGCATGTTTGCACATGTATCCAGAGTATGCTGAAGCGCTCAAGGCGCTTTTGGAAAAGGGTGCGACCAATGTGAGGTATGAGAGGAGGGGAGACAGGGGTGTGCTAGTTCGTGTAGAATAATAGATATCCATATATTCCTGTATACTAGACCTTTTGTCAGAGTTATAGTCGACTATCAGCCTGACAGCCACGCTTGTTAGCGGGTGATTCAGATGGACAACCTGGTCCAGTCAGTCCGGGGGGGCAGTGTCTTGGACTAATGGTAAGCCTTACTTACAATGGCTCAAGCAAGCGTACAAATTATATATATATATATAATTCCCAGAAAATAGTATTCTACGTCCCATGCTGCAATTGGAACGTCTACTTGCCCCGACTGGGGATGGGCGACGTTGATGGAAAAGTAGTGATGATGTGGTTCCTCCTGTACAGAGTTCGCTGCCATAGTGACGCTATAGCTAGAACGGATTTGTACCAGAAAAATTGCAAGGAAAGAATCCGAACAGGGTGAACAACAAGGCGGGCGACAGGGACCAGAGTGAAGCAGCCGCCACTATTATTCAACAGCGATGTATCTTAGTGGGCAAGTACGGCAAGGTAGCGTCTAATTAGCTCTTAGGTTTGAACCTAATAGGCAGACGAGATATTTCCTCTTTGAGACATTGCCAAGTGATAGCGCTACCCTCGGAGACGAAGAATCCATACGGGAATTAACACGGAATTTAAAATAAAGTAAAAAAATAATATCAATAGAATTACAAGAAATTTAAGTATGAAAGAATCTATTTCGTTTTTTTCATTATGTATTTTAAAGCTATACTACATAATTGTCTTGCTGGGCTGTGTGGCTCGCGGGGCTAGCCAACACCTCTACTGTGCATACAATAGGGAGGGTGTGGCATGTGTATTCTCTCTCATGCATCTCATCAACGCCACAAAAGCCTCCAACCAATGACGCTAAGCGATGAGCAAAACAAGATCATTGCAGATCATCCGCTTGATGACCTACTGGCTGAATATCCAGACAAATTACGAGTTTAGAAGAATCCGATGAATCCTGGCGTCCCGACGTCGCCAGGCTCTTGTTCCTACTTCTCGACTCTACCACGGCATACAACCTTCCCTCGCTGGACGAGACTGAAAATGTCGCGGATAAGCTCTTTCCGATACGAAATAAAATCAAACAAGGTGGATCGATCAGCTTCTCCCACTTTCGCCCACTAGTCGAGATCGTCGTGAACAAGTCTCCGGACACCGCCGTTTGCGCCGCTGTGTTTGACCTCGTCGAAGCCCTCAACCCCTCAACCCCTTCAACTTCCATCCAGGTACCAAGAAATATTGCAATGCCACTTCGATCCAGTCCAGCCTGTACAGCAGACAGCGAGACCCGACTCATTATTGAGCGGGTGCTTTTTCACGAGATACGAGAGTGCATACCACACCCAAACGAAATATGTGCAATTTGCCGAGACTTAGATAGGATCTAAACATCTTAAATTCAAGTCGCTTCTTAAATCAAGTCGCTTCTTAAATTCAAGTCGCTACTCTCGCTGAACGCTATTCTTCCAAGGTCCTAAGCCGTTATACTATCGACTCCTTATATATCCTAGCTTTATAGGCCAGTAATAATTCCTCCGTCAATTCCTCCGTCGTTATGTCTGCACGCTTTTTGTCTGATAGAGCCTGTAGAAGGTACTTTCTTAACTCAACCAAACGAACATGATTTGCCCTACTCTAATATTATAGTTATAAGCTATGGCAAACCTCTACTATAGTAGTAGAAAATAGTAAGAATAATCGCTATAATAAGGCGATTACGTTAAATACTATAGGAACTAGAAAGGAGAGGAATAACTATTCTTAGAAGGATAAGAAAAATATGAAAAATAGTGAAAATAGTGAAAATAGCGAAAATAGCGAAAATAGTAAAAATAGTAAAAATAGTAGAAATAGCAAAAATAGCAGAAATCGCAGAAATAGTAGAAATAGTAGAAATAGTAGAAATAGTAGAAATAGTAGAAAAATAAAAAGGTAGGAAAAATAGAAAAAATAAAAATAGAGATTTTACTTTAAAAACAATAGGAATACTACTAATTATCTAGTAAGCATATTTTAACCTAAATATGTATTCTTTATAATTTGCATGCACAGATGATAAAGTACGGGCTAGACCGTGTCGCACAGGGCTACATGTACAACTATTCGAGCAGCTTCGGTAACACGAGCACCGGTGGCAATTTTTGCATGCCGTAAACAGTGATTCGCCAACTTTGCAGCGATATCGCGTCTTTGTCCTACGTCTTGAACGCATTTAAAAACAGCAGCTGCCGGTCTCGCTAGTGGTAGTTCCTGCCACAGCTTGCCGACCAACATTGACAAATTCACGAAAGAATACCCGTGAATTCTCAGAAGCCCTTGTAAGCAGGTCACAAACCCATCTTCTCCAGCCAGCCCGCCAGAATGGGCGATGAAGAAATGTCGCAAGAGCCGCCCGTGGACCGGGGATTGCTGGCCTTGAAGCACCTCGACGCGGCGTACGAGGCGCGCAAGCAGATGCCCGACGGCAAGGAGCAGACGGAAGTGGTGCTGGCCCATGCAACGCAGGCGCTGCGCCTCGCGGACGATGACCGCATCATCAAGGCGCTCGCCAACCTCGTGCTCGGAGGCTGCCACGAACAACAGGACAAGTGGCACCTTGCGTACTACGAGTACGTCGCCGCCAAGGAGCAGTACACGGACGAGTGGACGGAGAGCATGGAGCAGGCGCTGCAGTATTGTCGCTGCAAGGTATTTCCTAGATGAGAGCGGTGTTGGGATAGCGGATTTATGGAGGAATATGGTCCAAGGGTTTCTGCCGAGCGTGATGAGAGCCCTGCCGACATCACTGGCCCACGATATACGTATAAGCTAGAGATATGCAGTGTGCTTCTACTGTTTTTATTACTGCCGTTTTTATATCCAAATTGATTCAGCTGCAAATACCTGGGAGCTTCCTCATCAAGCGATGTAGATTGGTCAATTGTTCAATAGTCTCTACGCAGATGGCTGCTATCAAGACTACCTTGCCGTCAAAGAGAAGAATAGAAAGAAGAGAAAACGCACAATATCGGCCCGCATCGCAAACCTCTAGACCTTCACCCACATGTCGGGAGCTAGGTTAATGTTCAGCTGCTGGGCATCGTAGACCCATTCCGTAATCACCTGCTTTACCGACAGCGTCGTCTTGGAAGCGCCCGAGCAGAAGCCGTACACCGTCACTTCTACATTCCACCATGTCAGCTGATTTTCCACAACCACAAACAACACAACACGCTCTTTCTTACCTTCAGGAAGCGCCGCGTCGTGGCCGCCCTCACTCGCGATGCCGACCACGTCGACCTTGTCCACGGCGACGGTGTCGCTCCTGTACGCCTTGGGCACGCTGATGTCGGTGGTGAAGATTTCGCGGCGGGACGGGTGGCGGGCGATGAGGAAGCGGCCCTCGCCGACCTTGGCGTACAGGCTGTTGTCCGTGCCCGCCCAGTCGGCGTCGGCCATGTGCAGGTTGACGCTCATGCTCGAGAAGTGGCTGCACAGCGGACGCCCGGCCCAGTCGCCGGCCGCGACCGGCGCCGCCCACACCTCCCAGTCGCGGTTGTACTGGAACCGCCCGGACTCGGTCGGGTGCGCCTGCAGCTCCTTGTTCAGCGCGGCGAACTAGTCGAGCGCGACGTGGATACCGGAGCCGGCGCAGCGGCCCTTGAGCGAGAACCCTGCGGGATGCACGGTTAGTCTTGTTTACTGCTATTGCCACCAACGGGGGGGGGGGGGGGGGGGTAGTCCTTACCAGCGAGGTCCCACGCGTCTCCGCCAAACGACCAGTTGGTCAGCTCGTCCAGGATGCGGATCTTCTTGATCTGGTCCAGCGCCACCGTCTCGACGCCAAAAATGTCCAGCATGTTGATCTCCTGCGAGAACTTGTCGCCCGCCGACGGGCCCTCGGTGATGACGTGCGGCTTCTGCCCCGCGCCCTCAAAGGCGAGCTTGAGCTTGTCGTACGTGCCCGAGCCGTCGTTGTTGCCCAGCTGGAACTCGACCGACAGCTGGTCGAGCCGCGCGCAGAGCTGCGGCTGGCTCTTGGCCGTCCACTCCCACCGCGCGGGGGCGGCGGCCGGCGGCGCGGCGCTGCACAAGACGGAGCCGACCTTGTCATTGAACGTGGGCCGCGACGTGTAGAGGTCGACGGCGTGGTGGCCGGCTTCAAAGTACTCGCCCTTGCAGTCCGAGGATCTGGGCAATGGTTAGTCTTATGTTGTGTGTCGACGGAGAGACGTGAGTGCGTACAGGTAGAAGCGGCAAATGCTCGCGGCCTCGTGTGTCTTGACGCCAGACACTACGCCTTGATACTCCTTTGGCATGGGGACTGTAAAAGCAATCGTGTTAGTCGAAGAGATGTGGCAAAAGTAGGAAAAAAGGTCGAGTGGAATAAGAAGAATAAAAACGACGACATACCGCATTTGCCGCCGGGGGCCTCAACCGTAGTGCAAGGTGGGTTGAGAGGACCATTCTTGCAAATGTCAACAACAGTCTTGGCAGCAGAGGCTATAACAATTAGTAAACATGTTATTGTCTCAAGCTTTTGTTGCTTTACTCACACTTGGTCTTCTTTCTGAAGCTGGAAAGGATCTTGCAGCAGCCGTTTTTACCCGTCGCTGTGTGCACACATCATCAGTTCAAGTTTCCCGAGTATTGTCCATGTACCAAGATAGCCTACCTCTGCGCGTCTTGCGGCTCACCGACCGTTTTCCGATGGAGTAGAAGTCGCTGAGCGCGGGGCAGCCGATAGGGCGGATCTCGCTGAGGAGTTCCTGCAAGATCTGGTTGCCGTCGGGGAACTGCCTGTCCAGCTCCTCGGCGCCCATGTCAATGTAGTGCTGCAAAAGCGCACCGACTATTTGATACATGTTAGCTCAAGAACTGATTCGCCGGAGCCTACATGCTAGCATACCTTGCGCATCAATGGCCTCTGGGGGCGCAGGGTGGTCTGGGCCGGGAATGTCGCTCCTCGGGGGGTATTCCTGAAAGGTGGGCGGGAACGGGCCGTACAGCTCAAACACGCCAGGCGTGCGGTCCATATAGATGTCAGCCGCGTTCAGGAGGCGGCGCTGCGGGGGGGCCTGGCCGGCGCCGTCATTGTCCGAGTCGCTATTCTCCGAGTCACTGTTGTCCGGGGCACGGCCGGCCAAGACGCCAGGGAAGTCGGTACTGACGCGACACTGGGCCGCATGCGGACCTCGCTCGTACAGCTCCTCGTCATAGTCGGGGTTGTCGATCCACTGCGTCTCGTCGACGCGGTCGTGGTCCTGGTCGCGCATGCGCGTGTAGCGGCGGATCATGCGCCAGGGGACGCCGCCGAGGACCATGACCTCGCCCTCGCTGTCGTCGTTGTCGAGCGCGTTGGGCGTCGCGCGGAACTCGTACAGCCACTGGCCGTAGCCCTCGGCCGTGGCCCGGGACGGCGCGGCCGACACGTACGCGGTCCGGAACACGAAGCCCGCGTCGTCGGACTCGTCGAGGCCGCAGCCGTTGGGGCCCGCCTCGTAGTGCCGCACCAGGTCAAATGCCTCGTCGTGGCTGTCCCAGCCCTCGCCCTGCGGCCGCATGCCGCCGGTGGCGCGCAGCTCCTGCGGCGAGCGGCCGTCGCCGCGGTAGAGGTAGCCGGGACGGTCCTGGCGCGCGGCGAGACGGTCCGGCGTGGACGACAGCACGCTGGCGTGAGCAGCGCCGAGGCAGGAAAGCCACGGGAGAAAGTTGGACAAACGCATGTTTGCCGAGGAGCGGTTGGGCTTGGTAGAGGCTCAGTGCTACTCGGAAGCGGATGATGGGACGGTAGAGAGTGTGCTCGACACAGGATTGGGACGAGTTTTCTCGACTAGCAAAGGTAAAAAGTGTGCTCGACAGCTTGAAAAGAGTGTGCTTGACCAGCGAACATAAAGAGCGTGCTCAACAAGACTTTATATCAACTCGGCTTCAAGAGTGTGATCCCTACTTACACGAGGCAGCAAGGTACCTAACGGGTCTTTCGCGATGGCTACACTTTACAGCTCCATCCGGCACTAGTACGTCTATGACTTTCCGTGTGGAACGGACAATAACGTGATACCATCGTCATACCGACCGCACGATGCTGTTCCCTTGTTTCAACTCACAACGCTGCTGCATTCCGAAGGACCAGGCAAGGTGCAAGTCCTCGCGCATATTCCTACCGCGTCGAAAGATTTTTATACCAATCTCCAGAAGGCCCGAAAACTCCACCTCGAGACACGTCATCCTTGAACACAGAAGCTGCTTACTATAATATTCCAGGTATGGACATGGTTCTTGGAAGTCTGGACATGCCACGGAAAGTCATGCCATCGTGACGATAAGCGCTCTCGAGTGATGGGCGCGCGATAAGCATATATTCATCGACAGCAAGATGTTTGTAACTGATGTGTTAATAATTAAAACCTTATCTTATATCCCGCGAGTCGTCTCCACACGGGCAGCTCCACGGCTTACATCCCGGCAAGGCTGAATCATGAGCAACTACCGGCGGCCCGATAGACTTTGCCAGACCCACGAGCTCGTCTACAACCCCTTCACTGACTCGTCAACGACATGGGTGCATAGCCATGGTACACTATGCCGGTGTTTGTCGTGTGCTGCCTCTCTGACTTTGCTGCCCAGATCATCTCAGCGGAGAAAATGCAATGGATGACCGTCGTCCATTGCGAACAATGCCAGATGAAGCTGCTGCAAAAAGGCAGGCGCCGACACGGAGCATATGGTTTCATGCATTGTCGTCGTGCCTCGTCGGTCGCGCCGCTGATCGGCGCTGGAGCCGGCGGGCCGAGTGATGGGCCGGGGGATCTGGCGCCGTCCTCCTTGAGTCAAGGACACGCGATTGTATCCTGCTTGGCGCGCCATCCCTCTACACAGTCCATGTGTACCTAGATTTGATCCGCGGTCGTCCTTGGCAAATAGACCCGTAAAATTGCACCATCGCTCGCAGTGTTGCGTCCAAATGCCACGAGGCGGACTCATTCGCCTGACATGCTACCGATGGGGGTGGCCGCGCTCGCATTCGCATTGGAGAAGCAAGACAAGAGTCTCCGAGGAGGACTTCCCAGTAGCCACCACAAAAAAACACCCAGACACTCTGTCTGTCTTCTTCATGTTGTGATTAGCTCGCGACCTGTCTTGTCACAGAATGTCCATTGCACTGGCACAACACACCGTAAATGAGTTGCCTCGACTGGGCAAGGTCAGATGTCCTGAAGCCGTGTATGTGTCAGAAGCACGGCGCTAGCAATTATGAGGCTTGGCTGTCTTGTTTTGCGCGGCATGCTTCTCGCCACACTGTACGGTAGGATGCACAACGCCTGGTGTAAGTCGACGCAGAGCACAGAGTAATTCCAAGCGGACAACAGTACCAGCCTACGCTTTAGATAGACCAAGTCGCAAAACTGATGAAACTAAACAAGTAAAAAGACAATTCATAAAAATTCCATACACTAATTATAGTATGCAGAGCCGTAGCGACCGCTAGTGTAGTTTGCCCTACCGAACTGGAATGCTTCTCACGTTCCTCCATCTCAACCCCAGCATTTCTATCCCCAGCCCGGCGCCAAACGTTTAACAAAAGCAAAATAGCCTTCTGCCTTGCTCTCTGGAATGCCAGCCCGGTGCCCGTTTCAATCCTCGCCCCACCAGGATTCCATCCGCCTCCCGCTTCATCAACCAGCGATCGGTATGTCGCGATGGCTGCCTCGACAACCCACAAGCACAATGAGCCCGTAGTCAAAAAGGCGCTGCATCCCCAGAAAATCTATATATTTTCCCCAGGTTTTCTCCCATGGTTTTTTTTTTCAACATTTCCATTTTCCGGTCCCATCGCTGCGGCACCAGCCTTGCCTCTTCGCAACTCTCCGCCTGTAACTCGTCCCCAACATGGCCCTCACCATCAAGCAGCTTCACGGCGCCGCGAGCTTCCTCATCACCCTCGAGCCGCTCGACACGTCCGACATTGCCCTGTCCACCCCTTCTCTTTCCATCCTGCTCGATCCCCAAACCACCACCACCACCACCGGCGTCCTCCCCACCATCGACCTCGTGCTCATCAGCAGCGCCCGTCGCCGCCACTGCCACGAAGCCACCCTGCGACAGCTGCCGTCTCACACGCGCATCCTTGCCGCCGTGCCGGCGGCCGCCCGCCGCATCCGCGGATGGCGACATTTTGACCCCGCCGTGGTCGAGTGCCTGCCTCGCTGGGACGACAACGACGACGACAGGGTGCTGCGCATCCCGGTGCTGGCGGCCCGCGGTGGTGTGCCGGGCGAGGTTACGCTGACGGCGATAAGGAGGAAGCGCGGGGGGGCCGCGCATGCTTCGATTGGCATCACGTATAGACCGCCAACGGCTACGCGTCCGTGGTTGTGGTGCGCGGCGCCCGGCGACACCCTAGTCCCACCGCCGCCGCCGGGCCTCCCCACGCCGGCCCTCAGCTTCTCCTCCTCCGGCAGCAGCAGCCCCGTCTCCAGCACAAGCGCCCACCCTAGCCCCCCTCTCGCACCCCGAACACCACCACCACCACCGCCACCCAGCATCACCAGCCCGCGGCGGCGGCGGCCCGTCCACCACCCACCGTCCCCAGACCGGGGCGGGGCCGGCGGGGTGTCCATCCTCTTCGCGCCGCGCGGCGTGCCCTACCGCGGGGTCCAAGGCTACGCAGCCACACACCTGCTCAACGAGGCCGTGCTGCCCCTTACGGCCCTCCTGCACTGTTTCGACGCGCCCAGCACCGTGTGGCCCCGCGGCGGCAGCGGGCGGGAGACGGCGTCGGCGCTGGGTGCCCGCGCCTGGATCGGCGTCGGACCGGGGCACGCGGACGCGGTGCAGCGCGCGCTCGACGAGAGCTTTAAGCGGGGTATGGCGTCGCCGGGGAATATGCTGCGGCGCTCGGCCGGACTGCATCCGACCGAGGTGAGGGCGCTGGCGACGGGGGACGAGCTGAGCTTGACGAGCGAGGGCGTCTGGGACGAGGAGACGCTGTTTGCCGACGAGGGCAAGGCGCCTAGGGTGATGCTTGGACTCGGGCTGGACATGGACCGTGATGAGGAAAGACTATTGAGCGGCGCGCTGGGCGTGGACTGGGTCGATGCGCTGCGGTAAATGGACAGACACTGTTGACTCCTGGGCGACCTTACACCCATGATCCTCTGACCAGAATTCCCAGATACCTTGCCTCAGTTTACATCATTCTTCTTTCCGTTTGACTTCTCCACACCAACGGTCTTCCCCTTTCTGATATTCAAGCGGTTTGCTTCTTCCTTCTACTTCTTGTACCACCACAACACAAGCGCTTGATGCAAAGTGCGACGATAAATCCGCCAGACAAATAATAATAATAATGATAACGATATAAATGCTCAATGTATCAACATGTCAGTTACCGGTCATGGGTATCATCGTATCACCATCCGTGATGTATCCAACTCGACGCCGACAGCCAAACCAGTATGCCTGGCCGATGGCCTATGCGAACTTTCCCCTCGTCTTTTTGGACTAAACAACCTTGTCCGACTTGTCGCCCTTCACTTGTTACTTCATCTGCTTCAAAATTTCACTCAAAAAATCTTCAAAGCTGAGCGTAATGTAGCCATCCCGGTCATCGTCATACTTTTTAAACACGTCCGTCATGCGCTTGAGCGAGATGCAGGCCTGCACAAACAGGTCAAAGCTCATGACGCCCTCGTTTCGCTTGTCGTAGGTGCGAAAGAGGAGCTCGACAAACGCGGGCGAGAGGCGGTAGCGGAACGCGACCAGGGCATCGGTAAACTCGGCGAGGGAGATGTTGCCCGAGTGGTCCACGTCGAAGCGGTCAAAGAGGGTGCGCCAGGAGCCGAGAAAGGACCAGAGGCCGCAAAACTCTTCGTAGCCGATGCTGCCGCTGCGGTCCGCGTCAAACATGCGAATCATCATGCGGACCGTCTGAATGTCAAAGGCCGTCCAGTCGCCGTTGACGAGAGCGGCGGAAAGTTCCTTTTCCGTGAGGTGGCCGGTGCCTGTCAAAAACGTTAGCGTAAGCGCCCGATATTGCCCTGTGGACATGGCCACGCACCGGCTTTGTCTACGGCGCGAAAGAGCGGCAGAAGCGTCGGGTCGACGCCAGAATCGGCGCCGGGCGCGGGCGAGGGTGGCGGTATCGATGTCGGCGATGGTCGACTGGCTGGCGGGGGCGGCCGGTGGGCCGTGGCGTTCGCGGGCGGCGAGTGGCCATAGTTGGGTGTTTGCTGGCGCAGGTTCTGGGACTGGGAGTGCGTGGGCGACGGCCGCCCGTACTTGTCTTGCGGCCGCGCGTACTGGTCTTTCAGCGGCGGCGGCGGGTTCTGGTTGAAGCGCTGCTGCTGGGGCGGCGGCTGCTGGTGATAGGTTTGCTGCTGAGGCGGCGGCGGCTGCTGGTGATAGGTTTGCTGTTGCTGCTGCGGCGGTGGTGGCTGCGGACGGTGCTGTTGGGGAGGGGCCGGCTGCGGGCGGTATTGCTGCTGAGGAGGTCGGGGCTGAGGGGCCTGGCCAGGCTTCTATTTTGTCGAGCTATCGTTAGTCTTGCGTTCCCGGGCGTTGGATTCTATTTTCAAACAAAGTTTTTCGTACTTCGTCTGGCTCGGCAAACCTGCACGATAGCTTCGTTAGCAAAAACGCTCTTTGTGCAACGGGGGGGCAAGCTCATCGGGGTAGCGGAGGGCAATAGGTACCTGGGGAGGGAGTCGGGGTCGTAAGCTCTATTGTAGGCCATGTTTGCCGGTTTATTCGGCTCGACTGCGCGATATCAAGAGCAAGCAGCAGTAGATGTGACAAAAGGGGGAAAGGTAAAGAAGAAGGAGGGGAAGAAAGGGGCGACGAATGGCAAACGCCTTTGTTGCAAAAGGATGAAAAGGGCCAAGACAGAACGGCGGGGCACAAAAGTGTCGCGCTTACGAGCTGCCGGGCGTTTGTGGGGGCGCTGGAGGGGGCGGCCCTGTGGGCGATGACGCACCGTCGGGCACGGAAAACCGAGCAACTAGTTGGGCGGGCATGCCTCCTTGCAGCAAAAGCCACAGTGGCAAAAGATCCTGTTGGCCGAAGAGTTCATGTATACGATAAGGGAACTGATTTGCATGAATCGAGATCCTTGATTAGAAGATTGCCTGCACTGGCGATCAAACTGCGCATATTGCTTGCCACATCCGGCAAGTCTAGGTACTTAGCACAGGAGGGGAATTCACAACCAACGGAAAAGGAAAAAAGAAATAAGACGAAGAAAATCATGCATAATTGCAATATTGCAATGCCATGCATGAGACATGGCCGCAGGTACAACGGCCCAATATCGATACTACATGTGCGCGGTTGGGGTTGGGCACACGTAGGTGTCTACCCATTGACAGTTTGGTTCTCAGAGACATTCACCGGCGTATCGCTCTAACGCTGTATTCTTCTTTGTACATTTTTCTACATTCTTTTACATTTTTCTACATTCTTCTCTATCAATAACACTCACCAGCAGGACCCTTGGTCCCCTACCAATTCGGCGGGGCCATTGTCTAAACTAGCGGGCGGGCTCCTCCGGCGCCGGCGGAAGCAAGCCTGCCGCCTGGTCACCTCATGCATCATCCTCCGCCTTCTTGGTGATACACCTTGTCCGCGTCCCCAATCTTGCCTGCATCCACCCACCGCACCGTGGCATATTCGAAACCATGACGGCCGCGGCAGACAGTCACGCCGACGCAGCAGACGACGCCGCTGCTGAATTCTGGCTGTACGGATACGGGTACGTTGTCTTGACCAAGCATTCGACTCCGTCGACTCCGCCATGGCTGCGCCGCCTTGCTTCCCCGCTGACTTTCCTTCTTGCCCCCCCTTGTAGAAGCCTCATCTGGAAACCCCCGCCGCACTTTGGTACGTTGAGCCAACCTTGGCTGGGTGTCGCCTGTTGGTTGCGAACTGTATCACTGACAGCGGCAACTTGCCGCAGACCGACGAATTCCAGGCTACGTGACCGGCTACGTTCGCCGTTTTTGGCAGGTCTGTCTTTTCGTTGCTTGTCCGCAACCCAACTTTTCACTCACTGACACTCTTGACAGGCAAGGTAAAACTACCAAAGGCTGTTGGCTGCCGTATAGCCTCTATTAACACGCGTCTCTAGCGAGGATCACCGCGGCACGCCCGAAGCGCCTGGCCGCGTCGTCACGCTCATCGAGCGCTCGTACTGGGAGGACCTGACCGACCACCACGACGCGGCGCCTGAAAAGGTTTGGGGCGTCGCCTACCGGATAACGCCCGACAAGGTCGCCGAGGTCAAGGACTACCTCGATATTCGCGAAATCAACGGCTACTCCATCCACTACACGCCCTTTCAGCCGGCCGACAGCGCCGCTCCGCCGATCCGCACCCTCGTCTATATTGGTACGCCCGACAATGCCCAGTTTGTCGGCCCCCAGGACCCTCAACAGCTGGCCGAGCACATCTTCCGGAGTCGCGGCCCCAGCGGCTGGAACAAGGACTATCTCCTCGGCCTCGATGTCGCTTTGGAGGAGCTCTCTCCGGAGAGTGGCGATGAGCACGTCGCTGACCTCGCCCGGCGTGTTCGAGCCTTGGAAAAGGTTGTCGGGTAGCCTCGAATTGTTGGCCACGAATTTTTAGCGTCGAATTTTTGACCTCGACAATATTCCTCTCTTGATTGACCTCGCCTTTTTGACCTCGACCTTGCTTACCTCGACATTCACCTCGGCATTCGCCTTGTTTATTCCCCGCTTGGTTACTTGCCTCTTGGTTATTCAGCGCGTGGTCATTCGCCTTTTGGTCGTTTCGTGTCAAATCCAGAAAAATTGCATCATACATGAAAAATAGAAAACAAAGAGTTACAGGGAAATAGAACCCGTTTTGTTTCCTTCCTTGCACCATGGCAATCATTCAGCCCTTTTTCAAATACCCAATCCCGGGCCCCTCATGCAGACAGAGCGCATGAGCGTTATAAACCTATTCACTCTCGTTGCAAAACAAATGAGAAGAAGAAGATTTACAAAAAGAGACAAATCGACGCATTGAACCAAGATTGGTTTCCGATATTCCTTTCCCTTAGCCCTTCCATAAGCAAAGCAGTGCAAAGACGTCAACTCCAGCAATCGTCGTATCAACCAGTCTCAAAAACATAAGGCAGTGATCGGTAGAACAATAAATGGACCTGCCATGTGGAAGGCGCATTTGCAGCAACACCAGGGTAGTGACACCGACCGCAGGATATACCTGTCCGTGATAGCTCGGCGTCATGTCGAGGTGGTAACGGGGTCGAGGCCCTAATAGCCTTGCCCACCCTGAGGAGGCTGCTGCGGCGGCGGCTGCTGTTGCTGCTGCTGCAGGGCCGGATCAGGGTAGCCATACTGGGGAGCGCCATATCCTACTCTGGTCAGTACGTCATCATCGTCGGGGGTCAATTTTCCAACCTTGAGGAGGCTGCGCGTAACCCTGCTGCTGGACAGGGTATCCGCGGCCGTAGGCGACAGGAGGATAGACATTCTGCTGGCCCATGGGATATCCGCCCTGCTGAGGAGGACCGCCATACTGAGGAGGAGCTCCATAGCCACCGCCGCGCCCGTAGCCGCCGCCGTGGCCACCACGTCCACCAAAGCCTCCGCCACCGCGGGGACCGTTGTCCGAGGCCTTGTCGACTCTGATCGTTCGGCCGTCAAACCTGGGGGGGTAGCACATGTCAGAACCAAGTGAAAATGAAGCACAAATGCGAACCTCGAGCAAGCAGCGAAACTCGGTCTTGGCGAAGCATGGTAGTCACACGAGGGAGAAGGTTCATACTCGACGTTGTTCATGGCGGCGATGGCACTCTGGGCATCCGCATCCTGGCCGTATCGCACAAATCCAAAGCCGCGGCTTCGGCCAGTATCTCGATCCTTGACCACGACCTTTGGGGGGACAGAATCGCATTAGAGGGATGATTGCGCACAGTGAATTTGCAGGTAGGGGAGTGGGAAAAGCAGCGCGGCGCAATGTGGGCCTCGAATCCGGTAGCTTGTATCGACCAGCAAACAGGACAGACAGCACAGGCAGCTCCGGGAAGCAAAGAAATCCTCAAAATAAATGCGCGAGCTCACGACTTACTGCTTCTTCGACAGCGCCGAACTCTTCAAACTTTTGGCGCAGAGTCGCCTCCTCGGTGTGCCATGCGAGGCCACTGAAAATACACATGTTAGTCGCGCACTCGGCAGAGATTGGGAAAGCGAGGGGCGATGATGCGCACCCAATAAAGAGCTTAGCCATTAGAGCGGAAGTTGACTATCGCTGCTGGGGGATATTTTTGATTGAAACTATTGTTTCGCGATGGTGCCGATGAACTTTTGGATTGACCGGACCTTTTGAGGGTTGTTTGGTACCGGACGGTTGTGTTGGTGAAAGGTGTGTTGAGGGAGGTGTAGAAGAGGGGTAGTTCGAGAGAGATGCTTTTTAGGAGCAGAAGGAAGTAAGGGCAGGCCGGGAGGTAGGTACCGCGATGCGAAGGTAGGTACTTGTACGGTACACAAAGCTCGAGGCGCAACTAGGGGAAGGAGATGGAAGCGTAGGTTATCAGAACAGCCAGACGGTGGGAGGGAGGGGGGCGTGGTGGGAGCACAGCAGGATTGAGTACGGATACAAGGCAAACCAAGGCCGATACAGAGCTGGGATGCACAACGGCAACGCGTCCGCTCGTTCGAGGGGCAGACTGGAGACCCAATGAGGGACGGGCTTTGGCCCATTAGGGGGGGGGGGGGGGCTACCTAAGAATTGGGGGCAGAAATGGCGGGACGAATGAGCCGTGGAGAGAAGCAGCAGGTTATGGTGTATGGAGTACCTTGCAGCCCTTGTAGCTACCTGTTTACTGCGACGAAGTATGGCAGGGAATAGCTGTTTGGCACTGTCTGGGGTGACTCTATCTACCTGGGTCGGTACAGTACTGACACAATGCAGGTTTGCCCAGGAACGTCGTGTCCAAGGCTAGATCTGGTGGCACGGCACGGCGAATAAAGGTCTGGTTGCACTCACCGGCGCAGCACTGCAGAAATACACTAACTAGTTCTTTACCAACTTGTCTCGCACGTTTAAATGTTTCTAAACCTGAGCTCGACGACGCAGGCAAGCAGGGTGGCGAGAGGGGAATGGTTTTAGCTCGGGGTGTGGCAAAAGAGGGGAAGCATGTTTGGGACCAAAGGCATTTGGGGTACATTCACGGTACCGGCGCATAAACGCGCTACCGATTCATACCCTGGCCTGTCTACCTACTAAGTAAAGTAGTGGCTGGATTTTCCTGCCAAATGTTGATTTGGGCTACCTAGTAGGTCCAGATACTGCACAACTTCCAACTTCCGTGGCGCAAGCAACACGGCTTTGTAGAAGAATTAGTAGACAACGTCGCTGTTTAAAAAAAAAAAGGCGTAGACATGCGCAGAAACAGTCTGCCTCCCCCACTCCCTCCCTGGTGAGTGCGTAATAATAGCCCGCATGGAGCCAAGCGGTAGAGATGTGCCTTTCATCACTGCAAGCCTGCAAGTCTGCAGCAATCGTTTCGATAAAGGGTTCCATCTTTTTTTACCTTCGTTGCCGTTCCGCGAATAACTGACGCTGGTCAGTTCTCCGCCAGATTAGCATGGTGTGATGAACGGCGACAAGTGGGTGCTACACAACGCTCATCCATCATCTAACCGAGGCTTTTTGTTGAAGAGTGCCATGTACGAATTACTGGAGTGCAAAAGTGTTTGAGAGAGACGCGTTTGTTTCCAAGAGTGCCAGGCCGTGCAGGTGGTGTTGTTTCATCATCAACCAAGACCACGTCAAGTGGCGATGCTGCCAAGCTGCCCCGAAAAGAATGACTCGGAAATATTGATTCGGTCTCTGGAATACTTGCGAGAATTGACGCATTTCTCTCCCTCTCCTTGTCCGAAGTTGGGCGAAGCATCAAGCTACAAAGTAGGCTTTATTATTAACCACGCCTTGTCCAGCAGCAAGTTATAGTGCATGCAGCTCCTGATGGGGCCGCTAAACCATAACAGCTTCTCATGCCTCAGCGGGGGTTTCAAAAGGAGGGGGTGAATGTTGAAGCTCGTGCTGGGCTGGAGATGCAGGTGTGGGACAGGGAAGAGCAGGAAGAGACATACACTTTCTGCACGAGATGCCCACGGGGGTACCAGGGCATGCGATGGGGCTTTCGACAGCGCCCGCTCGTGGCTGTTTGGGCAATGGAGATGGACTTGATGGGGCTTGCCTGGCAGAGGCGCTAGTTATAATTTAGGTAGGTGAGGAACAAGACTTGCACTGACGAAGCTTCCTTGAATATCGCGAGTGAGGTGAGAGGCGAGAAAGGCCGTGGTCGACGCGGACGGCGGTGCAGTGCTCGGGTGAGCAAAAAGTGATGGATGCGTGGCACCGGATCGCGCAACACAAGGATATTCCATCTCAGATGCAATTCCAAGCGAGCTAGGATGGCGAGGCGAAGTTGGACCAGCCGAGACTGTGTTTGCCTCAGGGACCAGGGCTTGCCTGGTCGTCACATGGAGAAATGTATGCGCAAAGCTTTTTGTTCCTTTTTGTTCCCGAGCTGCTTCATCATGCCACCTTTATTATTAGCGATACATTACTCTGTATACTCCCAAACGGGAGACTACCAATAGGTACTAGGTAGGTAATTTGTAGAGAGTCGTCCACATTCACTGTATTCCCCCAAACCACCCTCTACTGCTGAAATTCGTAGCACAAGACCCATGTTGTCGGGATCAGTGTCGCCATACCGCAACCCACTGGTAGTACCCAAGTACGTGGGTACCTACAGGTAGGTACCTAGGTACCTACTAGAGGTCCGACTTCCCATAGCCGTTCCATCTCACCAGGTGCAAACGCTGTTGCAAACGCTGTTGCAATGTCCTCCGCCTCATCGCAGCATCAGTCGCCTCCATCCTGGTTCGGCTACCTGCTGGCAGTCAAGTGTTCAACATTCCCATCGAAAGAATGTACACCACTGTACATCTTGTCACACATGTACACTCCCATCTTGACCGCACGGCCAACTGCCGGTGTGCGGGCATCTACCTCCACCGCCCCGACGAAGCCAGGCACAAGAGTTGCGCCAAGCCACCAGCTCACGAATCCACAGGCAGGCACACAAAGGATATCAAGATATCTTGATACTGTACGTGATTGGTGTGCGATGCTGCGTGTATAACTCCCCCTCTTGACATCACCACACACACCGCGCCCAACTCATGCGCCCAGCTCACGATGCAGACGAGCTAATACAAGATTAGTAGCAAATTCTATTTCTGTCTCTTATTGCGTCCATCATTGTCGTTGCGAATGAATATATTTGTTTGCGTTGAGAGGGCAGAGGAGCTTCAAGTCCCTGCCTCCACCAATGCGTCGTTGCCTACACAAGCGTCGCTCCGTTTCGGCACCTTGCAGACAGTGGCGGACAGGTGACTAGTTACATGTCTTGTGCCGCTCCCCCAGCTGTGTAGGTATTTGGTTTCTTTGTTTTCTCGCCTGTGTAAGTATTACCACCATTTCGCAGTCTCGGCCTAGTCTCAGGCAGTCAAGGTCAATGGGCGTTCGACGCAAGTGCAGCTTGGATCAACTATCGGGTACGTACTCAACACAGTGACTGCAGTTCTGTGCCAGATTTCTCATTTCCACGAGGTGCAACTTGGCCGTGGTTGCCGTGCTGCACCACTGACTGTCACTGCAAGAGCCACCGTCGAGCATTGGACTACTACATCAGCAATCAACTTGAGCTGAAACTACCATGGAATCTCATGCACTTACATGCGTATCACGACATGCAAAATGAGCTGTAATGGTGAAGCTGATCTCTTGATTCCGCTCTGTACCACAATCGAGTCGCAAATCGACTCGGCCGAGTACTGTGCGCGATGGCTCGCCACCATGTCTGCCGCGCAACTCGACGAAACTGCTTCTCTCGCACAGGCGCACACTTTGTCGGACTCTCACCTAAAAGATTGCATTTCCAACAGTCCCATCTCGTCTCCCACTGCTGCATCGCTCTGCCGTGTGACGCATCACCGCGAAGAGACCCCTGCCCCGCGACAGGCGACGCCGAGCTCGGCACCATCACACATTGATGCCACGCCCGATCCGAAGCCCGTATACCTAACCAGAGTTCCGTACTGCAAGTCACCGCGAGCTCGCCCTGACGAAACGTCCAAGTACGAAAGGAAGCCACGGCGCAAGACGCGGCCTGATCGTTACGACACCAGCCAGCAACATCAGAAGACGATAAACCTGTCTCGGCACGAGCGGCGCCAACGCAAGAGGGAGAATCTTCGCTCGCGAAAGGAAATTATGACCAACTTTTATTCTTCCGCCGTAGAAAATAGGCATGTCCTGGTATGTACGCTTCCAACTGGCGCACGCTGATCTACAGCTGGCTTACACGGCGTACAGATGAAACCAGCCTTGGCGACTGGGGCCTTTGTAAATGGTCGAGGCTCTGTTTCAACTCCACGTGAGTTTATTCAAATATGATTGAATCGGATTTGCTAACATTTCTGCAGTGACTGACTTGACTTTCAACGAGTTGACATTTCCAATAATCCAAAGGTCGGTACCTCGAGCGGCGTCGCCACAACCTCCCAACGGCGCTCGAAAACGCCCTAGCGAGCTTGAAACCAAATCTCTAGACCAGATTGATAAACATTCAAAGCGGCCTCTTGTTACTGAAGACTGTCCAGATACCCCTACGCCACCCCCAAGACGAAGCCATGGGGAGCGGCCAACACAAATGCAGCTGCCGCATGCCGAAACCGACCGTAACACAACGCCAAAGGAGGATATTTATCCCAGAAATACAACACCTCGGCCTATAATCAGATACGTAGACAGCGGTGTTGATGCAATGAGCTCGGCCGGGGATCTTGGGCCCGGCGACGTGACAGACGCCCGCCATGTACAGCGCCCATATGCCGGACATGGGAGCAATGAGCAAGCAAATTTGTACGCTCCGTACTACAATTCCCTTCCAGTCTTGACACCACACTATTATGATCCAGCTTACTCGGCCAGTGGCATTTACCCCCGCACAGGCCTCGACCCAAGCTTGACCTGGGCAGAACATGTCCCGCTAGATTACCTGAGTCAGCGCGTTGATGGTATGGCAATGCAACCGGGGTGGCATGGTCATGAAGATCAGAACAAAGGCTATGACTACATGGCGCAAGTGGCTGACTCCTATCCTGCGCCTGCCACTGACTTGGAGGAATGTATATTGGGTAGCCCAGTTCATGAGCCTGAGCCACCGTACAAGCCCGACGAAGAAACAAAGGCTTTCTGGAGACCAAATTTTCTCCGGTAGATTACCGTTTATATCTTGTATAGTAGAGTTTAGGATGCAATGCTTATTCTGGTTCCTGGTCTTTCCACTTTGTTCGCAGACTGTCCACGTCCATGCCACACTGTTCTGCTTTGCTGACAATGGAGCGCGCCTTGCCCGATACCGGGGCATCAATCATCTTTCCATCCATGGTCCACGCGCCGCGTCCAGCCGCAGCCGCCTTGTCGTCGGCAATAACGATCCGCACAGCCCACTCCACCTCGTCCGGCGTTGGCGCAAACAGCCGCTGCACCGTTTCGACCTGCGACGGGTGAATGCACTGTTTCCCGTTGAATCCCATGGCCTTGCCACCGGCGCACTCGTCCTGGAGCGTGCGCATGCCCTGCTCGCCGCGAAACGACGTGCAGACGAGGTCGATGGCGCTCGGGAGGCCAAACGCGCGGGCGGCCGTGACGATGGCGGAGCGCGCATACAGGAACTCGGACAGCGACGGGGTGCGCGTGATGGACAGGTCCAGCGCAAAGTCCTCGGCGGCAAAGACGAGCCCGTCGAGGAGGGGCGAGGCGCGGCAGATGCTCGGCAGGTCCACGACGGCCCTGGCGGACTCGATCAGGGCGATGATCTTGACGCGCGACGAGGGCGCGACGACGTGCCGCAGCACGTCGGTGACGAAGAAGAGGTCCGCGGCGGACTCGACCTTGGGCACGACGACGGCGTCGACGCGCGGCTGCCCGGCGAGCGCGCGCAGGTCGTCGAGGCAAAAGGGCGTCGACACGGCGTTGACGCGCACGGCGAGCTCGGCCACGGTCGACGGCCGCGCGGGGAGCGCGGCGAGGTGCGACTGCAAAAGAGCGCGCGCAGAGGCCTTGGCCGCCGGCGTCACCGAGTCTTCCAGGTCGTAGGTGATGTTGTCGGACGCGAGGCCCAGGGATTTGGTGAGCATCTTTTGGGACGAGGCCGGGACTGGGAGGGATCTGGTGAGTTTGTGGGGGTCGGGAAATGGGCTGGGATGGGGGCGTACCGTATAGGAGGGACCGCCGCAGGATGGCGGATGAGGCGGCCATGGCGACGGGGTGAGTGGGATGGAAGCTGGAGATGGTGCGAGGCAGGGGGGCGGTGGGATATGGGCTCAGCTTCACGGTGGGAGGATTACAGTGGGATTAGACTTGAGTGGATCACAGGCCAGGCAAAATTCAATGCCATTGATTTGACCTCGAGTGAGATGGATGAAGCCATCTCGGTGACGTTGTTGCCGCCTCTCCACACAAGTGATGAGGCCCAGACGGGACTAGCGCCGCTGTGATGTGTTGGCAAACGGTCACTGCCGCAGATCCATTCACCCCCTTCTTTGGTCAAACGTTTGCCATACCAGGCAGCTGGAGATGGCAGGCGGAACAACGGATATACCACATGTGTTCATACAAGCACAGTGTGGTGCTTGCCACAAGCCCTTTGAGGTGGGCGAGAGGCTCGTTGCGCGTACGCATTCACCGAACATGCACCACAGTCTGCCACTAACAACCCCGTTTCTCACCCAGTCTTTTATCGCGGAAATGAAATCAGATACCTGGATGCGCAGAGTTATACGAGTCATGGCTACTGCAAACAGGGATCTCAGCTGGACGTGAAGTTTTGCAGAGTGCCGAGCTGCGACTATTGCCTGTCGCAGCTGGAGACGGCTACAATTCATGACGACTGCTTTCATGTCTTTTCGCAGCGGTGTACTGCGAGCGATAAATATCGCCGGCTCTGGCGAGCATCCGTCAGCATGCATCCGTGGGAGCATTCCAATCATCTGCTGCTCCCCTACCGGGGCGAAGCAGAAGACCTGCTGGTATTGTGTGAGCAACTAAAGCTCCCCATGATGAGGAAATTGCCTCCGGAGCTGCGAGATGCTATTGGCAGTTTTATCGGTCCTAGCCCCTTGTGGCGGTATAGCACCGTCATTCAGCGAGCCGCCAGCTTGCGGCTCGCACCAACACCACCAACACCGATAACCCGCCTGCCCCTCTGCGATATCCAATCTTGGCATCTTTATGGAGAGCCTACCGTCTGCGAAAAGCCGCCGACGGATTCGAGTCATATCCGCATCACGGTAGATTCAAGTGGTATCAAGAAGATTTCTCTCCTCGCTCACAAGGGAGATGATGAAATGTATAAAACTGCGCCAACCTCATCTCAGCTATTCATCATCGAGAAGCCTGCTGTGCTTGGTAACGTTATTGCACGTCTTCAAGTTGGTATACTACCTACCCTTAGATAGACTCTGCTAATTATATAGGATGGCTATTGCCGGCTTGAATTTCCTCAGCCTGCTTTAGTCACTTTTCTAAACTGGCCTCTAGTGCCCCAGGCCTATCGCGATATTATCCAGGCTTCGACCAAAGAGCGAGCTCTCTCTCTATCACAAAAAGCTACGAAGATCCAGCCATTTAGCCGCTTATCTTTTATCAATACTGCTACTTGTTTTGGGTTAACATTCTTGTTGCATAGCGATCGCATCAAGGCAGTCCACGCACATACCTCAACAGTGCCCACGGCATACGAGGCCTTCCTTCGTCTTACCTCTGGCTGCCGAGAATCCGCCGTCTGGTTCTACCTCCCGCTGCCGATCGGGGAAGAATTGACTGCCGTGGGAGGCAAAGCTACTGAACACAGCAACGCGCCGGAACCAGGAGGTCTTTTCGTAGGTACATTCCTTGGTATATCCTCAGCCTCGGCTAATGAGGAAGATTAAAACAAAGCACCAAGGTCTTGTGCAGCTCAGCAAGTTCGACAATGGGGAACGCAGTCTGCAGCTTGTCCACTGTACCCGCCGTCCGATTCTCATTCATGATGCCACGGCGGGTCAGATATCCCTATTTGCACCAGTACCGGCAGCCACAACTCGCATGCCATGGACACAGGATTCATTGCCTCTTGGTGGGGAGTATACTACACAGGCACCGCTTGAGGGGGTTACGGCGGCACATGCGTTCATGGATCGTGAGACAAACCATTGCGGGGGTATTCTCCTCCAGTACCAGGATGGAAAGAAGGTGTCGGTTGGGCAGTGCCGACTCGGTCTTGACAAAGTACAGAGCGTTCGGCATCCCGTCCGCTTCTGCTGTACGACTGTGAATCACATTCTGAGTGTGGAGTTTACTGGGGAGGAAACTCACTCTCACACAAACAAAGGAGGTGCCAATTGGACATGCCATAAAATGACTGGCAGACTGCATTTTAGGTTCAATCACGTCAACGCAGAGGTTTTCATAGTGAACTAGCGCTACGGTCATCATCACAGTAGCATTACGCATAATTCATTAGGTATAGAGAATAAATAGCTGAGAAATCTTTTCTGTAATGAGGGAGTCTCCTTGAGGGTTGGGGTTAGCTTGGGTTCCATCGATCCTCGACCTCGGCCCTGTCCTGGAACTGTGATTGTGCCTTGATGGCAGAACCCGGGAAATGGAGCGTGGACATATTGCGTCTAATTAGTAGCAGGAAGAAGACAAAGACACAATAAAAAATTTAAAAATGGATACATGCCTATAGATCGATGGTTTCCGATGGTCTCCGGTCAAATATTAAATCCACTGTAACTAACGCCAAACAACGGCATTAACAATGCGCCGTGATAGTTGTGCGCCCGACTATTTAGGGCGAGAAGCGTACTGGCCAACAGGCCGGCTGGTAATCGTGTTGAGCTCTACGGCTCCCCCTTGGCCTTTCTGTGAAACAGGATGCCAAAGCAAACCACGTGGCCAATCTTGGCAAGCCGCGATCTGTCGTCCGTGTCCGGTCCGCCGGTGACATCCTCGCCGTCTGGCGACAGGTGGACCGATAGTTGTTGGGCAAGTACCGGGTGGCGTTCCAGACGTTCCACAGGGCCGAGTTGAGGAGCATGAGGGAGGCTAAAAGGAAGAGGAAGCAAAGCTGCAAAATTCCCGTTGCTTTACATGGCCGCTACTAGCCCGTCGAGGATCTGGTCATCTGTGGTGGCGTTATTCCTCCGCCCCAACATGCCGTGGAATCCGGCATCAAACCGCGCGCCATAGCGAAAGAGGATCCCCGCCAGCCAAGCAACCTTGATGTTTTGCACCTGCGGATCCGCAAACGAGAGCAGCGTGCTCCAGAAGCGATCCCTCACCGCCTGCGCGTTGGCGTGTTCGACCCATCCTCCGGGACGCCACTCGCCCGCGAGGTCGTCGATGACGCAAAAGTCGAAGCCAAACGGCAGGAGATTCAGCTCGGCTAGATCGATGACGCCCGTGAGACGGCCCGTCGACTTGCTCACCAGTATGTTCGACAGGCTTAGGTCGCCGTGGACCGTCACCCAAGGGTAGCCATTCTTGGCGTTGAAAATCCCGGCTGCGTGGTCTCTCACGTGTTGGATGGCAGGCTGAAAGCGACTTGGTAGCGTCTTCTCGAGATGATCGAGCCTGGCCAAACATGCCTTCGTAGTTTGCTTGCGCTCGTCGGGCTCGGGCCCGAGACTGGTGGAATCCTGCGCGGCTCGTAGAGACCTGGCAAAGAACCTAGGAGTCCAGAAAGCATTAGTCTATCTGTTGACGCACCTACCGTCTACGTAGCAACGTACTTTGCCAAGTCCTCTGCGAGGGTCAGCCGATTGTCTGGCTGCTGGTCATAGGGTATTCAACGCCTCGACAAACGTAGCGCCCTGCAGCTTGGGCATCGAATAGATTACGAGGGCACCAATCGCCCCGACGTATGTGTGCAGGGCAACAAGGCCTGGGTGCGCGCTAGCAAACACCTGGAGCAGCGGCGCATCGGATGTCTCCTCCATTTCCTGCGAAAACGGTGTAGCTGTAGGCACCCTGAATGGCGACGGGCTGGAAGGGGCCACCAAACCGCGTCTCGGCGAACCGATCACATTCGGCCTGGGTGGTTGCTTTGTCTGAGAAGAATGCGGCCATCTCGGAAATGTAGAGGGAAGCGAAGGCGACTGTTGCGGATCTCTGCGTTGCGACTGTTCCAGACCGGATGCACGAACGGACCAGGGTCTTTCAAGAAGAAAGCAAACCAAGGAGATAAACAGTATTATTATAATTATATAAGATAATAGTATAGCTAATATAGCTTATAGAGAAGTAATAGAAAGTAAAGATAATAGGAAAATTAGCTTTATATTAAATAAAGCTATAAAGGATAAATAGTTACTTTATATATCCTAATTATTGACGATAAGCGTGGATAAGATAAGCCCTCTTATCGGGGCAGTGCTCTGTGCGATAGCTTCCATTGGGTTGACGTTGTATCCACGTTTGACCACGTACTAGCCTCCGCGCGCAAACACCCATCTTGAACTGCTACGACTTCATCCAGCCAAAAGCCCGCCGTACCTTTCCGACCCCCTCGACGGCCCAACTCCAAACGTGAACCGTTTGGATTTATTCTTGTTTCCTCTCGCACCGACCGAGAACCGGTGTGCGCGACGCGCGCGAAACCCCCCCCCGACCGGCCCCCTAGCCAAGCGTCCAACGACGGCATCGGATTACGTTGACCACAAATTCCCGGCCCATCACCACGGCCCCCGCGACCGAAAAGAAACATGGACGCCGCGCAGACTGTTCCCGGCTCGCTGAGCTGGCGGCTCTCGTCCCATCCAATCACGCTCCTGACGTTTCTAGCCTTTAGAATATGTACGCGGCTCGAAAGCTTTCCCCCCCAGGACGTTCGCTAACGTGTTCCTTTTGCAGCGAGCGTGCTGGTCTATTTCCTCGGCTTATGGGTCATTCGCAGCATGTACGTTCTTTTTTTTTCCCGTCCAGTCTACAAAATCCGAGACGCAGCTGCTAACACCACGCGCCGGGCAGGATCATGATCTTCATCATCACCATCCTCCTCCTCGCCGCCGACTTTTACTACCTCAAGAATATCGCTGGACGGCGGCTCGTCGGCCTCCGCTGGTGGAACGAGGTCGACGTCGGCACGGGCGACTCCAAATGGGTGTTTGAGAGCAGCGCGCCCGGCACCAAGACGGTCAACCCGACCGACGCGCGCTTCTTCTGGCTCAGCCTCTACGTCCAGCCGCTGCTGTGGATCCTGCTGGCCGTGCTGGCGCTCGTCCGTCTGCAGTTTCTGTGGCTGCCCCTCGTCGGTACGTTTTCTTTTGGGGGGCCTCGCTTCGCTCGCAAGTTGGGGTGGGCCGGGTTTGTCCTTTTTGCTAATCAGGCGTGTGTGATAGTTATTGCGCTGGTGCTCACCGTCATGAACACGTTGGCGTTTTCCCGCTGCGACAAGTTTAGCCAGGCGTCCAACTTGGCGGGCAGCGCGTTTAGCGGAACGAATCTGGCGGGCACGCTGGCCTCCAACATGGTCGGCCGCTTCTTCTCCCGTTGAGCAGGAATACAGAGATGTGAGGGGAGAGCCGTGGGAAGGATATAATTCAGGGTTTTTTTTGCTTCCTTTGCAGGAGGGGGCCATGTCCCTCGGTCCAACAGCGATGTTGCTTTGGGGTTCATCTGACGTGGAGGATGAGTGTTGGGTTTGAACTGCTCTGCTGGCCGCAGCATTGTGTACAATTTCAGTAGGAGCTCAAAGGTTTTATTAATTTTCCATGCCAGTGACTCTGATTTCCGGACAAGGGGGCGCATAAAAAACAGTTTTGGTATAAAATCTGACGAATGCAAATTGGGCATGTTGCTCGTAGCGTCAAGTAGAAATGAAATAAACGGTCGCTCCAACACTCCCCAGTCAAAATTCAGGCGCGCCAGCAGAATTCCCATGTACACAAAAAAAAAGACGACAAATTTCCACGTATATTCATTACTCTTTTCAAACTCTGCGTCCGCCCGCCCGCTGAATCTCGTTATCCAAATGGGCCTCTTCCTCCTCCAGGCGGCGAATCTCATCGGCCGTCATGCCGTCCTCGACCAGATGCCGGGACACGCCGTTTTGCTGCTGCTGTGTCGTCAGTGACCCCGCGCGGCTATCCCTGTCCACCGGCGCCGGGGCTGGCGCTACATCCTCGCGCGCAGCGCTACTCCGTCGACGGTCGCGATTAGTCGTGGGGGTGGTAGCGTCGTCGCGGTACGGGGCAATGGCCGCGTCCGAGGCGTTGCCGCCGGCGAGGCTGCTGCTGCCGCCTCCGTCTTTGGGAAAGGCCGAGAGCTTCTCCTGTTCGGCGGCGCGGGTGTGGTCGCGCCGCGCGGCCAGGGAGGAGGGACCGCCGCCAGCTTCGAGACGCCGACGACGTCGCAGGAAGAAGAAGATGCCGAGGGCGGCGGCGAGCAGTGCGGCGACGCCGACGCCGACTGCGATGCCGACAATGGCGCCGGTGCTCAGCCCCCCGCCGGTGGTTGCCCCATCGCCGCGGCCGCCGGAGAGGAGGCTGGACGTGCCGTTGGTGTTGTTGCTGTCGGTGCCGCTCGTGGGCAGGGGGCTGGGCGTGCTGCCGCGGTCTGCGGTGTCGTTGCGCACCTCCCGGGACCAGCGGTACGAGGACTCGTTGATGGCGGCTCCGATCTTGCGGCGACTGTCGGCGTCTTCTTGGTCATTGATGTAGGCAAAGGCGGGCGTGTAGGTGATGCCCTCGAGCCCGCCGCCGTGGACGGTCCAGTTGATGCCGACGACCAGGGGGTTTCCAACCAGGTTGCGTTTGTTAACGATTGCGGTGAGGTTGACGGTGACACTTCCGGCTATCGAGCTCGGCGAAGCTGCGTTTTGGAAAGAGGCGTTGTTAGCCTCTTCTTCTTCTTCTTCTTCTTCTTCTTCTTCTTCTCTTATTTTTCGGCTTGGACAATAAAACGACGAGGAACAAAAAAAAAAACAAAAAAAACAATACCGTCAAAAACAACTCCTTGGGGGTTGGTCGTGTTGACATCCATTAGGGGGGTGAGAGGGCGGCTGACATCCACAAATGTCATACCCACGATGGTGACATTTAGATTCGCCCTTTTAAACGGAATCCAGCGAGGGGGATCTGATAAATTGGACAGCCGCTCGCTGACGCTGGATTCGGTAAAAGTAAAGGTGATCATGTGTTCGCTGTCGCCCCTGCCGCCGTCATCCCTCCCGCCGTCGAGCGAGGTGCCGCCGGTGGCCGTGGTGAACATGCTGGACGTGGTGGGAGCCACCTGCGCGTAATAGAATCTTTCTCCCGCAGCCGTGGGCGTCAACTGCAAAGTTGTCAAGTCCTTGTCGGGGTGTGATAAGTCGGCGCTCATGATGGGTTCTGTGTTGTCTTGTTGTGTGTGATATTTCGTTGCTTTGTGTATGTCGTTTCTTTTTCCGTCGTTGATATTAACACGTTTCGTGCTCCGTCACTGTTAAACCTTGCTCTCCAGCTTCCTCTTTTTTCTTTTCCCTTTGCAGAATTCCGGTTATTCTCCCCCGCCAAAACGGAAGCAAACAAAACGCAAGTTGGGCGCGCCCCCAAGGCGAACAAAGGAAGCTGGGGGTTTTTTTTTATACTGCAACAAAGTCAACACACCGCCTGCGACAAAGTGGTGCCAAAGTATCTTGCGTGATGGCTTTTGGAAGGGACAAGGTTGCAGAGAATAATAATATGGAATGAATAACTAGAAGGAGGGAAAAAGAGGAAGAGGAGAAACGAGGCAAAAAAAAAAGGCAGCAGGGTGGGTGGTGTAAGCGCCCAACCAAAAGTCAGACAGAAAAGGGCTGTGTGTGTCCACTGCCTGGAGCAGGAGACCAGGGTTGGGAGAGGGGGGAGGAGGGCGTCCTGCATCCGTAGGATTGCAGATAGAGACAGGGAAACGAGCCTTGCGTTCTTGACGAAATGGATGAATGCGAATGCAAGACAGTTTGCGAGACGGTCTTGAAAGGAACAGAGGGAGGGAGGGAGGGAGGGGGTAGTGCGGCTGGAGAAGAGACCAGTGCTCACTGCTCCGTCGTCAAGGCTGAATACCAGACGCCAGGGTTCAACATTGTAGTTACTCCACAAAGTCAGAGCTTGGTCCGTGTTCTTTTTTATGGATTCTCTTCATTCACAACATCTGCCAGAGCTCATTATCTCCACGTCGATTCGGGGCTTGTCCACAGCTTCTCGACCTTCGCCTCGACCTCGACTTGCCTCTGTTGAGATGGTTGTCCGAAAATGTCTCGCCTGCTCGCTTCTTGGCACCCAGCCTGGCGACCTGCGCCGGAAAACGACCCCCGGTCTCTGACAAGAAGCAGTCCAGGTGCGGGCGCAGTGCAGCGCAGCCTTGTTTTCCGCGCGGCGCTCATGCAACTTTTGTCCAGCCTGCTTTGCACCCGTCTTCACACCAATACTTGCCAACACAACAACCCCATGGAAAAAGAGAGCCAGCTTGTTCTCCTCGCCCCAGCTGATAGCCCGCAGATTCCAACAGTTCACATCAACAACATATCACTCGTCTCAAAACACAAACGTTGCAGGAAAGCTGACCCCGCTGAGGCTGACCCGACGCAGGCTTGGGGTGGCGGCGGCGGGGAACGGCTGCTGTGCTTCTAGCGGCCTTCTTCGAGCGCGAGATTCCAATAGGCTTAAAAAAGTAGTGGCTGTGTTATCGTATCCGTACCTGATGCTAAGAATAGCGACGCCAATATTGACTGGTAGGTAGGTATACATACATACCAAACGTGCGCAACAATGATTGGCTGCCTAACCAGCACAACATGCACACGTAAGAACACCATCATTGAGTGAAAAATCGTGTATACCCTTTCCATCATCCTTCGAATTCTTGATATTACATATACCACCTCTCATGCCACATCCCATTACAAAACGTCGTCACCACACCGAAAAACAACAAAACCGACATGCACCAAAAAAAGGCCCAATGTATGTCAAAACGCAAACGCCTGAGCTAGAGGGGATATCTTTGTAGAGGAAGCTCTTTATGCAAACGTCATGGAAATCTCCTTCTCCTGTCCAAATTCCTCATCCTCGTCATCGTGTCGGCATGGCTCCTCCGACCACGGGTCCGCCATGGTCAGGTCCGGCAGCGTCCGCGCCGTCGTCAGCGCCCGTCTCGTCAGCGCCTCGTCCGCTGTCGACAGCCCGCCGTCGTCGTGAAACGACGTGTCAAACGTCATGGAAATCTCCTCCTCGTAGTCGGGCTCCGCGTGGTAGGCCGTCGTATTAATCACGCCATTGTTCCAGCTCGTCTTGCGCGTCACCGCGTGCTGCTGCGGTGACCCCTCGACCCCGAGCGTCGCCGACCGTATTGGAAGTGCCTCGGCGCTCTGCGTCTCACGCAGCGGATTCGCCTTTTGCAGCTGGCTCACCGTCGTCGTTGGCCCGGCAATGTCGAGCTTCATCGGAGGAAGCGTCGACTCAATCTCCTTGATCTGCAGCACCTCTGCGTCCGGCTCGCGGTAGTTTTCCTCCTTGGCCAGCTCCGCCCGGATCGCGTCAATGTCAAAGAGCACGCCTGTATTGGACGACGCCTTGGTGGCGCTCCCGCCCTTGCCATCCTTGCCATTTTTGGCCGCCTCGGCCGCGGCGCTCTCCTCGTAGACTTCCCATTCTTCCCTGTCCGTCTTCTTCTTACGGCCAAAGAGGCTGAAGCGCGACTTCGTGCTCGTGTTGCTTGTCTTTTCTTCCTTTTCGAGCTCCTTGCGCGCTTCTTCAATCTCGTTGATGAGCTCGCGCTGCCGCTCACCGTGGTTTTCCGGATCCGGGTCTTCGATTTCGCTAAATTCTTCGCTCGTCACCGTCCATCCACACTTCATCAGCAGCACCGGCATCGCCCTGCGGTATTCCATATGGCCAGCCACGACTTCCGTCACGTCCATGTTCTCGATCCACGGACAGTCCTCGATCGGGCCCAAGCCCGCCACTTTACGGATACCACCATTCGTGAGGCGGAACAGGTACCCCAAAATCCAGTCGTTTCGGTTGAATCCGTTGACGAAGCGACCAGCCACCACCGTACGGGCCTTGATGAATTCTTCCCTCTTCACCACGACCGGCGAGCCAAAGACGTAGACATTCTGCACAAGGCCATATGCGCCCTTCTTAGCGAGCTCTTGCAGACACGAGTAGATGACTCGAGACCCAAGCGAGTATCCAACCAGCGTGATCGGCCGGGTGCCCAAGCCACGCTCAATGATGGAGTCGGCCAGAATGAGGCCTGCGGCGGTGGCTCTGTCCAGCGAAACCGCCCACGGGTTATCGATGAGGTACGATAGCTTTGTCAGCACCAGTGGTAGCTGCAGCGCAGCCATCAAGCTCATGAGGATCGTACTTCCAAGAATCTGCTGTAGACCCTGCGTTAGGGCCTCGGTAGCCAAAATATTGATAGTGTCACCCATGCTGCGGAGCATCTCCGGCTCCCACAGCACCGAGTAGAGATCGCCCATGACGGGGTCGACCGTGCTGTACGGCAGGCGAACGTCATCCATCTTACCCGTCAGCCAGCCAGACACAGTCACAATAAGATTGACGCGCTTGTTGTTGTGTAGCGGTCGGTATTCAAACGTCTTGACGGCGCCTGTTCGTCGGCCAGCGGCGCGCACTCCAATAAAACTGCCCGATGCGGCGGCCGACGAGGTAATAATGGCTGCGCCTCCTGCTCCGGCGAGGAAGCTGCCGGTACCCGAGACACCGATTGTAGTGAAGCCTGCCGCAAGACCAGCACCAATCACGGGCGCCAGTAGACCAGCCGAAAGGCCAATGACGAGGCCTCCACCCACCGTGGCCAGACCCATCATCATATAGCGTCGCTTGAGAGCCTTTTTTCTGCGCTCCTCCATGTGCTCGTCCTCGTTCCAGTTTTCCTTTTCCGCAGCCTGCTGCATTTCCAGCGCATCAGTGACTCGCTTCTCGAAGCGGCAAATATCGATCCAGCTAATGTCAAGCGATTGCGCCACACGCTCCAGCAGGATTCTGGAGCGCGCGTCGTAGATGGAGTCTGCAATCAGGACGAGGAAAACGTCGCAGAGCACTGTCCACCGGAGGTCGATATCAATCTTATCAGTGTCGGGCATCTGAGAGGGTGTCTGCACGTCGGGGACTTGATCCGACTCGGTCGCCTCATATGGCGGGGGCGCCTCTGCGGGCCGCTCCTCAGACGGTGTCGAGCTCATGATGGAGCTTCGGTTCGAGTGGGCCATGGGGTTCTTGACGCGGGCGTTGGCGAGGAGAGTGGGGGTCAAATCGCCAGGCTGGACGCCGTGCTCGGCGAGCTGCTCAATCATGACCTGCTCGGCTTCGCTTATATCCATGTGGGCGTATAGACGGATCATCATCTTTTGCCCCCACATCTTGGTCGCCTCGGTCGACAGGTTGACCATCTTCTTGAGCTTCTTAACCGCTTCCAGATTTTCCGCTTCGCTGACGAGAGTGGCAATCTCGAGTCGGACGAGGCCAACGTAGGCTATGCGCTGGCCTTCGGTCAAGAGATCCTTGGTGGCCTGCATCTGCGATACCGCGTCTCGGGCGTCTTCGTCGTTCATGCTGGTGCCGCCGGCTTTGGCGTCTTTGAATAGATATTGCGTGTGCTCGTCCAGGCTGGTCGCAGACTGAGCATCCTCATCCATGATGACGCGAGTGTAGCCTTTGCCGGCGCCGCCTAAGCCTCCGTAGCCGTATGCCTCGACGACGTCGTCCTCCTTCATCTCCCGAGCTATCAGCTTGTCGTCGTCGTTGTACATATCGTATGGTGCAAACGCTGGCATTTCCTGCCAGCCTTCGTCCTCCTCTTGCTTGTCATTCTCGGGTTGGGTGGCAAGCGGCTGGTGCGAGAACTCCGAGATACCCATGCCGTTGCTAGCGAGACTTGTATCGCGATGGTGCCCCGATTTGGAGTTGGCCGCAGCGGTGCCGAGGTCCTGGCTCCCACGGCCGTGGCTTGCGCCGCCAGTCGATGCACGCGGGCGATGTTTCTTTTCGTTGGTATGTGATTCGGAGGATTGGTCGGGTCGTGGTTTGTCAGCAGCATCAGTTAGCACCACGGCCCCTTCTTGCTCGGCTTGCTTGGGCGTTTGCGAAGGCATAATAGGTGTCGTAGCTCCTGACGTTGTTTGCTCTACCTCGGACTCCGCCGTGGTTGGTTTGGGTCTTGCAGCATCTTCCGTTTCTTCTACTGCCTCTTGCTTCTTAACTGCATCTGGTTTCTGGGGCGGAGCAGCGGTCCCCTCGGGCTCGATGATGGTCTGCGCATCTTTGAAATCGCTCTCATCACTCTCACTATCTATTTCGGCCGTTTTGACTGGGGCGGCCGCTGGTTTGGCGTGACCGTTGGTAGCGGCATCTTGCTGCGCCGTTGCGGGAGCTTCCTCTGCTGGGGCAGGCGGCTCGTTGGGTTTCAGTTTCGACTCCAACTCCTCGGTCTCCGGAGCCGGTTGCGTTTCCTCATCAACTTTATTGGCAATAACATCTTCTGGCGTCGGGATCGGAAATGGTTTTATGGGCAGGCCGAAATCATCAACCATGGGCTGCGTCATCGTCTGATGCTGGGCAGTGGGCGCACCAGTGGGCGGTGCAGGGTCTTTGGCCGTGCCCATTCTGCGGGAATCGTGTAAAATAAAGAAGAAAAGGTGCGAGAAAAATGATTTATAATTAACAAATTCAAAGAAAGAGAATCACGCCCTCATCCCAACTGTGACTCTGCTAGGTCTAACCGGACGGGACGTGATAGATCATGACATGAGCATGTGAAGTTGTTGTAGGGGTGACAGAAAAGGGCGGCGGTCGGCCAGAGGAAGCGACGAGTCGATGCTCCACATAAAAAAAGACTGTCTGCGAGTTGCAGTGGGTTTGGCGGGTGTTGGAGGGGGTTTTAGCGGCACGATAGCACTAAACCGACGGCGTCATGCAGGTCCCAGATGCAGCCAAGTCTCCCTTGACAATTGAACTAGTAACTGTTATTAATATGAACTTTACCTAGTTCCTAGACAAAACGACGGCATCTAGACGAGGGAGACTGAACTTGCCCTGACCCGCCGTGACCAACTGACATCATTGTCGCCCGCAAAATAACGCCTGGTGCTGCCCCTATCACCGCCCATGGCAGCATCTCTCGCCAAGCATCCACCGGCTTGCTCTGCAATTTCCCGGCCCAGACTGCGCCTCTCTTTACCTACGTAGCGCACCACTTTCAAGTCTTCTTGTAAAATTTGTTCAACTCTCTGGTGGGGGCACCGTTGAGACAATGCCGGTCGCGACGGCTCCCCGCCTTTGGCCAACCCGATGGGTCGCCAGTTCTGTGAACAATGTGAAACGCCCAGATAAAGACATGGCTTGTTTGACGTTGACTAGTGCTAGGTTCCAAACATGAACTCTATCTGTCTACCTAAACACCGGCATGTGTCTTGGCAGGGTATTATATTCATATGTGCTTTTAGATGTGACAATGCGACGACCCAAGAACTCCAGCAAATCCAACAGAACTCGTAAATGCAATCCTACGCATCGCCACCATCACCTCCCGCATAACCTGCGCCGCTCTCCCCCGTCGCCGCGCCACCCTCGCCATCACCCTTGGCCCTCCGCCTGCGCTTCTTCTTTGGCTTCTCCGCTGCCTCCTTGGCCTCCAGCTTCTGCTTCCGCCTCCTCTCATCCTCCAGCTGCTGCGGGTTCTTCTTCGCCTTCTTCATCGACAGCGGATTTGGCCCTTTGGCGGCTCCGTATTTCTTCTTTTTCTTATCCGCCGCCCTCTCCACATTGCCGCCCTCCTCACCTTGCCCCTCGTCGTCCTCCTCCTCTCGCTTTCGCTTGCCGCTAGGCACCTTCTTCTTCAATTCGGCGCGGAACTTGGCCTTTTCCTCGCGCATGCGCACCTCGGTGCTGTCGTCGGCCATGGGCTCCAGGATCATGACACTGCGCTTAATGTAGATGAGCGGCACCGCGCGGACGCCGCGCAGCGCACGCCGCACCTCTTGGCTCTGGCTCGCCACCACGTACCGGTGCTTGTTCTGCCCCGTCGACTTGGGATCCACGACCGACGACAGGCACTCGAGCGTGGAGAGCGGCTTCGGGTACTCGTCCGGGTGGTGCCCGCAGCGCCGGCGCTCGTAGTTTTTCGCGAGCTCGATGGCTTCGCGCACGCCGGGCTCGTTCGTCTTCTCGTACAGCTTTCGGATCTCGCACTGCGTAATCACTGGGCATTTGTGAGTAGGGCTTTACGGCAGTCTCTCGCGGCGGCCAACTTACTAGGCTTAACTTTGCCATGCACTGTGCGTTCCAACCCTGCTGCTAGGTCCATCTTGAATCGACATGCATCCTCCACCATTTCGGCATCCACTGTCTACAGTGTTAGCAGGTTCCCCGTCTGTAAACTGCACGCGATCAAGGTGACTGGGGCTCCTACCAAGAACTTGGTAGGCTTCACGGAAGCCAAATGTCATGCAGTATTGCTCCATGAGCTTGCGGTATTGTTTTGAGCGCTTTCCTCTCATTTTGGCGGTGTTGTTGTGGCTGGATTGGTCGTGGATAGTGCTTGCTCAAGCAAACGCTGGACTTTTTTCCTAGGCGCAGCAAAATAAATTTCTTATCAGGCTGCCGCAGCGAGTGCACGTGCGATAAAGATTTTGCCGCCATGGGGTGGGGCTTAGATCTGGCCCGGCGGCTCTGCGCAAAGGCTCCACCGACATGATTAACTGTTCCAAGCATCATCAAAGCTGAAGTTGCCTAAATTTTACTCTATTTAGAAACTTTGGTCACAAGGCTGCTCCAATTTCAACGGGGGATTTTTTATTTTATTTTTGCTATCTCACAATCGCGACAGGGGGCTCCGATTTCATCATCGGCCTCGACCATGACATCTTCCTTCATCGGCCAGTCGTACAACCACTGCAGCTACTGCAAAATAATAAACAAAAAAATTATCATCTCCCGAAACATATCGCGACTCTCACTAGTAAACAAACAGCGCTCCGGTACCACGAGTACGCCCTACTGACGCCCCTACACTTGCTCTGGACAAAACAGAAAGAAATCTGCATCTTGACCGACTCATTCCTTCATTGAATACACCCAATCCACCTCCTATCTGCCATCTTCCTGGGACAGAATGTCCCTACACAACATCGCTATGGGCTTTTTGGGGGACCTGCCATGAGAGTCACAGTCGGCGAAGCACTTAGTTGGGGGTCTTGTCCTGACCGCCCTTAGCGGCATCCGGCGTGGGCAGGCCGAAATGGAAATGGGCAGCAGTAGGGTCCATGGAAGTGACTGCGGTGCTCTGGCCAATACCTGTGCCATTCACCCGCTTCGTGTTCTGCTGTGCGTTCTCTGCAGTTTCCTTGGCGGCGGCTGGGCTCGTGGGTCTGCTAGAGGGAGCTTTGGCCGTCCACTTCGCGTACAAGTCGGCCGGGAGAAGTTTCGGCCCGTCATATGGCGAAATGACCAGCTTGTCGCCCGGTACGTGGCACTTGATCCTGACCCTACCACCAGGACTTGCCTTGGTCAGCACCACGATTCGCTGCATCAGCCACGCCAGTTTCTTCAGAATCGGCTGGTTGTCCGCTTCCCACTGCTGAATCTGCGCAGTCACGTCCTCGACCTGCGGTTCCTCAAACCAGCCCCGGTCGTGACAGGCTCGCACGAGCTTGGGGGTCTGCGAGATCCAGAGCTGGCGCGCCGCTAGTTTCGAAAAGGTGAGCATATACCGGATGGTGTGCGTCTTGATCTCGAGCGTGGCGCACAGAGGCACGACCTCGCCGCCCCTGGCGACGCTCAACGTTGAGCCAGCCATGCGGGTCGGTGCCGTCGTGGGGGCGAGCACGAGCCCTTGCATCGCGCGCGCGACGCTGCCGCACGAGTCGCCGGTATCCTCCACGTACCCGTCAGTTTCGTGGCGCACGAGAAAGTGCAACCCGCCAAACTGATACGAGATGACGCGGTGATGGGCCGTGCTGCCAGCTACCCTGGGCACCGTGTATGCCTTTTCAAACTCGCACCCGTGGCCCCAGAAGCCGTAGTCTCGGCCGCTCTCCGCCGTCACCGCTTCGTCGCGGCAGAAGAGCGCGGTGTTTTGCACGACCTCGACGTAGATCGTGAAGCCCTCAAAGTACTTTTTTTTCTTGGGCTCCAAGGTGATGAAGGAGAGCAGCTTGCGGATGTTGCCTCTGTCGGTCACCACATCGACGGCGTTAAGGTCAAAGGCGTCGTGTTCGGCATGGACGGACCGAAACAGGGGCTCGAGAGGGCAGTCTAGCTTACGGGCGGCGTATTGGGCCTCGTAGATGTCCCCGGAATCCGCGGCGAGGTCTTGCGGACCCTTGGGAGGGTTCCAGCGTGCGGGCGCGCCAGGGACGACAATCGTGGGCGTTGGGGCGTCGATCCAGTTGTAGGAAGAGATGTGCTTCACGCCGGAGATGACGGCCTCTGAAGATGGAGCGATGTACTCGAGCTGAGAACGAGAGATCACGATCATGATGGCGATGGTACCGGCTGTGTCGGGCGTGTCGGCCAAGTATTATTAGGTATTAATCAAGTACTAGGAAGCGAAAGTTGATCTTTATGGGAAGAGGTAGGTGGACGTCGATGACAGCGACCGCTGACTGTAGAGACAAGCAAGGGCGTGCAAACGGCCATGTTGAAGTAACTGCAGGCACAAAGTCTTGGTGAATTGGCCGGTCATGGCTCATGCATTCACAGCAGGGTGAAGAGGATGCGGCGTGCCATCGGTGAGCCTTGCAATATACACGCCCAGCGACCTTTTCGGCTAGGTACTGTACTATTCGTAGCAAGACAGGGTGTGCGTGTATGAATTCCAAAGGATTCCGCAAACAGATGCCGAAGAAATCGATCACATTGCTCGTCAACTTTGGGATGAAGTGTCAGCACAACGGTCCACTGCTGCAGGTCAGACTACCTGGATCGCGAATTGTAAATAAAAGGTGATTCGTATTACTATTCAGCCAATTAATAATTGAAACATGAAGAAGAGTTCAGGATGCTATGATGAGAAAACAGGTCGCTCCGTGCCCATGACTCCGATAATGCAAAAAAAAAAACAAAAAAAAGAATACCCCTGCGAGATGACTTGTGGACTGTTTGTCATCTATGGCGTCTCGGGCTCCTGGCTGTTTTCCACACAGAGAGCGGCGACTACGCTGATGTCGTCCATCTTGCCTACCGCAATTGTTAGCACCTAGTTACGTTCACCCTTCTTTAGTCTCCCCCTCCAAACTCACCTCCTTCGCTGGCGAGGCCTTCTTCGATGGCGTGCTCCATAAACGGGCTCTGTGCGTACGGATCCAGGGCGATATTTCTGGCGGCCGCGACGAGGTCCTGGGCGGCCTGGCGCATGCCGCCGTCGCGTCCGCCGCGGCGGGACGGGGAAGCCGTCTTTTCCCAGCCCTCGATGCTGGCGGCGACAATGTCGACAATCTCGTGGGTCCAGAGGTTGTCGATGACGCCGTCGCTCATGGCGAGGACGACGTCGCCGACCTGCAGGGCGACGCGGTCGACGACGGCGTTGGTCTCGGGCGTGTCGGGGCTGTTGGTGCCGAGCTGGCGCGGGCAGTCGAACCAGTGCCACTGCTCCGTCGTCTTGAAGACGACGGAGCGGTCGCGCGGGCGCACCACCATGACCTGGCAGTCGCCGAGGTTGGTGACGTAGAGGAGCGGCGTAGGCGCGCTGCTGCCGCCGTCGCCCGAGGAGGGCGTCGCGTAGTGCAGCTGCGCGCCGCAGGCCGTCGTGGTGCCCTGCCAGTCGTGCGCCTCGGTCGCTTCGAGCGTCTTCTTGTACGCGGCGGAGAGGGCGGCGACGGGGTGCGGCTCGGCGTCGACGGGGTCCGCGCGCGCGGGCTTGGCCGTCGCTGCACGAATCAGGTCCTCGTCAATGGCCGCCGACCAGAAATGGAGAATCAGCCGCGCCCATAGTCTGTAATAGCGCAGGTTAGCAAGTTGACTCTCATCGTCAGAGAGCTTACTCATCCGGGAGATGGGAGGGGAGGGGGGATTCGTACCCGGCATGGCCGCGCGGCCGCGTCGCCCAGGCTCCGACGCCGTCGTTGGCGCAGATGAAGTAGTCGCTGGCGTAGATGGCATCGTCGCCGTTGGTGAGTCCGCGAATGGCCTCGCCGTCGACGACGGCACGGTGGGTGCTGAGAGGATCGGAGAAGGAGGCCGACGGGCGCGAGAGAAAGGGCGGTGGGAACGGGCGCGGAGGGCGCTTGGCAAAGACGCCGATGCCCGTCTCGAATCGAAAGGGGAGGTGCGGCAGCGGACGGCGTGTGGTCTGGTCGTTGTGTCCTGCGTCGTCGTCGCTCCGCTGCGCCGCATCATCGGCGTCGTCGGGGCTGTGCTGCTTCTGCGCGAGTGTCGAGTGCGCGCGCGGACAGTCGGGGCGGCGGCGGCCCCGCGATGACGAGATAAGCACTATGTGCGGCCGAGGTGTGAGAGGAGGAGGGGACCGCCATTTGGTCGCAGGCGCCGGGCGGCGTAATATTCGCATTCCGGCCGCATATGCTAGAGCCGACCCTGGCAGGGTCGCAAAACCGTAGCTGTCGAGGGGGGTTGCCTTTTGGAAAGCTTTGGACGAGCAAGGCGATGATGATTTTTGTTGGTTCCTGTTGTTGGACGGGAAGGGCAAGGAAAAAAAATCCAGCTGTACGACGCGAGTCTAGCTAATCCTTCGGCACCGTGGATACACCTCACCTGAGGGTACCTTAGTAAGTTCAGCTAAGGGTAGCAACCCTTAGGTAAGGTAGCCCCACTAATTCTTAATATATATACTATATATCTTAGTATAATAATATTCTATATTTATATTAAAGTAACTAGTTTATAATTAATTATACTATAGTAGGAATTACTTTATAATTAATTATATAAATATATTATACTAGAAATTAATTTATAATTAATTATACCTAGTAGGAATTACTTTATAATTAATTATATAGGTATACTATACTAGAAATTACTTTATAATTAATTATACTATAATAGGAATTACTTTATAATTAATTATACTATATTAGAAATTACTTTATAATTAATTATACTATAGTAGGAATTACTTTATAATTAATTATATAAATATACTATACTAGAAATTACTTTATAATTAATTATACTATAATAAGAATTACTTTATAATTAATTATACTATACTAGAAATTACTTTATAATTAATTATACTATAGTAAGAATTATTTTATAATTAATTATACTATATTAGAAATTACTTTATAATTAATTTAAAAAGGAATTTATTCTTAATTTATTTACTTTATCTAATTAATACCTTTTTTACTTATAAACTACTTCTAAATTAATTCCCTATATTAAATAAGAATTAATTCTTAACTAATTATATTTTAATTAATTAAGAACTAGTTTATAACTAATTCTTAAATAGCTATAATATTATTACTATAAGTAGCCTAAATATAGTAATAAAGGTAGTACTACTAGCTAGGGTAAGCTATAATTAATTAGTAATTAATTAGAAATAGATAAAGAATTAATTTATACTATAGTTAATCTTATAGTAGTTAAGGTATAGGCTAGCTACTAATAAAAGCCTAGTATTTTAGTATATATATACCTAGCTTAGGTTCCTATCTAGCTAAAGTAGGATAGGGAATTAATTATAAATTAGTTAAGAAGGGATTAATATTCTAGTATATTACTTTTACCTTATAGTAAAGGGGGGGGGGGTAAGGAGTAGTAAAGGCCTATTAAATAAATTAGTAGGTAATTAAGAATTAGTTTAGAATTAGTTATATACTAAAAGGTTTATCTTATTATAGTAGGTAGTTATAATAAATAAAGTTAAACTAATAGTTTACTAATAAATTAATTAGTAATTACTTTAAGAATTAATTAAGAATTAGTCTATTTATATTATTATTATTATTATTATTATTATTATTATTATTACTATTATTACTATTATTACTCTAAAGAATTAGTTAGTATTTAGTTATTAATTAATTTATAATTATTTTCCTATATACCTTATACTACTTATTATTATTACTACTAGTATTCTATAGAATTAGTTAGTATTTAGTTATTAATTAATTCTTAATTATTTTCCTATATACCTTATTATTACTATTATTATTATTACTACT